TTTCTATATTTTTTTTTTTTTTTTCTAGGTCTAAAACCTCATTGCCCACACGTAGGGTGGCAATATCCAGCTGCGTATTCTCTGTGACTGGAACGTGCTTTCGGGTTATATCTTTGTTTGGCTGTTATAAAAGGACAGGTGGGCTTTGAGTAGAGACCAGTGAATACCTCCGAGCGCTGCAGGCAAGGGAAAGCTATGACTCGATGGATTGTATAGCGGTCCACCAGAACTTGTTCTTCGCCCCGCAATTGAAACGGGTAAGTGTAAAGAAGTGAATGGGCCTTGATAGTGTGCCAAGGTTTGTATAACGTGCGATGTGCAACAAACAAGAGCCCCTCCCCCTCCCTCTTTTGGGAGGTCCCCAGGGTCCAAGCATTGCGTTTTGGATACCCGCCCGACGTTAATAAATACAACAACAACAACATCAACAATTTTCTCCCGCTTTCAAAGTTAAAGTCAGAGTCTTAGTGGTCAAACTGTCAAGAGATGGGATCTTCGCTCCGCCGTGGTGGACAGATATCTACGCCGATGCGCGCTTCCTCCTCTCCTCTCTCGCTGTTCGGTTCCTGTATTGATCGGTAAGACCTTCTTCGCTTTGCTAGACGTGACCAAACGTGCGCTGTGCCACAAGATGAGATCCCCTCCTCCTTGGTACCTTTCCTCGCCTTGTCCGGTCCTTTTCCTAGTTGGTAACAACACATTTCGCTTTGCTAAATGTAGACAAACGTGCGATGTGCAACAAAACCTCGCAGGCACTCCAGTCCCGTCCCCCCACATTCTCGGTTAGCACCTTTTCTCACTAGGTACTCGCTACGATGGACTCCAGACAGCAGGCATGTTGCTGATACTAGTACCGGTACAGTAGTGCGAGACTCCTGTTGACGAACCTCACCATCGTAATACCTACGTCATCCGATAATCCGCAGGGTACCGTACCGGTAGGCATTCCGCGACTAGCCACACTCACATCCGGCCCGCTACTGCGCGCGCCTCTCGTATGAGTCCCGCTCCTCTTCAACTACCGGTACCCAATCTGAATCCCGAGGGATGGAGATATCGGCGACTGCTCTCCGATGCAGGGTATCCTGGCGCAGCGGCACGAGGAAAAAAAAAAACCGTCAGTGGACTTTCTGGTCCGCAGCCAACGCATCGCTCGCGGCTTGGGAGAAATCCGCTTGCTTGCGCTCGCGTGGTGGGCTGGCTGGCTGGCTGGTTGGGGATGGCGGTGAGGCTGCTCTCTCGACAGTGAAGAGAGCCCCCCCTTCGTGCGTTCGCGGATCTTACTCCTCGTCATTACTGTAGCTGGGCAGTTACCGGTACCGGTAGTTCAGAGCGGGATCTGCAAGGCGGTTACCGGTACCGGTACCGGTAGTTGAATGTGAAGCGGACTTGGAACGGGGCGCGGGGTAAGAACATCAAAAACCTGGCGACGGAAAGTTATAAATTCCAAAAAAAAAAAATTTATTATACATATATACATATATATATTACCACGCGTAAGAATTACACCAAGATAAACAATGGCGATCAAGTGAGATTGCTCCCGAGAATTGACGGTATTATTATTATTTTCTCTTCAGAAAAATAACATCGTAGCTCGTTGCGTGAAGAAATCGCAAGAGAAGAGCTTCGTGCCGCAAGTGTTTTCCTAAGAAAAGCCGGTCTCGATACCCGATGATGACCGAAAGAGCGCGGTGCAAGCAGCTATCTCTCTAGCATATACTATTCTTAATAATAATAGCCTCTCTAGGTGTAATGCAAGCAGCTATCTTCTTTCTAGCATGTTGTTCTTAACGGTAGCCTCTCAAAGCGTAATGCAAGCAGCTATCTTTCTAGCGTATTATTCCTAATAGTACCCTTCTTGAGTATAATGCCAGCAGCTGTATTTCCAGCATCCCACTAGTATTAACAGCCTTCTTAAACCCAATAGCTTTTTTTTTTTTTTTTTTTTTTGGTTCCGATGCGAAGAGGAGGCTGCTTTCCTAGCCTTTCGTTTCGGTCTCAATATCACCCTCCTTAAATACAAGTTCCAGCAGCTGTTCCCCTAGCATTTCATGCCTGGATAATAATTCCTCAGAGTCCGATGCGAGCAGCTGTGTTTCTAGCATCTTATTCCTCGTGATGGTCCTTTGGGTCTGGTGCAAGCAGCTGTGTTTCTAGCATTTCAATCTGAGTAATGGCCCTGTTTAAGTCTAATGCAAGCAAGCAGTTATCTCTTTAACATTTTCTCCCCCTCTTTTCCCCCTTTTGATATTAATGGTATATATTAGTCAAGATTAGTAGCGATGTGACGGACGTCACCAATGTTTTTATACATTTCATCTTGATTGGCTTCATCTCCCCCCTCTCCCACCCGTTTCGTTCGCTAGGTCTTTCTTGTGTTCGGTTTTTTGTTGATCTTCGCTTAGGTCTTGGGTTCTTTAATCCTGGTGACAAGGTCGCTATGCTGGGACTAGGCTTCTGGTATCAAGGCCATCGCTTTGGGTTCGTTGATTTTGACTGTGCTGTGATGTAAGCTGCTCTACTCATAGTCTTAGTTGACGAATGTCACGAATCCTACGGGTGTGAATGTTTACGGCCGAGGTTGCCGTGGTAATGGGAGATCGAAAGCGCGAAATCAAAGCCTAAATACCACCAAGAGTGGAAGAGCTGACTCTTCATTAATCCACAGTACATATCTTCATGTACAACCCCGATGAAAGTTTTTTTTCATTGCAAACACAAGTCCACCGGTCTGCTCAGAAATTTAGGAGATGTCAAAATCCTCAATTGTACTTCCCCGCCCCTGGGCAACAGCAGCCGGGAAGGGCACAAAATCGATCCCAGCACCCTCAGAAGCGGCCTTTACAGCCATCTTCGGCACTATACTCCCACCGGCATCATACCTCCAGACTCCTCACGGCAAAGCCGCTTACTACACTATCCCACCATCAACAGCATCGCCCATCAACCATACAAACCCCATATCCCGCATCCTCCTCATTCACGGCGTCCAGACATGTGCAATCGGCCTGCAGCCTTTAGCCATCGCTCTCTCCTCGCGCTTCCCAGGTGCACAGATCGTGCTGTTTGATCTCTGGGGCCACGGCCTCACAGACACCCCGATCGCACCTCACGAGCCGGCACTCTTTCACGCATTGATAAAAGCGTTGATGGCGAAGCTGGAGTGGGAGAGGGCGCACTTCCTCGGCTATTCGTTTGGTGGCTCCACGACAGCATCATTTGCGGCTCTGTGTCCCGAAATGGTCGCATCGATGGTTTTGCTTGCTCCGGCTGGACTCTGGCGATTGGAATTGGATGAGGTGCAGGCGAGGTACATGACTGGTGGTGATGAGGAGTTGGAAGAGGCGGCTCGAACGTGGATTGTGCAAACGTTGGAGGGAGGCGAGCTAGTCGTTCCCGCAGACTGGAAAGAGAGAGTCGCAAGAGGCGAGGTGGTTGCTGAGGCTGTGAGGGACTGGGAAATGAGGGTACACGAGGGGCATGCGGCGAGCGTGGTGGGTATTTTCAGAGATGGCGGTGTGAGGGGCAAGGAGGCTGAATTCGCAGAAGCGGCGAAGAGGGGGACTAGGAGTTTGTGTATTCTGGGAGAGCTGGATGATTTGTGTACAGAGCAGGACTTGAACGATGTTGGTTTCCTGAATGTGAAGGTTGTTCCACAAGTGGGACATGGAATCCCAAGGCAAAAAGTGCAGGAGGTTGCGAAACTCGTGGAGGCTTTCTGGAATGAGATCTCGTAAGCAGACGGGCAAAACTGTAGAGATTGATGGGCATGTAAACACTGCACTATTCGCTTTGGTCCTGGTTAGCGAAGGTAAATAAGGGGCTGCAAATGTTAGATGTTGGTTGAATAGACCCGTGTTGTCTCTTTTAACCTTGTTGTACCTCAGACGACAACCAGATGGGGTGGATACAGGATACCAATGACTTAATTGAAGGTACGTAAATGAAATCTTGCTTAACACTCGTTCCTCCGGGCTGCCAATCGGCTGCGATAGAGCTGCAATCGCAATTACCGTGACCCAGATATTTTTTTAAAAGGCAACGTTCAGTCTCGTATACGTTGACCATATGGCTATATATATCTGTACTCTATAAATATCCTCACCCAGATTCTTGATTTGGAGGCCACCGTCACATGGCAAATGCAGCCCTGTCTCACCCTTGCAGCACAAGCATCGTCATGGAGGATCCGGACACTAGGGCAACGACTTCGTAAGAACAGTAGAGCAAACGTCCAGTTCATAAACTGCAAGCAAACATCTTCAACACAATACCCGCTGCTTTCACTTGTCTCCAAGGTTTCACCGCGCAGGGCAATCGTTGCCATGATACAATAATCTGCAGCTATAGGGAGCCGTGCCCTATCTTTATACCTACCTATCTAGCTTCTCTACCTCCACCAGTCTCCAGCTCTTCTCGAAATCGCCATATTGGCTGCGTACCTTAAAGATCTCGCTGATCAAGCTACGAAGAAGGTTCCTAAGTATCTGCCGGAAGCGTTACGAGCAGCCGCCGTCTTCAACTGGAGCAGCAAGCAGGGCGTGGCCGGTCGGTTTGACCGCCGAGCCGGAAGCAATATGGAGCAGCAGTCCACGCCCGAGAACAAGATGTCCAAGGAAGAGAGGTCGGAGAAGCCGGAGAAATCGTACCTGTACAGCGCGGTGGAGTCGATTTCGCCTTGGGGTGGATCAAGATCTTCAACGCCAAAATTGATGCCTATGTCTCCTGTTGTACCTGGGGAGGGGTCGGGCCTGAAGCATCAGAGGGGAGCGGACCACACGACGCAGAATTGGCATGGCTTCAGCTCGAAAAGGTACCCACCGGATTGTCCACCGCTTAACGCCCGGTGGTTCCATGCCGTAGACGTATGTCTGTCTGTCAACCTGCTAGACTTGCCTTGCTAACAAGCGGAATGCCAGGTTCCTAAGAGGAAGCCCAAGCTTCTCAACAAAGTCAATACGGAGGAGACGATCAAGCCAGCCAACACCCCCGCGCCGAAGAAATTTGTACTGTTCTCCGCACATGATAGTCGCTCGATCGAAACTGCGTACCAGAAGTTGGCGGATGAATACGATGATCCGAGGAGGGAAACGAGGCATAAGGGGGACGATTATGGAAGCGCAGGGCAGTCACCGAATACGCCGGGCAGAAAATCGAACACCAGTATTGATGAAGCTGGCACGGAAGCACCCGCGGGGGGCAAGTTCCGGGTCCCTGTTCAAGAAGACTTCCTGTTCGATGTCGACATCGAGCAACGGGAACTCAGCCCACTGTACTGGCTTGGTCCTATCTACGAAGTTCGGCGAGGATCATGGTTTTATCAAGAGGGCTCGACTCTTCGACCCTGTGAAGAGAATCTGGCCCAGCAGCTGGAAGAAGGCTACCTCAAGATTATGCCATTCAGATATCCCAGAGCTCCAGAGAAATTGCCAAAAGCTGGAGAGGACCCGAGATCTTTGGCGGTATCTGGGGCATTTGGTCGAGGCCGTGCTGGATCAGGCGAACTCACACCAAAAGCTTCCGCTGAGAACCTGAAGGCTGCCAATCAGCAGGCGCTGGACGATGCTGCCAACAAGCTGAAAGATATCCCGGCTCCAAGTCCTCATCAGCCACAAAGCTATCGTTTGTTTGGGACATTTATGAATACTATTGTCACTTATCAAGATTCTACTGTGGCGTGGCTTTCTACTGACTCGATCATGGCGAGAGTGAGTAGCAGTGTCTACGAACGCTTTGCAGGTGGAGCATATTTTAGTGGCGTCAAACTCGTCAGAGGTTACTCAGAAGGAAAAACAAGCGCTGACAAAGTACCGACGACACCTACTAGTGCTGCAAGCAAAGGCCCAAACATGCCTCCAGAGCTAAAGCTCGATGTTGAGCAACAGAAGCTTCTGAAGAGACGCTCGGGTCCACCTTCTGTAAATCTACCGGGTGACGAGGCAATGGAGGCATCTGCTCGGATTGCGCTCACGGGAGTAATCGACAAAGAGTCAGAAGCAGAAGCTGTGCGAAAGCGAGACGAAAGGGAGATACGGAATGACTACAACGAACGAGATGATGAGAACCAGGGTCGAGAGATCGACCATCTGATTTTGGTCACTCACGGCATCGGTCAGCGGTTAGGCATGCGAACCGAGTCTGTCAACTTCATTCACGATGTTAACGTGTTACGAAAAACTCTGAAGAGTGTCTATGGAAGTAGTGCCGATCTTCAGGCCCTGAACTCGGAAATAGACAAGCTTCCCAAGAATTGCCGTATTCAGGTACTGCCTATCTGTTGGCGACATCTTCTAGACTTTCCCAGAAAAGGAGTTAGACAGAACCGTAGGGAACACGATCTCGGCGATGCCTTTGGGGAGGACGAAGAGTACCCCAGTCTCGAGGACATCACCGTCGAAGGTGTACCCTTTGTTCGATCACTCATCACAGATCTGGCTCTGGATATCCTTTTGTACCAGAGTGCTTACCGCGAACATATCGCTCAACTTGTAACAGCCGAGTCGAACCGAGTATACGACCTCTTCCTCCAGCGAAACCCAAATTTCAAGGGTAAAGTAAGTCTGATCGGGCACTCACTAGGCTCTGCCATCTTTTTCGATATCCTGTGTCTCCAGAAAGAAACCATGCGAAGTAACCCTGGGCGTCGGGTACATCAGAAATCTAAACACCCTCATGAAAGAGAAGTCAAGGACCTTGATCTCAAATTTACTGTGGAAGACTTCTACTGTCTAGGTTCTCCCATTGGGCTCTTTCAAATGCTCAAGGGAAGGAGTCTTCTTGGTCGACACCAAAGATCTGATGCTGTCCCGGCTGAGTCGCCCACGCATTCTGATGACTTGCAAGACCCATTCCTTGGATTCGCCTCCGGTGAAAATATATCGTCCGTTACTGGTCTACCCCTTACAGTCTCCTCACCCAAGGTCGGGCAGTTGTATAACATATTTGTGAGTAGCTTCCCCTCACTACTTGTCCAAATCATAGGCTGACACAGAACTCCCATAAAGCATCCCAGTGACCCAATAGCCTACAGGCTAGAGCCCCTCATCGCCCCAGCAATGTCCTCTATGAAACCCCAACTCCTCCCCTACACCAAAAGGACCATCACCACCAGTGTCTCCGGCATTGGCGCCAAAGTAGGGCAATCCGTAAGCGGTCTCTGGTCCTCCCTCTCCTCCGGCATAGCCAGCTCCCTCCTGAACCGCAGCCTCGGCCTCACTAGCGACGACGTGGCTCATATGGCAGCCCCTACCCCCCAACGCGCACCACCGCAGTCCGCGGGCGCTGGCACCAACGTCGGCGCTGGCGTGATCTCTGCCGAGACTACGAACGTGCCGGGGATGCAAAGGCAGAACACCAATGAGAAGAAGAGGCAGCTGGCGGAGGACACAGCCGCTGCGGACAGGGATGGCACGGGGCAGAGCCCGCCGACGCTGATTGATGATGAGATTGAGACGTTATACGCAGGATTTCAGAAAAGGAGGGAGAGTGAGGACGGGCACGACGAGTGGATGAAGGCGGAGGAGAAGGGGAGGAAGTTGAGGAGAGAGGAAGCGAAGGTTAGGGCGCTGAATATGGTCTGTAGAATCGAAGCTTTTTTGCTGGTAATAAATGATGCTGACTTTATTTTTCAGCATGGCAGAGTGGATTACAGTATTCAAGAGTAAGCCTACCTCCTTCCACTCATGACGGGAGCATACCAACTAACAATCCCCAGGAGTGTCCTTGACTTCAACCCGATCAAGTCCGTTTCATCCTTCCTCCCAATCCTCCCCTAGCTCTCAATACTGACTTCCAAAACAGCACGATCGCGAGTCATCTCTCATACGTAAGTAATCAACCCCCCCCCTCTTTCCCCTCGTTTACCACCCCAGTCCTACTCTCTCCAGACAAACGCCATGTTGAGGATTTGCTGATCACGAGCTCAGTGGGCCGACGAAGACGTCAGCCATTTCATGATGTCCCAACTGCTTTCGAGACATCGTGCTGCTGCTGCTAGCACGCGGAAGGAGGGACGCAGAGAAAGCAGGAGATAGAAGAAAGAAAAGGGAACAGATGAGAAGAATGGACGAATGGCGTTTGGGAATGGAAATGAATGCATATGGGAAGAAAGGGATATATCAAACGGGATTGACTGCATGTTCGTGAACTAGAAGCGATAGGCCGCATCAAGGCAGTGAGTGACAAAAGACCAAGCGAGCCAAAGGGCCTGCAACCTGTCTGTTGTACATTGGGAACTCAATAAAACGCCAAATCTCAAAGAGTTCGTAGTTCAATTTGTAATTCAATGTTGTGTGTCAGAACTTCTTTCTACAAGTTTGAGCTTTTAGAAAAGTAGGCAATCCATACTCGACTCAGTTCAAACGAATCAATTCAAGTTGAACTTCAGTTGCAGCTTTACCAAATGATTATCGCTTGGCATACACTTGGTGTTACGGTGCTGCGATCTTAAGTCGTCAAAAGGGGAACAACACAACCGACTCAGATTCGAAACTTGATCTCAGTTTGTACATGAGCATGCGCTCAAAACCACACAAAATTCCACCTACAACATAGTGACGCACTTTCTTGTTGTCATGGATGCAGGGGCATCGCCGCTATGCTCCAGAAGCAGAAATCAAACACTACTACGGCAAAGAAAGGAAGTTTGGTGAAAATCAGACGCTTTGCATTCAATTTTGTGGTTCTATGCTAACCTATTACTACCGCCGCCGGTCGAGAAATTCGGGATTTGAAGGATACCGCCGCTGTAGTGCTCGCTCGATAGATCCGAATCGCCGGCCAACGCGTTGGCAAGAAATCTAGAAACACAAAAGTGAAGTAATCTGCCTCGCAAGAAACAAAGGAACCGATGGGAAAAAAAAGGAACTTTTCGGTCTGCCGTCGGGAGAAGCATAAAGGTATGTAAGGGCCCAAAACCTATTACTCAGCAGTGTCGAGCTCATCGTGAGTTTGTGGGGGAGATTCCAAGGCAACTTCGGGTAGCGTATGTATCAGCGAGTTTAGTCCTTTTGGCGGCATGGAAGCACAAATTCACCTTTCCTATCTTCACCATTGGTGCCGTTTTCGCGACCTGCCTCCTCACGCTCTTCCTTCACCTCACGGTCCCTATACAGATGTGTAAGTCGTTGTAAGGCCACAAGGCCACTCTGTGAGGGTAAGGGCTTCATACCGGTCTGCGTCTGGACTACGAGAGCGGTCACGGTCACGGCGCTCGTATTCTCGATCTCTGCGATCGTCCTTGCGAGGAGAGTAGTCACCACCGCGGCTACGACGGGGAGATGGGGAGCGACCACCGCGGCGAGGAGATCGGCGTCCACCGTCGCGTCCGCCAGGAGGTCCACGAGGAGCACGTTCACGCTCGCTGCCTTGGTCGAAACGCCATGAAGCAGATGGAGGAGTACGCGCCCACTAGAAACAATCAGCCATTGAAATGATAAAGATACCCATGCCCACCAACTTACCTCAATCTTCAGGATGTCATCACGTTGGAGACGCTTATTATGCATCTCATGGTACGCATCGTCGGCATCACGACGGCTCTCATACTCGACGAAAGCGAACCTACTACAGGTGTCAACCATATTAGAATATACCTTAGAGGGAAGCTAGAAGATACTGACAGGCGGCTCTGTGAAGTACGGGGGGCGGGGATGTCGCAACGGACAAGACGACCATAGCTGCAAAACTCCATGTCAGTCCCAAAAAATCTTACTCGAGGGCAGGGAAACACAAAGAGAATATAGCAACATGTAAACATGATTGCAAGAGGCTCGATCCGCCGTAACCCGATGTTCGCGCAAGGAGAGGATGGGATGGGTGGACAATGGCCGAAACATTGCGCGACCGCTCGATCGAACGACGAGGATAGGAAGGAAGCGCAGGCAGGCAGGAGTCGATGGTGACAGCGAGGACTCGACGAGGAAGGACGAGGATATAGAAGGGGTGGATGGGTAGATTTTCGCACTCGAGAGGGCGATGGTGATCATCGACGTTCGTTGACATACCGTTCGAATTCGTAGGCAAGGTCGCGAGCTCGAGTGCCGGGTCCGAAACCCTAGAAGAGAAGAAATATCAGTTTGTATTCTGTGTTCTTTCGACGCGCGCCGCAATGCAGGGTAGATGAAGGTCGCGATGGCATAGCGCGAATAGAGCTTCAACTTACGGTAACGTAAAGAGTAGTACCGCCGCGAGACATCTTGTAGCTTTGGGATGTTCAAGCCGCGAAGTTGGTGAGTAGCACCAAGAAGACGAGGATATGCTGTGGAGAGCACAGTGACAGTTCGTCGAGTTCTCGTGAAGAAGAAGTTGATAAGAATATGATTTGGCGATGGCGCTCATAAGGCGGGAGCTTGGCACGCTAGTCTGGTTTGAGTAACGTGCTACCCCAGATGGTGCACGTGACAGAGACTGTCACAGAGCCGCATCATCCTTGCTGCAGGTCAATATCAATATATCTGCAAGATATAGAAACCTTTGAGCGTTTGATTACAAGCTCCAATCAACTCCTAAAGCACCAGTCTCTTGATCGCATAATCAGTCGAAAGATATTTATATATGATACTGGGACTTGAAGAATCATGACGAACAAGTAAGGATGGTGGCTTCGAACTTTTGGTACTAATTTATATTTTCCACATTGCAAGCCTACTGGCCTTCTATCCTGAGAATTTCAACATGTCATGCCCCAGTTCATGTTGTTCTATTTGGAGACTGTCAAATAGAATGCAATAAAGCATCTACATCGTTCTACAAGCCTACAAGCGCCCGCTCCCAATGCTCAGACCGTATATCCAGATCCCCTTTCCTATACAAAGCATTCTGCTTGATGCGTGATGCTAAGGAGTATTCTATTCGGCGCGGCTTTGTCCCGGGAATGAAAATACCTCTGGCTCTGGCCGTGAGCTTCTTTTACAAAGATGCCTCTGCCGGCCTCAGAGTAACCAGGAAGTCCCTAGTCATTTCGAAGCTAAGCCAGCTACTTGCCATACTCGGAGCAACCTTGAGCAAATTTGGCGCAATGCCTTTGTACATGCCCTTGAACCCTTCTGCTGCAATAATTGACTTCACAGCATGGATTATCCCATTGTACTTGAAGTCAGAGCCCGGCATCGTGTTGATTTGAAATCTGCGGCGGAGAACATCACTGTTGGTAATTAGCAAATGCTTATATTATCGACTCAAGGTTGCAGCTCACAAGGGGTATGTGCAAGTCTGTGCGACTGCTCCTGAGATAGCACCTGCTGCAAGTTTTCGTAACGCACTTGGATTCTTCTCTCCTTCAGGGGTAAAGTACTTGCGAACAATCTCATAGGTCATGAAGTTGAGACCAACCTATTGCAGCTTCGATCAGTACAGCACCTAGTGTATTAAACGGTCAACTTACATATGGTGCTACACCAGCCACAGTCGGTATTATGCCCCTGTACAAAGCCACGACTCCTCCTTCTACCTTGTACATCTTTACCATGGTCGACCACATACCAGGAGGCTTGAGCATCTCTGCCGTATTGTGACTTGTTGCAGTCTGGACTGACAGGCGTGTGCGAACTATGTCGAGAGGATACGTGAAAAAGACAGAGGTAATCCCTGCAGATCCACCACAGATTAAGCGGCTGATCGAAGTCAAGTCGGCGCCAGGAGAAGGCTCAAACCACTGCCTTCGGTCAGTATGTGCTGGTTTCATAGCAATAGACTCTATGCCTTCGAGTTACCTACCGTTTTGTAGAAATTGTAGCTACCAAATTGTACCGCAGAATAGGGGATGATGCGTATACAATTTGTGCCGTTCCCTCTGAGGAATCCGCGCCATCCTTCATCCCTCCACATCTTTGCCAAGCCCTTTCCAACCGATAACTTGTACTCCGTACGGCCAGCACTTTGTATTTGGAAGAGAATCTTTAGTCTCTCCAGAGGCGATACCACTGTTCTGGATACGGCGCCTGCTACTCCTCCAGCGCAAAAGGCCGAGAAAACGGGTTGGGCGACCAACTCGCGCATCTGTAGGACTTTCGGGCCATATTTAGGCGTAGGTATTCCCGACCCAGGCTGCATTCCACGTTAGCATTAACCACGAGCTATATCCTGGAGGACTTACAACTGCCATCTCTAGTTGTGAGCTTTTACTCTGCAAAGCAGCCGCCCGATGCTTTACGCGTATCCCGAGCTCAGCGCATGCGAGCAGTAACAGCTCTTGCGCGCAGAAAGCTCCGAGTAGCACTAACTCAGTAATCACAGAGCATCAATAACATTTGAAGGCGCTGTCGAATCACAATTGCGTGTGTATCGTGGTGAACAGCGTTGTTTGTGCGTGTCGGGTCAGGCCGTCAAGTCCGTTGACCGAATTGCAGATAGAGAACAGAGTAAGGTCTGGGAGGGATCGATCGGGAGTCCATTCAAGGAGCGTGGGCAGTTCAGTTTATTTTGAAGAATGTCGCAGAGGTCGCCGAAGACTCGGCGTAGGTAAGGTCTGCGGAGAAAGTTATGAGGTTAGCCGGTCGTCTGTAGAAGTGCTGGTCAAAACCTGTGATCATTGTGCCAAGGCGGAATTAGGAGGTGAAATCTGGGGCGGTACGGGTTTACTTACTTCCGACCGGCTATCTACCTTGTAGGTAGTTGTTAAAAGAACGCAACAGCATTATTCGGCCAAAATTAGGAGGTGCCTTCCCTCCATTGTCTCCTAGACCTCGAACCAGGATTGACGTCACATTGTTGTAAGAAGATAAAGTAAAATCTCAGTAAATTGAGCTGAAGGTAGCATTGAATCACATCATGGAGTAGCCATCATGGGTAGGCAGAGAAAACTACGAAATACTTCAGCCAGTACCAACAATTAAACATGGATTCATTCAATGCATATTCGGATGCACCTGTGATTTCCTTCTATCCCCAAATGACATATATATATAACATTGTCAAGTTTTCATCGAGGCGTTTCATCCTTCCCTGGGCGCACTAGGAAGTTGTTACCTACTGGTAGATATTCCTCTAGAGTCATGTGACATGAGTTATTAGAAGATATGCGCTCAAAATTTGGTTTCGGATAGATGAAGCCTTGAGTCGCGAATTTCTATGAGAACTTTGGATTTTTTGGGCATATTCAAAAGGTGTGGACAGTACCTATCTACCGGTATGTGCATGATCCTCGTAGCTGGTGGTAGTGAAGTAACCAATTCGCTTATGCCTGGCGCCTTCCCCTAATTGGCCTAGCGGCGCGAACTTTCAGTCCCATAATCCCACATCAATTTTTGGTATTTAGAATTCCTCTTCATCTCCAACGACATCAACGACAACTCGACAACCGCAAAAATGGGTACGTGCCCATTCGCCTCCATATGCAAGTGACAGTCTTGCGTCTCTGCGAGCGCATCTCCTTGACCGCCATGTTGGAGTGCACCGTAGAGACCTTGACCCAGCGCAGCAAACCGTGTCGCAAGACTGGATTGCAAAGAGCATAATTGGCCATAGGCTGACCACGGGGCTTTTGATATAGGTATTGATCTTGACGCCCACCACGTCCGCAACACTCATCGCAAGGCGCCTAAGAGTGACAATGTATACCTTAAGCTGCTGGTGAAGTTGTACCGCTTCTTGGCCCGTCAGTTCCCCTCAACCTCCAATGTACTAACGGGAATACCCTCTAACATTTGTTTGCTCTGCAGGCCGAACCGAGTCTTCCTTCAACAAGGTCGTCCTCCGCCGCCTGTTCATGTCCCGCATCAACAGACCCCCCGTCTCCATCTCCCGCATCGTCGCGAACACCTCCGAGAAGTCGAACAACAAGACCATCGTGGTTATCGGCACTATCACTGACGACAACCGTCTCTTGACCGTCCCCAAGCTCAGCGTTGCGGCCCTCCGCTTCACTGCCACCGCTCGTGCGCGCATCATCGCTGCCGGTGGAGAGGCGTTGACTCTCGATCAATTGGCCCTGAGAGCTCCTACCGGAAGCAACACCCTTCTCCTCAGAGGTCCCAAGAACTCGAGAGAGGCTGTCAAGCACTTCGGCATGGGTGAGTACACAACTTCCGCGCAGAGAATGAAGTCTGCCGGATTGCCAGCTCCATCTCATGAAAATTTGCTGATGTTCACCAAGGTCCCCATAAGCACAAGAAGCCCAAGGTCGAATCGAAGGGTCGTAAGTTCGAGAAGGCTCGTGGACGCAGAGCTTCGAGAGGTTTCAAGGTTTAGATCCGGCAGCACTGGTGAACTGGGTGTTACGAATTTCTGGACTTTGGCAGTTGAGATATTCCTCGAGACCATTCTGGCCACTTGAGCTTTGCCTACGGACGGAAATGGGGATAACAACTGAATGACTTAAGAACAAGGCAACTGAATCTTCCATTCACGTGAAATTTTTGTGAGAATGTCTCATTGGTGGAAATTTTGATTTAGGTGATATGTGCAGTAATGCCCCTATTGCCGTCCGAGCAAAGCAGTGCTCTGGAACCTCCATCATGTTTGACTGGCAACAGACTCTTTGCGACAGGAAATTAGATCGTTAGGGCACGCCCTCGCTACTTGTCTCCTCTTTCCTCGACAGTTTCTTCGCCTCCTCATTGCTAACATCACTCCTCCTCCTTAACGCAACGAAAAACGCCTCTTTCGATTCCTAGCACCTGTCAGATATGTTTTGCCAGCTTCGAATGGAAATTAGTGAAGGTCACTCACACTCCGCGAACTTTCTGGCTTCTCCCTGTGCACAGACTTGAACATAGTTCTCAGTTGCCTCTCCAGCTCCTTGTCCTCGCTTCCTTGATAGAACTTGCACACGAAATGCCCTCCGACCCTCAGGGTGTCATGTGCGAACTGGAGCGCAGCTGCACACAAATCCTATAGGCAAGTTGGACTTGTCAAAAAAAAAAAAAAAACCTAAGAGATTCGAGTCGTGAAAGAGATGGGGCAGGGTTCTGTTTGGACAAACGTACCATACTGCCCGCGTGGTCTTTGAAGTTGATGCCGCTCGTATTCATCATCCTAATATACGGGTCACTTAGACTTCTCTTCCAGAAACCGCTCGTCTGCGGCCAGGGTTCGGACATGTCACTCAGCACCACGTCGACCAACTTCCCATCCTCTTGTCTCCTGCCTCTTCCTCTCCTTTTCGGCTCTTCTTCTTTCTCGCCTTCTTCGGTCCCCTCGCTCATCTCTTGATCCCTGGCTGCGTGGCGCTCCAAATCGATATAACTCTCCTCCACCTCCGGCAACAGGACTCTCGTTTCATGGTCCTGTGCGTTTTCCATACCGTCGGTGGCTTGCACCGTCGAGAAGACATGCTGTCTCGGGCGTCCACGATCCGGATCCTCCAGGAAGCGCTTGACTTCTTGCTGTACGCCTGGAGACAGGAAGTTGCCTTGGATGGTGGAGACGCCTTTGGGGGGCTGCGCGGGGATGATGTCGATGCCTACGATACGGCCAGAAGGTTTGGTTCGCTCCATCGCGACCTATATCCCGACCTGTAAGCCCCCGGATTCAATTCCATCCCCCTTGCCCAATCCCGACATCTAGAAAAGTAAAGGGGACAACAATACCTGTGACCAGCTTCCTGGTGCATATCCCTATACCGCATGAAATTAGCACTTCAAACCCCCATCTGAATTTAGGGTTCATGGCAGAGTGGGCGTACAAGATCAACAACCGTCTGGCCTGCCTTGAAGATCCTATACTTCGAATCAATCTGCAAGCTCACATTGACATTAGCCATAACGTCCCTCGCAAAATCCCTCCCCCCACCCGTTTTTGCACTCTCCCCTCCCTATTCCTCTCCCAATTCCCATGCCTGCCTCCCTAGGAAGAAACAGATACGAACATACTTCCAGAAGCTTAAACGCAGCCCTACTCTTCAGCCCCTGCACCTTTGCCTCCCTCGCAAACGAGTCCCTCCCCTGCCTGCTCTTCCACCTCGTCGAGGACGATGACGGGCGTCGGATCGAGCATTGAGGCGCTGGGAAGAGCGCAGGGGCTTTCAGGACGGTCCAGAGCTGTTGCGAGATGTGCTGCGAGTAGATGCATTGGGCCCGGCGGAGCGCGTGGGATGCAGGGCCCGACATCAAGTAGCTGGCTGTCTTGGGCACTGAGGCGGACGATGGAGATGACGGGAGAGCCGAGCGTCTAGGACTCTGAGTTCGTGAGGAATTGAGAGGAGAGATGAGAAGGAGAAAATTGAGGTAGTGCTTGGACCACGAGGCTGAGATGCGAGGCCACGATGAAGTGGCCAAGGAAAGTTTGAGCTCTACGGATTACAGAAGTATCATTAGAGAAAGTATCACTGTTGAAAAACAGAGCAAGAAACACATTAAGCAAGAGAGGATATTTCGTACGAAAAGTCTAGGCCTGGTTTACCGATCGTGTGTTCAGAGTGGGTGCTATGTGGTTCTGTCAAAAAAGCGGCGCGGGCCGTTACCTCCAGGCTCGAATGCAAACAAAACGACGTTGTTAACCCATTTGAATTTAGCGAGTCGGACACATTAGTCCCTCGTGTGTGAGAATTGTAGACTCAGGTTCAGATCATCTTTGATTCAGCTTCAATTCAAGTCCCAGTCCCGTTATCCCTTCCATTGCTAAGATTACTCCAACATCATCCACTATTCCAGAATCCATACACTCCAGAACCCATACAACCCATAACCATAACAAACGCCCCCCACGTGCCATGCTCCTTTTCTCGTACCATACTCAATGCCACAGAATTTCATCAGTCCAGAAAACTCGCCCCAACACCTCTTCGATCCTTCTTCAGCGGCGAGAACGCACCAAACCCACTCGCCATGCCAACAGCACTCTTCGGCCCCGGCAAGCCGCCCTTGTTCAATAATCTCGGAGCACCAAGCTTAATCTTTACAGGGCGTTTGCTAGCTTCTCCGTCGTCCTCGTCGAACAGACTTGTGCCTCCTCCCAGCTTGCGCTTCTTCTTCTTTGCTCCGTCCTCCGTGTCAGCAGCAGCCGTCTTTGGCTGAACTTTGGGAGCCTTAGCTGCATTTGCTGGTTTCACTGTCTCCTTGATCAGGAATGGGATAGATGCCTCGGGATTCTCGTTCTCGCCGGTTTCCTCTTCGTTTACTTGTGATAATGTGCCGATTTTCTTAGGTGCTCTCCTGACAGCTGGCTTTCTGGTTTTGGCATTGGCTTCTGACTCCCCGAGAATGTTGCTTGCTGACTTCGGAGCTTTCCTCTGAGCCTTGAGCTTTGGGGCCGCCGAAGGGGTTAAGCCACCTTGATTTTCATCGGCTGTCGTGGACGCTGGCGGCTGCTCTTGAGAAGCTTCAGCTTCTGCACGCTCTTGCGCTTCTCCCGCGACTTCTGGTTCTGCCTCTTGTTCGGGTGTGTCCATAGCGATGGTGATAGTGCGGTTGAGGAAAGGCGTAATAGAAAACAAAGACTTTTCGCCGACCATTGACTGATCCGCTCTACCCCGTTTGACCGGCCCTCTCTTTCCTCTGACCGCAACTCCGTCCGGTGTGCCAATCTCCACATCAGTGCTCAATTCCAGAGCCCCTCTCTTTCGTCCCTTCATCGCTGGACCATCTGCTTTGCTGGCTGTTCCAGATTTGGTGATCGTAGCCTGTGCAGTTGCTAAGTCTGCCTGACATTGCTTTAACGTGTCCTTGGTCGTCCGGAGCTTAGTACGGAATTGGTCCAGTTTACTCTCGAGTACTGCTTCCCGGGTTTGCAAAGCTGCCATTTCCTTCTCTGCGTCCTTGCGTGCCTGCTCTCTCTCGCGCTTCTCCTGACCCAGATCGATCCTTAACGTTTCGATTTGAGTTTGCAATTCTGACTCGGATACTAGGCGTGAGGTGTCTTTGCTTCGTTCCTCTCGCGCCAATTCCTTCTGGAGCTCGTCGATACGAGACTGTAATTCGGCATAGGCATCTTTACTGGCCTTTGCTTTGCTGCGCTTTTCCCGTGCAAGTTCCTTCTGGAGCTCTTCGATTTGAGACTGCATCTCGGCGTCGGCGTCCTTGCTAGCCTTGGTCTTGCCGCGTTTTATCCGTGCAAGTTCCTGTTGGAGCTCCTTGACCTGGTTCTGCAACTCAGCTTCGATCTGCTCGTGTGCCTCCTTTCCTCGCCTTTCCCGAGCCAAATCTTTCTGCAGCTCCTCAACCTGGCTCTGGAACTCCACCTCCATCTCCTTCCGCGTCTTATCCTTCCCCTTCTTCTCTAGAGTTAACTCCTTCTGAAGATCATCAACCTGATTCTGCAGGTCTGAGTGGACTTCCTTCAGCGCCTTCTCCTTGCCCTTCTTTTCTTGAGCCAACTCCTCTCGAAGCTCCTCGATCTGGCTTCGTAGTTCCGCCTCGGCTTCCTTGCGCGCCTTGTCCTTCCCTTTCTTCTCCTTGGCCAATTGCTTTTGGAGATCCTCGACTTGCCTCTGCACTTCAGACTCGGCCTCCTTCCGCGCCTTATCCTTGCCCTTATTCTCGCGAATCAGGGCTTTCTGGGCCTCGTCCAGTTGATTCTGCAAGTCCATTTCCAAGTCCTTCAGTGCTTTATCCCTCTCCCGTCTTTCCCGAACAATTTCGTTGTTCAGGTTGTCGAGTTGATTCTGGAGCTCGGTTTCCCGGTCGCTGGTTTGAGTCTTTTGTGCTGCACGCTTCGAGGCACGTTTTTCGGTTTCTAGTTCCACCTCAAGCGTGCTGACTTGTCGTTGAAGCGACAGTTTCTCGGCAAGGATTGTTTGTTGAGACAACGCCTGGGATTTCAGATGCTCGAGCTCCGGCTTCAGGGCGGCTAATTCACGAGCAAGTGACAGTTTCTCGGTAAGTACCTTTGCGGAATCGCTCGTGACACCATTCATCGCACTCAATTCGGCCTGTATGCGATTCCAGTGAGCCTCCGCGCCGCCAAAATATCACCGCTGCGCAGAAATTGACCGGATTTACCTTTAGATTGACCAATTCCCTCCCCTGCATCCTCAACTCAACATCTTGCCGCCGGAGATTCTCTTGTGTCTCGCACAATTGTCCCCGTAGCCCCTCAGCACTCTGCTCTAGCATATCATGCCGGTCATCGCTGAGAGCCAGCTGTTCGTGCAATTCGTCGTTCTCGTTCTCGAGCATAAGAATCCGTAATCTTAGTCGCCGTGCACCCTCATCTTTTATGATCATATCGGTATTACGCAAGTTCTCTTGGTAGGCCATCTGCAAGCTTTGCGTTTTTGCTGAATGCTGCAGGTAGAAATGTCAGTACGCACGCTACAGCGGTGGGGGATCGGATACATACACCGTCGATATTGGAGTCATCGTGGTAAGTCAATGATGAGTCCATGTGTGCTATTATTTTATGTGAACATTTGGGGGTGGAAGCTCTGCTGTGAAGATGTCATGGGAATGATCTGCAACGCGGCTGAAAAGTCAACAAAAACAAAGCTAAGTAGGCTGGAACCGACCGGGCAACGGCGGGGCACATCCGATAAGTATTCTACGGTATACTGTATATACCGGTACTTCGTAGAGCTAGAACGCAGCAATGGAAAACCCATGTTTGTATCTTCCCATTAATCATATATATTATAGAAGATTGTTGTTAAATTATTGGGTCTGTTTGCAAAAAAACATCTGCCTGCACTGTTTACATCCTCACGCCTGATTTTCCCAATTCGACCCAACCCAATCCAATCCACCCCTATCAACTAGCCGAAGCCGAGAGAGCGGGCAAGGCCACCTGTGCAGCATCGTTTGTACGGAAGTCCCGTCTGTAGCTCAGTCATAACCATAACCTGAGCTCCAACAACGCCATCTACTGTCCTTCCCGACGACCTCTGTTACTGCCACGCAAACTCCCTTCCACCACCATGCATTTCCTCAAAGGGCTGGTTGTTTCTCTCCTACCCTTCACTGCTCTCGCAGCCGAAAAACCTGCCACCGCCGACCGATTCCAACAATACCACGCGAAAGCCCTCTCGTCGACTCCATTGAAGCTCGACGATGCTCAATATGCAAAGCTCACTAGTGCACCAAGAGACTACTCAGTAGTTATTCTTCTCACGGCTTTGGATGCTCGATTCGGATGCCAAATGTGCCGCGAGTTCCAGCCGCATTGGGAGTTGTTGTCAAAGAGCTGGACTACAGGTGACAAGACGGGAGAATCGCGTTTGGTTTACGGGACTTTGGATTTCATCGATGGAAAAACCACTTTCCAAAGTGTCAGTCAATAATGTGCCGTTGGGATTGAGTTATGCTAACATCAGCTCAGCTCGGACTCCAAACTGCTCCTATTCTCCTGCTTTTCCAACCTACTACCGGTGAACACGCCGTTAAAAACAAGCTGCCTATCAGATATGACTTTGCAAATGGGTAGGTGAATATAATACTGTTTTCAAACCTAGCTAATGCTTTCAGACCTCAGACAGCCGAGCAAGCACACGCGTGGATTTCCCAGCATATGCCAGGACGCCCACATCCAAAGGTTGTCCGACCGATCAATTGGCTTCGCATAATTACTATCACAACGACGATACTCGGAACGCTTGTCTTCGTCAGTGTTGCATGGCCATATTTTGTGCCCATCCTTCAGAACCGGAATCTTTGGGCCGCTATCAGTTTGATTGCCATCCTCCTCTTCACCAGTGGACACATGTTCAACCACATTAGAAAGGTGCCTTATGTTGCTAGTGACGGCAAGGGTGGAATCAGCTACTTTGCTGGCGGGTTTCAGACCCAATATGGTTTAGAGACACAGATTGTTGCTGCCATATGTAAGTCTCTTGCTGCTAAAAATAGCTTCATGGTACTGACAGAATTCAGATGGCCTTCTGTCCTTCGCCACCATTTCGTTGGCCTTGAAAGTACCTCGCATTCGAGACCCCAAGATTCAACAAGTTGCTGTTCTCGTTTGGGGAGGTGTGCTCTTTGTCATGTACAGCTTCTTGCTCAGGTACGTCGAGCTCTTCACCCAGGCTATAATTGGAATATGGCTAACGAACTTCCAGTGTATTCAGAAGCAAGAACGGAGGATACCCATTCTGGTTACCACCTTTCATATAATCTCTGACTTGGGATTATTGGACGCATGACGAGTTGAAATATGGAGCATCGACTCGGGTGTAAAAAAGCTCAGTACCTGTACAATAGCTCCAGAGGCAAGGACTTTTGATGAAACGAGAAGGCGAATCCTGATTACGCTTTTACTCTGGCGTTTCAATTTGATGGGATATATGATGGCATAAGTGTGTCTGGAGGGCTATTGCGCTCACTCATATAGATTGATGATGTGCCGACATGAATTCCAAATCACATTAGACGATTAGCTCGCGCTGACTATGTGCACCAACCTCGGGCCAGTGCCTGTTCCAATCCAACCATTTCATTTACTTGTCGAGAGTCGCGAAGATTGCAAAATTATAGTAATGCAATCGTTCCAATCTCAATACTCTGACGAGTCCTTGCATCCGGCTCTGAAGTCGGATTGTCAAAAGCACTATGCCCTAAAAACTGCGCCCGCTCATCCATCTCAGTCTCGTTCGTAATCAGGATGATAAACATTGTCATCCTCCGCTAGCCGGAAAGTAATATCACTTATGGCTTATTATGGTTTTCCCTACTGTCCGACTCGTCATCTGTTTGCTAGCTGGACCTAGGTAGTTCTCGCCATTGCGGTTTCTACACTGCAGATACAGCTCGAAGAAGGCCTCATCGTGAATGGACGAGACGTTGGTGATCTCTTCAACTTCGCTGCTTCGTTTGGGCTCGTAGAAGTAGATCTCGGTGGGATTTTCGACGTCCGACATGCGGTTGAGGTTTGCACGAACGGTCCTTGGATCTATGACGTTTGAGTGTTCGCAGTCATGAATATTGTTTATTAGCTGTTTACAGGCAACTACGCCACACGGAATATTAGTCTATGCATTCACTAGAATCCCACAAGCTTTGTATCTGTGCATCGGGTTGAAGTACTATTAACTGGAGATTAATAGCACACCAGGTAGCAGTGCCTTTTCAACGGCGCCTGTTTACAATCAGTACCGCACTTCTCGCTAACGAGTCGACCAAGCCATGTCATGGATAGATACCTATGGACCGTACCTTGCGTCTTCACCCAGCAAGGCAGTTTCTCGACCGCCTCCATCCACCGCTGCAGATTACCATACTTCTCAACCGGCAACCTCGAGGCTTTCCAAAGATGCATCGGTGCCGCGACAGCGATATCAGCAATCGTTAGCTCGTCGCCAGCCAGCCATCCAGTCTTCGCCAGCTGCGCATCCAGCACGCCCGCAAGCTTGTTCCACTTTGGAGCCTCGTTATTGATGATGGACTGCTGGACCTCACTTTTGAGGAGCTGCTTGACGACGTACTCGACCAGGTGGACGTAGCAGCTAGGGAACCAGACGGAGGCTTCGCACAGGAGCCACTTGTTAACGTCGGCGCGGACTCTGAGATCTTTAGGGGAGTAGGTAGAGTTACTGTTGGGGAAGTCGGCGGCGTACTGGAGGATGGCGTTTGATCCGGTGATGTTGAAGCCAGAGCCGTCTGAGGCGCTTGGGACGGCGCCATTGGGGTTCTTGAATACTTTGGTCTCAGCATACGTCTTTCCATGCCTGGGCGTTTGCTCGTACAATTTCGAGATATTCAGGATCCTTGTGTTCCATGGTAAAAAATTTTACGAAATTCAGCTCGAAGGGTGTGCCGAGTAAGTCGAGACCTGCGAGGACTTTCCTCGAGTTGACCGTACGCGGGTCGAGATAAACCTGAAGCATGATGCTCACCATTGATTCCTCAACTTCCGAACAAAAGAAACAAGAGGATGAAAATAATGGTCCATTTCAAGATTGAGGACGAGCTAACATGTAATGATCAATCAATTCGGGCTCTCAAGACTAGCTGATGTACACAACCGACGATTGTTTGGAAACACAGCCTTAGCACCACCCCACTCACCACAAGGCCGTTTTCATTCCCCCAGCACCAGATGGCGATGCGACAAAGATGAAGCGCTTTACTCCGTACAGCCCGCATGTTGCGATGCTCTCTTAGTAGGCGAGCTAATGGCCTCCGCCCTTCCGTTAAACCAGAAAGAGAACGGACGAGACGCAGCTCGAGTCTCGACTAGTCTTCTCCATCTTCCCGGCGTAATTCTGCACGCCAGCATCCATTGCGAAAGCCAAACTTCGAAGACAGACGGACAGCTAGCTAGCTAGCTTCTTGCTGACAGGTAACTCGCGGTATGATAGCTCAGGAAGGAAGTGCACTGACAGAGTACAGACCTGGTGTAATTGAAGCATCACCCGTGCCTACTCCACACCATGGAATACACATTGCCCTCCAGACCAACCTACTTTAAAACCAAATGACTGGCCAACGGCACCCACTAGAGAGGCGCCATGACAAAAAGGTCAGCCTAGTCAGTCTTGTTCGTATTCGAACCCGTTGTACCTATCAAATTAAAGAGTTATCATGTTGAGCGGATCCTTGTTGCAAGCTGTGTGGTACTTGGAGATGATCTCGGAGAATTTGTCTTAAACAAAACCCAACTTCTGAAATGATTTTAGAATGGTTCTTGTCATAAAAACACATCTCAGTACTCGTCTGGTTGTAGGCGATCCATGATTGGTCTGTCACTAAGGATGCTTGGTTCTAGAGAAGCCAGATTTGCTAGAGCGATAACGTCGGAGAATTGCGAAGAGTTGAAACATACCTTCGTCGTAGGAACTTTGGCAGTCTCAGGCCATGACGATACCGCAATCGTGTCTCCAGCTAGATGAGTCTGAAGTTGCAAGAGAAGTTCATGCGGCTGACTGCGGTCAAATGGTGGAGAGAGAAGATCGGGGCCAACTAAGCGAACTTGCTAAAATAAAGCCGAAAAGACTGATTCGCAGGACTGAATGCATGAGGCTTCGGAGCAGAGGGGGTTAGAGCTCTCAACGGAGACGGAATATATGAAATGACAAGTGCTGATGCTGTCCAGAGCAAGATATAAATCAAAAGCTGGGGTCGACTAAAAAATATATGGCACTTTGCCGGCACTACCAGGTCTGCATTACCTGGCGTAAATCAGAATAGAAGAAATTATATGGACGCAATTCCCTGCTACAATGTCAAGCAAGACTTGTTGTACAGCACAAGTGGACAATTGAACATAGAGCGAGACTTACCTATATGAGCAGAGACTTTTGAGCTGCACTACCATAAAATCGTTATTCACACGGGGCTATCCCACCAACGCCTAGTTATTCCTAATAACGTCTTCTCTCAGGCCCTCGCTGAACTCCGACCCTGCTCCTTCCCAGCAGCCCTCGACTTCTTCCTTACAGGCTGATAGAAGTCGTTGAAATTCATCACAACACCAAGGAACCTCATATCCACATCTGACTGGTATGCCAAATCGCCTAGCAACAAACACACTCTGGACTTGAAGTGAGCACCCAGAGACTGCAACCGCTCTTGCAAGGCCGGAAACTCGTCTGCGATGGGATCTTCTGGTGACGGAGCTGGCGTCGAATCCAGATGGTTTCGTGGCCCTCGCCGAGTTGTGGCAGGAGTAGTTGCCAACAGGCCATCTTCGTCTTCACGTCTGGCTTGCGCTTCTTGCCGTATATCGGCACCTTGGCGCCTCATAAAGTCCGACACAGCCCAGCTGTAGAACCCATCTACGACATCTCGATAGCTGAGCATAAGGCGAAGGATTTCGCCTAACTGGACCATGAATGTGTTTTCGTCGACCTCTCCATGATGCTTCTTTTTTGCACCGAGGAGGCCCTTTTGGGTGATGGCGTTTAAATACTTTGTGTGGGCTTTGATAAGGTCGTCTAGGGTGCAACCCTCTTTATGTATGGCAGTCTGTAGCTCATCCCAAGAGCTTTCAATGACCTCGAACAGAATGTAGTATTGAAGTTGACCAATAAAGTGTATCATTTCCGCAAGTACACCTCTCGTCAACTTCCAGACTTTTGCTACATTTTGATCGCCGTCTTGAAGGACACCTCGGGCGCCCGTCATGCATTTGCGCCAGGTTGATGACAGCGCAAACTCGACGCGCTTGATTCGCCACAAAAAGTTAAAAACTTTGAGGTATTGTCTATTACCCCATTCCGTTACAACAACGTCTACAGGCGCATCGATCTTGTATTCCAGCGTAAAACAGTCCCAGCCAATGTCTCCGTGTGATAGCTGCAGCATTCTGGCATCCAGTCTACGGAGAACCTCAGGAGAATCGTATTGAGCATTGGAGCCTCGGATAGCATGCTCCAGTTGAGCTGTCAAAGTATGGCGATATTGGGCTCCAGCAGGTCTGTCAAGATTTGACGATAATGACTCCATAAGCAGCGCGATAAAGTCACCTTGGCCCAGCAGGATGTAGTTCTTGAGCGCCTTGAGATGCTCGAACAGATGGAATTTCTCTGCCATCAAATGGATCAAACGGGCCATTGTAGTCTTGTATGCCTCATCAATCCAAGTTTCGAGAGTAGCTGTATCGCCGTATCGTAATTCCTTCGATGCTGCTTTTGAATACTCCTCTACCCATTGGGAGTCTCCACAGCCATAGCGGATAAAGTTGAGCGATTTGCCAATGAGAAACACTTTCTGTGCAAAATCTTGGGTGATAATGCTCGGAACCATGTCTTCATTAAGCTTGTACTTATTTTCCCACACACTGCTGGCACCCCCACGAATCCTGCTATCCGGAGTATCATTCATAGTATTCGGATCCTGTTCCGAAACAAAAAACTCGTAGTAAGGATCAGACAACTCTCCATCGTAAATCCAGTGTCGTAACATATCGTAGAATGGTCGGGTGACATGGGTCAACAGGCGTTCGGCAAAAGCCCCGACCATCGGGTCGCCATGAGAGGAAGAAAATCCATGGATGAGAGTGATGAGCTGGCCACCCTTCTTGCTTCTCGACTCTTCGCTTATCAAGCTCATCAGCCTCAGACCCATGGTCGCTTCCCGGGTCCAAACTACACATCTTTTCAAAGTGACTCCGGCCTTTCCAATGCCGCCTCTAGGTTCCTTCTCGTCAAGAGAAGACAACGCTCTCCGAATTTGACCTTCCAGGGTAGCCACTAGGCCAAGGTAAGATCTGAGCTCTCCTCCAATGGCAGCTCTCAAGCTCTGGCCGAGTAAGCCGCCTCCCGGAGACTGTGTGAAAGATGACAATCCTTTGTACAGTAGCGAAGGTTCGGCCAAAGTGCGAAGGATGGATAGTATCGGGACCGGTAAGGACGGAGGTAGTGTTAATGTCGAATTTGAAGAGAACGGGAGATGCGATGAGGACAATCCTTGCAGTGTAAATGGCAGGTCTCGGAGGATTGCTGTTTCAGGCGGGTCGATTTCCACATAATTTTCAGCAAGCAGAGCCGTTTTCAAAGCAACGCCTTCCCGCTGAATCGCTGCAGATTTAGCAAATGCATGCGTTTCTTCTCTCCGGTCCCGCTGTCCTCCCTCACGCTCTGGCAATCTTTTCAATCCCTCTGGCGCAAACGCTTCCGAGAAGGCTCTCTCTTCTCTCCTATGGTCTTCTCTTCTAGAACCAAACTCTGGCTGTCTTGGCATGTCATCCTCCAGGTTCCGAGATCGTCGTGCATTCTTGACAGGACTTTTGAAAGGGCTTGTAAGAACCGGTAACGCCCGTTGCTGTTGGTCACTGAGTTGGTAGAGAAAGTATAACACGGCCCATTTTTGGTTAATGACCGGTATGGAGAGTAATTTGCTATACAAATTCGTAAATCGAAGCGCTTTCTCCGGGCTTGGGTTTGTTTGTATTAAACGTTTCTTGATCAGGTCGGAGGCTTGGTTAACATCTGCAATGACAGCAGGAGTTCCCGAGCTGTAGAACTATGTCAGTTATCAATTAAGTTGCATCGTATTGCAGAGCACTGTACACATACCTCTGCAAGAGTTCCGAGACCAAATCCACCGCCGTATCGTGTCTGTCCTGCGCTGAGGCTGGATCCTCACCAGGAATTTCCACCTGGAATCGTCGCACTAGGGAGTTGACACCAGTGCTGACACGTTGGATTTTAGAAGACATATTCGCATTGTTGCGTGTGGAATTGTTGGGCGTAAATTGTCGTCGTCGCAAAGTAGAACGTGGATACTCTCTTTTGGTGAAGGACTGACGCGATTAGATGTACGCGACGAGGCGGGAAGTCACCGGCAGTCTCAAAAGCCAACGTCACCTCTCAACAAGGTGCGAATAGGTCCAACTTCAGCCATCGACCACAACCCCAGACTCAGCGAGTGCAACTCCAAATTGTATCGCTAGATTTCTCTGGCTCTGTGTGATTAATGGGCGCTTGCATTTTATCCACGTCGCGCTGTTCCGGCCGCTTCAGGCGCGACTAATTCACAATGCCCGATATCGATATCGACCCTTCGGCATTGTTCAGCCAGCCCAAGCCAATCTTACATCCCCCGAAGGTCGTAAACACATCTGCGCCGAGTGCGCCGAAGGTCTCCAAGTCCAATAATGTGCCCGCTCGGATTGATCTTGAGCCGCTCTATACTGCGCTCAAGAGCGCAATAGCCGAGCATTGGGGGATTTATAAAGAATCTATCAGCCTTTTTGTCTCGGGTTCGTACAATTCTCTTGATTTATATCATTGCTCTAACCAAAACCTCCATTTACGCATTCTTACATTTGCTGACATTGCCCCTTTATAGGCCAACTGAACCAAAAAGAACTATCCGCGCGAATCGATGGCTTCCTCGTAACCCCTACGGGCGAAATAGAGCATTTGCACAACCAGCTGATTGCAGCAATATACGCAAATGTTACGAGGGAAATGCCAGATCATGGAGTGGCCAGCTGGGTCAGCGCCAATGATAAACCTACAATGGGAGCTGGTAGCAAACCTGTCAGCGGAGACGCTGCTGAACAAAGACTAAAGACCGAGGTTATGCAATTACCAAGTCGAGATAGGAGGAGGCTGAAGGATCTAAGTCAGAACGATGTATGCTGCACTAAGTGGAATGTCTGCAACCAATTGCTGACGTTGATCTTAGTTCGACCCTCGGCAAGAAATGGCGAATATATTTGGAGAGCAACACAGGCCCAAATCTATAAAGCCAGTAGAACAAGTACCAGCAAGTGCAGGTGGTTTGAACAAGACGAGTAAGCCGTTCTTCCATTCGTAAACAGCGCGGGCGATATTAACCCTGAAATTAGACTGGGACCTCGAGATCCGGAAGAGATACAACCAACCTCTAGCTTCAGAAGTAGGAGAATTCCCCGATACCGCCTCGATCGAATCACGCATGTTACCCATTTGTTACGAGACTGGGCTGGTATCTGGCCACGTGCAAGATGCAGCTCACTTCATGTCAACAGCGACGGAGACTTTTATCAAGGAGGTTTTGTCTTCTGTCTTCAGTAAAACACGATCCAACGGCCCAGGCTCAAGTGGCAGTGCCGGAACTGGAGGCGGGTCTAGTTGGGTTCAGACTCACAAGTATCGAGCTCAGTTGGAACGAGAGGAAGAAGCTTCCTTGCGGGGCGAATTGCAAAGAGACAAAAGCGGGCTCTTACCCATCGAGGCCAGAGCCGCAAGTGAACGAGCTCCACTTGGCATGGCTGATTTTCGTTCAGCACTGGAAATTGGTGATTGTGGCCTGGGACAGATGCCGGTCGTGGTGCAACAAATAATGATGGGCTACCGGGAAGGCGAGGTCGAGTCATGGAACGACTACAGCTGGCCCGATACACACCCTAGGGTTGTTGGTGAGGATATCGATGCTGACGTCGAGATGGGAGGCATGAATGGCATGAACGGCATGAACGGCGTGAACGGCATGAACGGTTATGGCTTCGATCAGGAGGTGGATGAATGGGGCTGGGAAGGAGGCGAGACGGAAGACAAATCATCGCTCGACAGCCTCTTGGACTCCTGTCTGCAAATCGGTTCTTGAATCTCTTGCGTCTATTCGTCTAATTGGCATGGAAGGTTTTGCCTGGCGCATTGTCCGATTGGACACTGCATAGCATGGTTTGCAAGGCGCACATTATCTGGGACAATGTAAATGTACAAAAGGAGCATAGGCAGAAGGAGTCGGCATGGGAGACTGGGACGGATCTTCTGCACTTGGACGATACCCTGATTTGGCTTTGAGCCCGGCTTTGATGGAAGATATGCAATCGAGGAAATTTCTGAAAGTCCATGAGTGCAGAATTAATTGTATAATTTCCTAAGAGAAACTTCGAATCTAATACTACAACTTCGCAATGGCGAGACACCGGAAACAAGGTCTATGCGCCTCGCGGCGGCCTTCTATGCCAAGATTAGGGACAACTCAGCCTCGTCCAGGGGAGGTTGTTGTGCGTCAGCCTCACCCCTCCATACCTTATGCATTCTCGCCGACTCCCAAGCCTCTACTGCTAACATTTTTTCTTTTTCTTTTCATAGGTACTCTGAAAATCTTCCCGAAATGTCGATCATCATTGAAAAAATTCTTGCGGCAGCGCCGACCACAGAGCGAGGCCGACCCACCCAGCTTTCCGCGGATCCCAAAGGAGAACGGATAGCCTACGCCGTTCGTGCCTCCCAGTTGTCAAGGTAGATCTCCGATTAACATTACAGAATAGTCCGGCAAATCCATTTTCCTGAGGTCTATCGATGATCCTTCTGTCAGTAAACAGTACAATGCCCACACGACCCAGACATCCGTCGCTCGCTTCTCCCCGTCCGGGTTCTACGTTGCGTCTGGAGATGTTTCGGGTGCGGTGAAGGTGTGGGACGCTGTGGAGGGGGTCAACACGAAGGGCGAATACCATATCATCTCTGGAAGAATCAACGATATTGCCTGGGATGGAGACTCGCAGCGGATCATCGCTGTTGGTGATGGGCGGGAACGGTTTGGACACTGCATAACGGCCGATAGTGGTAACTCGGTAGGGGAAGTCAGTGGTCACTCCTCAGCCATCAATTCGGTCTCGATCCGCCAGCAAAGACCTCTACGGGCATCTACTGGAGCCGATGATAGTAGTATGGTGTTCCTGCACGGCGCTCCTTTCAAATATGCGAACAAGCTTGGTGGGCTGCATAAGGGATATGTTTACGGTGTTGGATTCTCACCGGATGGGAATCACCTTGTTAGTGTAGGTGCGGATCGCAGAATTCAGCTCTACGATGGCAAGACTGGGGAGGCTACGTCTCAAATTGGCGAGGGTGAACATAAGGGGTCTATATTCGCGGTCTCGTGGGCCAATGACTCTAAGCGGGTGGTCACGGCCAGTGCGGATCAGACTGTCAAGCTGTGGGATGTGGAAGCTGGAAAGGCAGTTCAGACTTGGAAGTTTGGGGCAGGAAATGTTAGTGTTCCAGACCATCAAGTCGGTGTTGTGTGGCCAGCTGGACGAAGTGATGGTATGGTCATCAGTTTGAACTTGGCTGGAGACCTCAACTATCTCGTTGAAGGGAGCCAAGCTCCCACTAGAGTCGTTCAGGGCCACAATAAGAGCATTACTGCCCTCGGCTCAAGCTCGGAGGGAAAAGGGCAGACATTCTGGACTGGTAGCTTTGAGGGGAGAGTTTGCTCTTGGGACGCAGATGCTGGTATTGGTTCAGCAGTCGATGGAGAAACACACAAGAATCAAGTGACGGCTTTCCAGACTACCCCGGGTCGGGCATATAGCGTTGGGTGGGACGATACACTGAGAATCTCAGACTCAGCCGGAAACACTTTCCTAGGTCAGACTTCGAAACTTAGTGCACAGCCGAAAGGGTTGGCTTCCGCAGATGGCAGAGTCTTTGTCGCAACCAACTCAGGGATCGACATATTCTCCGAGGATAGCCTGGTTGGTAGCGTACCCACAAAGGACTTCACACCTACCTCAATTGCGGCTTCAGGATCGCTCGTCGCGGTTGGAGACGACACGAACATCGTGCATATCTATGGCGTGGATGGAAGCGACAAGCTGACTCCAAAAGAGACGCTTACGAGATCAACGGCGCAAATCACAGCACTTACATTCTCGCCTGATGGGTCGTTGCTTGCTGTAGGCAACTCAGCAGGCAAGATCGTAGTCTACGACACTAGCTCGTGGGAGGTCAAGACCGATCGATGGTCTGCCCACACTGCCCGAATTACGAGCATCTCATGGAACGCCGAAGGAACGCATGCTGTAAGTGGTGGTCTGGACACGAACGTTTTCGTTTGGAGTCTCAAGGCCCCGGGCAAGAGAGTCAAGGCCGCGAATGCACACAAAGATGGTGTGAACGGGGTCGCCTGGGTTGATGGTGGGAAGAAGATCGCCAGCACAGGAGGGGATGCCGCACTGAAGATCTGGACAGTTTCTGGTGTCGAATAGAATGCCCATGCAAATCATCCTCTTCGGCAACCTGTTGCTGTTGTTGTTGTTCGTGGAGCTTGCGGTAGTTAGATATACAGCCAAAAGTTCTCACATGAATTACGAAGCACGAGATGCATCACATTATATTTACCTTGTGATGGGAGTCAATGTGATAAGTAAATAAAATTAGGCGTGTTTCGCTACTCTAATGCCGGCCAGATGCACGTTACGTGCCTTGTGTCCCCCCCACCTTTGAGCCCGAAGTATCCCTGCAAGCCAATCTGCACTACTATCAAATCCTGGGGAAGCTTCATTTGTTATTCATTGCTTGGTAGAGGCGAAGTAAAGTAAAGCCAACTTCAAGTTCAAGTTCAAGTTCAACTCCATCTCCATCTCCATCTCCAACTGCAATTTCAACATGGTGCAATGCCCAACAACGTCTATATTTCGACCCATGAATCCTCAAACATGAGTCCGCCTTCGTCTCCAGACGGGCCTGTATCGCCCACCAGCCGCAGATCTGGGCGCTCAAAGCGAGGCGTAAGCACCCCATAAATATATCCCTTCCTATTACCACGCACCAGTAATCAGTTCAAGCTAACACCTCCGTCCACCCGCAGGTTCTGCGAAATGGAACCTTCATCCTGCCAGGCACAGGCGAACGTGTGCGGCGTCAGATAACACTGCGTAATCCCTTGAACTTCGATGCCCCAGCTCGCTCTTCCAGCAGCTCTGACGACTCAATCCTACCTTTGCGAAGGATCTCAGCCTTCTCTCAAGCCGGTACGTTCCGGACGGCGCTGGATTCTACGACGGAGGCGTGGTGGGATCTTTGGGAATGGCTGCAGACGCCTCTTGCGAAGGGAATCTTGAAGGCGAGCTTGGCGTATTTTCTGGGGAGTATGGGGACATTTTTGCCGCCGTTGGCGAGATTCTTGGGGCATCAGGATGGAAAGCAGTAAGTGATACTTGCAGAACTTACGTTCTTGCTGTAAGGGTTTTCTGGCTACTGCGTCTTGGTAGTAATACGGGTTTACTGACATGATGAAACTAGTCTTGTAGCTACCATCACTGTTTACTTTCATCCGAGCAGATCACAGGGTAGTATGCAAGAGGCTATATTGCTAGGTATGTAAACTCGATCATTCCCTCAAAGAATCGATATGTAATCAAGAAATGAAAAATAGCTAATTCTTCTGAAGGACTCGGCGCTTTTTTCTACGCCGTTTTCATCTCGATCTCCAGTATGGCCACTGCTGTATTTTTTGAGTCACAAACGGACATGATCGAGCTAGGATATATCATGGTAGTCATAGTGTTCATTGGAGGTGGTCTGGGCTTCATTGGCTGGATCAAACAGAGATACAATGCCCCTCTGGTCAGTGTCAGCTGCAGTCTAGCTTCTCTGGCCATCATTACAGGTATGTGATACCCTGGATGGGACTCTTGAAATTTGGTCGACTCTTATTGCATGCATCTCGACGGTGGCTTATCTGACCTGGTAATATGGGGATCACTAACCATTATCCAGTGACAACCAAGGAGAATGCCATCCAAGTCGGTGTCTTTTCCAATGATAAGATTATCCAAGTCATGAAAATGGTTCTGATTGGCATGGCAAGCACTTCGCTTGTGAGTCTTCTGGTCTGGCCAATATCAGCCCGAACCGAAATTCGCGAGACTATGATTCAGGCCACCGACTCTCTCGAGGAAATGCTTACTTTGATTGCACGGGCATTTCTGAGCGGTTCGGAATTAGAGCTGAGATCGGCAACGTTCAATAAAGCTCAAAACAAATACAAGTCTGTTTTCTCCAGGCTTCAAACAAATTTAAAAGAGGCCAAATTCGAGCACTACCTGCTTGGAACAGAGGAGCAATACAAGCTACAAGCCAGCCTCGTCACATCAATGCAATCGCTCTCTCAAGCCATCGGAGGCTTACGATCAGCGGCTACGACCCAAATGACGTTACTTAAGGAGATCCCAACACCCGGAAGCCGGACACCACTTCTACCCCAAAGCTCTCAGCTTCCACTTCCGATGATCTCTGGTCGGCAAGACCAGTTCGCCGCATTAGCTGCCATTGAAGAGGCGTCAGAGGAAGGAAGTTGCACCGAAGATCACTTTAGTCAAGGGGACGAACATCCCAAGGTCACTAGGAAAGCAAGTGGTGTTAGCGTCGTCAGTTCCATATTGCCACCTGCCCGCACGACCTCTGAAATATTCTCACGTTTGTACGTACTCCATGTTCCTGACAATTTGATCCTGTCTCGCCACTTTGCAATGGGCGATCAGGCTAAGCAACTAAATCATACTGACCCTCGTTTTAGTATCGTTCATCTCGGACCATCGATGAAATCCCTAACTTACACGTTGAGCCTCATCCTGAAGGAATTGCCGTTCAGTGAAGGACCCAAGTACGAGATCAAAATCAACTCTCACTTCATGACAAGTCTTACGGAAGCAATGTATGTCAGAATCTCTTTTTTAATGCATATTTTTCTTACCCTTATTTAGAAAGCTCTACAGTGGTGCTCGAGCGGATGCGCTCAAGGAACTATACCGAAGTAAAGAATTAGATCGCGAGAGGCCTGAGAGCATCGAGGCCGATTTTGAAGAGGTCGCCGCAAGTTGTGGCCATTTCTCATTTTCCCTTCTGACTCTCGCAGAAGAGACGGCACGTTTCCTATCAATTCTGTTAGACCTGAAAGATGAGACTGAGGTGGCGAAGACACGCTCTTGGAATTGGCTACTTCCAAGCTTTATGCGGAAGTCGAAGAAGGATATTCCCAATGGCCCAGGCTTAAATCCTGAGGAAGAAGAGAGGTTGATTGAGCAGCCCGAACAGAGCGTCATACCAAAGGATCTCTCTGATCTTGTGATCGAGAGGCGAGAGACAAGACAGCAGAGTTTTACACCACCTGGGCAAGTGTGGAAATGGGACATATACCACAGGATATTGAAAGTTGTTTTGGTGCTCTCGAGAGATGATGGTATGTCTCCCTGCCCCGGTTCCTAAGGTTTTACTAATGAATTCGCAGTACGTTTCGCCTTAAAAGTCGGATTAGGAGCGTCTCTGTATGCTATGTTCGCATTCATTCCACTGACAAGGCCCTTCTATCAGGTAAGCCGCCAGGCCCCTTCCCCGATGTACAAGCACCCACTAACTTATCTTTCATAGCACTGGAGAGGCGAATGGGGTCTATTGAGTTACATGCTTGTTTGTGCAATGACTATTGGGGCTTCAAACACTACCGGGTGGAGTCGTTTTATTGGCACATTTATAGGCGCTGCCATAGCATGTTTCCTTTGGAGCGTCACACAAGGAAATCCTTTCGGTCTGGCCTTCTGTGGCTGGATGGTCAGCTTGCCGTGCTTTTACATCATTCTTGCTCGCGGGCAAGGTCCATTCGGAAGATTCATAATGTTGACCTACAACCTATCATGTCTGTATGCGTACAGTCTGTCGATAAAGGACGACGACGACGACGATGACGAGGGAGGTATAGTCCCTATAATTACCGAGATTGCCATGCACCGTGTGGTCGCGGTCTTGGCTGGTTGTTTATGGGGTCTTGTCATCACTCGAGTCTTGTGGCCAATCTCTGCCCGGAAAAAATTTCAGGATGGCCTCTCGTTACTATGGCTCAGGTCAGTTTTAATTATCAAAGCATTGGGAGACATGCCAAACTAATCAAATATAGAATGGGTCTCATCTGGAAACGCGACCCGCTGTCAACCCTCCTGGAAGGCGAGTCTCAAAACGAATACATGGACTTGAGAGAAGAGTTTGCTCTCCACCAATACGGTTAGTAAAATTTCATTCTGAATCCCAAGACTTACTGACAAAATTTGCTCTGTCAGTCCTTCGTCTCGACAGCCTTCGCAGCTCTGCAATAAGCGAATTCGAATTACGCGGGCCCTTTCCTGCAGTACCGTACAAAAAAATATTGGAATCTACAAGCAAGATGCTCGATGCATTCCATGCAATGAATGTAGTCATTCAAAGGGACTCGAACGCCAGTGAGGGACAGACCGTTCTTCTCAAGTATACTGCCGACGAGAGAGCGCAGCTTTGCTCTAGAATAAGTCACATGTTTCAAGGTATGCTCTGCTCCATGCGAGTTGCGAGTTGCGACTACTGAAGCTGACAAAACGAAGTACTTGCTAGCTCGCTAAAGCTCGAATTCCCGCTCAGCGATGCCCTTCCCAACACGTCGAATGCAAGAGACAGACTACTTGCCAAGATATTCCAGTACAGGAAAACCGCAGCAAGCTCCGAGCACGATCCCAACACCACCGTTGTGAGGGATGAGGACTATGAGATGATTTATGCGTATATCCTCGTTACCGGCCAGCTTGACGAGGAGTTGAAGAAGGTTGTGAAAGAGGTGGAGGATATGTTCGGGGTGATGGACGAGCACTTATTCAGATTGACTTGAACAGAATAATTTAGTGAGCATTGTTGAATACAGGAATGGTAATCCAAATACGGGGGAAGTGCGGGTATAACAGCGAGGTGTACAGAAGGATATTGCTTTCATTTTTATATACCATCATGATAACGGCCTGGCGCTCTACCATACAATTTGATACCCATTAACCGGTCCGCAATCTTGTCCGTCCAACCATGCATGCTTCCCCAACGCCTTTGTCCCTCATAGCCTCATCAATGTCAAATATCAGAACTTGGCCTCCCTAATCTTCCCAACCTTATTCCTAATATCGTACTCCACCCACTTCGCCACGCCCCTCCGTCCAGGCGCCACAATGCTCCCCGGGTTCATGACATGGCATCCCTCGTACGTGACGCAGAATGCCGGGGCCTCGGTATCTGCCAGCACCATCGCCGTCGGCAGCGGGTACACCTGCAGCGCGCTCGCGTAATCCCACAGCACGGGCCGGATCGCCATCCCGAACGGAGAGAGGTATCCTTGGTCGAGAATTGTTTTCACGAGCTTGCGCGCTGCTTGCAAGTCGCTGGACACAGTCTCTTCTTCTACGGCGGGTTGCGGCACGCGGGATTCAGCTGCGAGGACGTCATCGTCCATGACCATGTCTGGAGCTGGGGCTGAGTCACTGGTTGCCGGGGGAGGAGGCGTGTGCGGGATGTCCATTTCGTGGTCTTCGTCTTCGTCTTCGGGTGCTGGTGCTGATTTTGAGGGAGAGAATTTGATGGCTGTGCGACGGAGCCGGCTGGTCATGTTGTCTCTCAATAGGATGATCTCGTGGGTGGGGCCCAAGAGGGACAGACGTGAGGGATTGCTCGTCCAGATCGCTTCGCCGTCTGTCTTCTTGCCGCGCTCTTTCTCAGCTTCGGCATTGGCTGTTGCGAAGGCTCGCTTAATGCGGGATGTAAACATGTCTGGCACGCTCTTCCTCGGCAAGGGCGTTGCGGCTCCTGCTGAGAAAGAGGAGGCCCAGCCGTCGTTGTCGCCCGGGACGAAGATGAAGGTTGCGGATTGCAGGAGGGTAGGGTAGTCGGAGAGGGTTTGGGCGAGGCCATCAAAGTACTCTTTGTACTCTATGCTACCTCCGCTTCCTCCGCGGGCCATGACGGCGTGTTGGACGAAGTTGCCCATGAGGACGAAGGTCATGGGTGTATCCTCTTCTGGTTCTGAGGCGTAGAGTGTGAGGAGCTTCTTCAACGCTTGAAGTGTTCGCGGTTGATCCAGGTTCACCTCTCCCATGATGATCATTCGTCCTTTTCCTCCCAGAGCATCCTCGACTGATGAGGGGCGAAGGAGCCTTTGCTCTAGTTTTCGCATTTTTGATCCCACGGCTCGCTCGCTCCCAACGCCTAGAAAGTCCACCCAGCCGAATCCACCACCTGCGGTCAACCCCCCCTCACCATCCGCACCTGTAAGGCCGAGGGTGACCTTCCTTCTCTCACAAGGGGGTCCACCGATGAAGAATCCGACGAATTTACCACCAATCGTTCCTCCTACACCACCTCCACCTCCAAGCCCACCTCCACTATTGTTGTCGTCCTCTTCGTAGGTACCGTCTACTATTACAATCATGCCAGGAGCAAACCAAGCTCCATCTTCAGGAATTGGCTTCGCGTGGGTAAGATCTAAGGCAATACTTCCAGAAAGATCGTTGATAGCCAACGTTCCAGTCGGAGATATCGTCAAGAGACCCAGAAGCATATGGCTCGTACCATTTCGACCTAGGAGATTCGAAATTGGCGTCAGTTTATACGCTTGTTGGGTGGTCGCTAAGCGCGAGGAAGATCGTTTTGAAGAGGCTTTTGATGCCTCAAAGGTTGGAGTCTGGAAGGATTCGTTTCTGAGAAGTCTTTGTTGGATGAGGTTGTATCGATTGCGGAACACTTGGGTTTTATGAGAAGCTTGAGGAAGCAATGATGGTTTTGAAGTATCTCTGAAATCGGTGTTAATGAATGTTGACCCAAGTCTTCTGCAATACAGAGCATGAGACCCATACCTGTCAAAATGCTTCTTCGCAACATTATAGACCAGCCGAGGTTGCTCAAACGCATCAATGACCTTCAGCCATTTCCGAGGATCTCTTAACCCCTCGTCGTCGTCCTGGCTCTCCACATCCAGATTCGACATGCCGAAACTCGACTGGCTATCCTCTCTGGTTAACAGACTCGGCCTTATCCCAAGCCTCGCATGTGATACTTCGCCATTTTGTGAAGATCCAAGCACCAGACTATTCTGCCTGCTCAATTCCCTAGCAGCAACTATCCTCCCCCCTACCATGCTCCCCTCAAGGTTCTTCAGTATGTCTTTCAGATCGCTCCCCTCTCCATCCACTATAACACCACCATTTCTATTCTTCCAACTCTTAGCCACTTCCTCCAACACGCGTTCTGCCAGCCCTGCTTCTCGCCATTCTGTCCCGCAATGCCTCCCAATAAATGTAGCAATAACCTGTAAAGCGGAGGAGGTCAGGGTCAAGCTGTGTTTCTTGGTAAACGTGCGGAAAGCTAGAGGCCGTAGAGTCGCAGGAGGGAGTATAATCGGGAGGATGCTGGCTTTCGCACCCGTTGGCGCATTGAACGGTCTGATGGGATGGGCTGGAGTCCCAAAGGCGGGGGATGAAGAAGGAACTGGGTTCAGAGGAGCTGGCGTGGCAAGCTTTTTGAATATGGGTGCTGCCCTTTTATTTTCAGTGGTATAATTTGGTCGAGACATATTGGGTGTTGGTATGGTATCTTGTGTTCTGCGGTTGTATTTTATTGTTTGTTGGCGGACGCGTTCCAACACGCGTTGTACTTAGTAGCGCGTTTACCTTTTAACTATTTGCAGTACCTGTCGCATCCAGATTCTCTCCGTCACTTGTCAAGCCATCCACAATATTCACCATACCATCACCCAACTGCATCTACGACATTAGTTTACAATAATCCAATTCCTGATCCCTAAACGACAATTCTACTACTGTTGTCAAACTCGCGAGAGCTCAGTCTAAGATGGCCGAACCAATCGAACCACCCATCACTCTCTCCGAAGAGGCCAGCGCGGCAACGGAAGTCTTCAACTCGGTCAAAGTATCCCTTGCAGACCTCTGCGCAAAGGGTACCGCGCAGTATGCGCGCAAGAACTACGAGGAGGCCTCGGATCTGTTTGGGCGGGCTGCGGAGCTGCAAGCCGAGCTCAATGGCGAATTATCCAACGACAATGCCGATATCCTGTTCTTGTACGGACGCTCTCTCTTCAAGGTCGGCCAGAGTAAAAGTGATGTTCTGGGCGGAAAGTCGGGTGGGGAGAAGAAGAAGAAGAAGCCCAAAGGAATTGTGGAGGAGAAAAAGGCTGAGGAGAAGGAGGTTAAGACGGAGAGTGAGGAGAAGGAGGTCAAGACTGAGAGTGAGGAGAAGGACGTCAAGACGGAGAGTGAGGAGAAGGAGGTCAGGACGGAGAGTGAGAAGATTGCTGAGGAGGGCGCTGCTACTATCGCTGAACAGGAAGGAAGCGCGGCAGGTGCTGTTGTGGATGCGAAGAAGCCGCTTTTTCAGTTCACTGGTGACGAAAACTTCGAGGATTCGGACGAAGATTCTGAGGGGAGCGAGGCTGAGGCTGAGGATGAGGATGATCTCGCTTCTGCCTTTGAGATTCTGGATCTGGCGCGCATTTTGTTCGAGGGGAAGCTGAAGGCGATGGCGCTCGATGAAAACGAACCTCGCGATTCTCCAATGAAGAAACACGTGGATGAGCGATTGGCAGACGTCCATGATCTATTGGCGGAAATCTCTCTTGAGAACGAGAAGTACGTTCCTTGATCTTCTGTATTCCGGATTACACTAACGATCTGTAGTTTCCCCGCCGCTGTCACTGATTTCAAAACCGCCCTACAATATAAGAAAGCATTATACCCCGAAGAGTCCGAGATCATCGCCGAAGCCCATTTCAAGCTCTCTCTCGCGTTAGAGTTTAGCTCAATCACCGTGGCCAAGGGCAGAGAAGGCGAGGAGGCTACCAAGGAATCCGATTCCGCTTTAGACCAAGACCTGAGGGACGAAGCTATCAAGGAGCTGGAGCTGGCCATCCAGAGCACCAAGCTCAAGCTAGCGAACCAAGAGGTCAAGCTTGCCGAGACGTCCTCTCCTGATGATAACGAGGTCACCCGAACGCAGATTGCCGATGTGAAGGAGATTGTCGCCGAAATGGAGAGTAGAGTAAGCCCGCCAGCCGGACAATTTCTGCATTTTCTCAAGACTTCGCTAACACGTTTTCATAGCTCACCGAGCTGAAGGGCCCAGCCATCGATATCAAAGAGGCTCTCTACGGATCCGCCAGCATGGCAGGCGTCAACCCCAAGGGTGGTATCCTAGGCGCCACCCTCGGCGAGACGCCCGCCGAGGCCATCGCGCGGATCGACGAGGCCAAGAAGTCCGCAAAGGATCTCTCGGGTCTCGTGCGCAAGAAGACAAAACCTGCAGAGGAGGAGCCTACGGCCTCATCTTCAGCTGCGGCTCCGGCCTCGGCAAGCACGAACGGGAAGCGCAAGGCGGAGGACGATGAGGATGTCGTCGAGAGCGACAGCAAGAAGGCGAAAATCGAGGAGGTGGCTGATGCTGAGCCTGGCGCTTGAGGAGGATATGATTACACAGGAGAGGAGGGTGTGAGATGAAGCTGGCAGGATTCAACTGCCATGGATGGATGCACTTCTATGCTATGTATGTAATTTTGTATGCTACGTTATGCTATGCCATGATACCGGAAACGAGAAATGGGAAGGCAGGCGGGCAGGCAAGGCGTTCGGTTCGTCACGATACTGAGAATGGATTAGTAAGGGATACCAGGCGGTATATGTTATCTTCTTTTCTCTCTCTCATTCTCTTTTTTTTTCTTCTTTTTCTTTTCGTTCCATCTCCCTTCTCTTCTTTCCATGCAGAGATAATACTCATTTACCAATACTTACCCACCACCGCCTACCTACCTGCCTGCCTGCCTGTCTTGACGAATCGTTTTGTGGGTTCCGGTCGGATCAGGTCAGGTCAAGTCAGGTCATGTCATGTCACTCATTACGTTGAGTGTATTATCGTTATTTTTATACATTTACATATATACGAGTCTCAGTCAAGTCCAAGAGTCCATCGTACATACATACATACATACTACGGAGGAAAGAAGCGACGAGGGAAGAAGAGTGAGGAGTGAAGATACAAATACAAAAGTCACTACTTAGACTCCGCAGCACAAAAAAAGGCCAGCAAGGTCAACCAACTCACTCCCCTATCCGATAAGAATAAACCAAATCGAAGTGCAACAATTCCAAGGGTATACCTGCAACAACAGAAGACGACCTGTTCCCCACCCATCCTTTCCCCCGTACGTGAAGAGATTCGCTCGGGTACACATGCCTTTTCCCCTCTTCTCTCTTCCCTCCCCTTGCTCTCCCCCTCACTCCCCTGAGATCAAATGATCAAGTACAAGCTACACAGTAAGCTGGGCCCGGTGAAGATACCGATCCAGAAGCTGAGGTTCCCGAGCGTCGCCCGGCCCTTCAGCCACCGGGTCCGGCTCAGAGCAACGAGGGGCAGCTGCATCATCTGCATGATGAGAAGATAGCCGCGGAGTTTCTTAAAGAGGCACCACATTACGAGCTCGTCTGACGATGTATGTACACGTCAGTGAGTGTTAGGGGGGGTAAGATAAGGGAGGGTGAGAAGATTAGACAGTGACGTACGGACGCATGCGCTGAGGAAGAATGTGATGAGCGTTGCGGTCTTCTTATTGACTTGCATGGAGGAGATGGAGGAGTGGTAGACGTGGCGGAGGAGGAAATTGTGGACCTGCAAGTCAACATGTTAGCTGTCTTACTCGATTACTGGATGCTGGGCTGTAGATGGAGATTGCCTACCGGGCGATTCCAGTCTCTGGCGAATTGATCCCACGAGACACTGTTCCACCAATCCCCGTAGAAGCCGCGGTCGGCGAAGTAGGTGACTTCGGCCAGGAGGTTGAGGATTAGTTCCCAGATGACGTACCAGGTCTGAGATGGTCAGTATATGGGCTTATAATACAATTGGGAATGGGGTGGGCATGGAAGTGGAGAGCTTACAAGCATGTATTCGGTCAAGAACGGGAAGAGGAGGTCGCTGATTATCCAGGGGAAGACTTTGAGGCGCTCTATGAGAGGCATGCCGGCATCTTTCATTTCGATTGTCCTGACGACAACTGGGTAGATGAAGGATTGGCTAACAAGGTTCATAATCATCTGGAAACCGGCCATTTAGTCATAATTACGCGAAGCTGGAAGCAAATGTGTATATCAACTACTTACCAGGATGCCAAAGACAGCGACAGTCTTCTCCGCAACATAATACCAGTCGATCTTGTCGGACCTGGGATACTCAAGCTCATAGACAAGTGTCGGAAGCACGATGTACTCGTAGTGGTTCGCCAGGGTCAGATTCCTAGGGTACGAGTTACTGCCACTCGTCGATTTACCTTTCAAATCTTCCGATAATGCATCAATCTCCCACCTGATGATCCGTTCGAAAGTGTGTATTTGGTCCACATCAAGAGGCTCCCCAGAATTGATAGCTGCGGCGACTCCCTTGATATTAGCTTCTCCACTATCCAGTGAACCCCTTCGATACTGCCGACGCTGGTTTAGGTCAGACGCTGTTGGTCGGTGATCCAGGTAGGAGGTGGACAAGGAAGAAACTGTCGGTGTGGTGGCTGAAGGTGTTTTTGCGGGCTCTGTGTTGTCTAGCTGCTTCAGCTTGCGCTGTAGGGTCTCTCGAGACCTGTAACTCTCGGATAGATGACCATTATCTAGAAGGTATTAGTAGCTCTCTCTTTTCTCTTCGGTGGCCGGAATGACACTTACAGAATGCGTAGGAATGCTGCTTCATCAGCATGACTAAACCATGGAGCATGAAGAACACTGTGTGAGTCCATGGCCATTCTCTGAACAGAGTCCACCCAAGGACGGCCATAATGTAGAATGCTTCCCATGCCTAAATACTACGTCAGCTATCAGGGTTCGGTATACCCTGGTCAGAACATACACTTTGAATGATCCATCCTTCTTTGTTCCAACTAATAACTCCGTTTCTGATAAGTTTCTGCAGGATCAACCCAAAGCCAGTTGCTCCGCACATCACTCCATCCGAGATACCAAGGACCATAACATCTCGGTGGAACATGAGCCCAGCGATCTCGTTTGACCCAAGAATATTTCCATACTTGGCCCAGTTCTCAGCAGCTAGTCTGATACAGTCTGCGACTGCATTCAGTAAATGTCCCCCCGTTGTAAAGAGAATAATGATTTATTCATGCTGCAATTTTCCTGCTTGACGGATCGGGGCTCTGAAGAACGGAATGACTTACAGACAGCTGTTCCCAGCCAGAACAGAGTGAAGAACCCACGGAAAGGCGATTCCGCACCATTCTGGCGATCGAAAGCCGTAAATTGGCGCGTAAACACCAGATCGCTAAACTTCTTCCGCCTCTTCTTCTCGGGATTGCTCTCCTACCACAAGTCAGAAAACCACCCCCAAAACCGCAAATTCAACTCACCCTCTCAATCCCGGACCTCAGGATCTCTCTCAACGTATCGTCATCAGCGGTCAGAATATACATTCCCTTCTCCTTCATCTTGTTGAGCGTAACCGGAATGCTCTTCAGCCTCCGCGGCGCCGGTCTCGCCTTCGGCGCCGCCATAATCTCCTCATAGGTGCGGTTCCCAGCAACGAAAACATTGGACTCTTCTGACGTTTTCTTGCTTTCGTCAAATCCCCCACCTTTGCCTCCGAAAATGACAGCCGTGGGCTCGTGTTTCAACGCATCGTAATCTTCCTCCGAACTGCCAGATGTCGTGTACGTAGAGCTTCCCGAGCGACCTGCAGCTTCCAAAGCTACTTTTAACGACCGCTGTGGATTAGAAGGGCCGTGACGGGAGTAGGAAGTATCAGCCTGGAGAGAGATGACGCCTTCTGAGCCCAGCCGGCCGACTAATTGGGAGACCCCCTCGGTTGAGGAGGACCGGCTCACTGTTGACAGTGCAGATTTCGCCCCCATGGTTGCGGTGCTCGCAGAAGGCAACATCCCAAGTCTGGATAGTAGGTGCTTCTTGATATGAGAACCGAGGTGGCGCTTCGCTCCCTGTGCAACTACCAAAATCCGATGTCTACTCGGCTGAGTTTTTCTTGTTCTTGTTTCCTATATACGTATCAGGATCTTACTTCTTGCAAAATGAATAGTCGTGTGGGATGAGGATGTGTATTTCGTATTTACCGAATTTGAAGTTGTTTCGTATTTCTAGATTGTGTGTAGAGCTCTAGATGCCAAAGAGTGCTATGAGACGGAACGTCGGGCAGGGCTGAGAGCTGCTGCAGATCAAATGCAGGGTCGCATGAAGATCATCACCATGGGAGGGAAAATGTCGACGACGCCTACTGTTGTGGCTCCCAACTCGACCCGTTTTATATTTTCACTGTCACTCACTGTCACTGTCCAAGCAAAAGGAGCCGACACCGAACGTGGCGAGAGCCGCCGGGAATTTCGGCGGTATGTATAGTTACCTATTGTGTTTCGGTGGATAATCGATGAGAGAGGATCAATGAAAAGGGAAAAAATGAATGAACGAAGGAGCTTTCGGGGACCCAGCTATAGTAACCAAGCTTGTATATTGCCGGTATTTTTATCAGAGTAATAGTAGTGATGGTTTCACAAGGAAGCATTCGAGTGTGGTTGATTGATTTGTATTATCTAGGATGAGGAATTAGGGACGAGGTTGTAATGGGATTCGTGCTAAGGCTGAGGTCCGCGTACTGCTTGCCAAGGCTAATCCGTGCACTATGACGACCTTAAGCGACTACCTGAGAAACTTCCGGAAGAGCGGGGGATCACATAGAGCTTAAGAAGATCTTTGAGATGATGATTTAAAATCAATAATTATCGAGAATAAAGGATGAAGAGAGCTGTAAGTTATGTATTAGAAAGTTGATTATAATCATCCTCGATAGGTGCTGAACATAAGAAAGCGCTAAAAAGGAAAAGAAAAAGAAAAAAAATATAAAAAGAAAAAAAAGGGCGTTAGCTAAAGAGCTTGGCGCTCGTAAGAATATCGCTTAAGAGACTTGGCGTATTATTATACTACCGGTACTCTTTCGTTCGAAAAAAAGCTCGCCCTTGAGCGTTTATCTATTGCTTTATTATTGCTTAAATACTTATATTCGTCAATGCCGTTCGAATGAGCTTTGATCCATTCGAAGAGCTTCGTAAATAGGCCGAGAAGCTTTTTACATTCCAAATGGAAGTCACGTACTTTAAAAAAAGCGTATATAGAATCGAAAGCAAGGTACTGAATAAAATCAATATCGCGATCTAGCTAAAAGAGCGTTGCACGCACAGAAAGCAAAAGAATACTCACTCGTATGTACCGGTATGTATCTCTTCTCAGTTGTATGATCTAGGCAAGGATGAGTCAGTAAGAATCGTGAAGATCCGTAGATTTGATAAGTAAGTTTCTCTGAGTCTGGTCTGACGTCATCTGAGGGTGAGATCCGCGACTCGAGAAGAAAAGTCAACAACAATAACAGCAACAAACAACATCCACCATCCCGCTTGAACCGAGAGACTGGGGATTCCTCTCGGTATGGAACGATGCTTCGAATGCGACCCACACAGTGTATGTGTATGTATCCGCTACATATGAATGCATGTAAGACATGGGGTTTAGGAACCCATCCTAGCTAGGTACACGAACTCGTACATCGCTTAGCAGTCAGTGATGCCTCAAACAAAACACGGCAATATCGAAAGGTCCAAGCAAGTGCACTCAGTCCAAGACCACCACAGCCACAGCCGCGGCCACCAGACACACTTTTCTCGGAAAATACCCTGCAGAATACAGTATCCATCTGGCGTCACCCGCCTCGTACACTCTTCCATGAGAGGCTGAGTGAGACCGACGAGTCCGGGACATCCGCCTCCATATCGCATTGAAAACCTCAAAATTAGGTTTCTGACTTTTGCTGCCGGATGACCGCGAGCTGTCAAAGTGTCATCATCCAAGAAGTGATGGGTATCTCGTGCTGAAAAAACCCCCCCAAAGAGACGACGCTGGAACTCGAATGTAATTTTTCCTTTTCTGCTGTCACGAAAGCCAGAATCACACTGTTCTCCTGCTCGGCTCCGAAGACCGAAGTTCCCTGCTCCCATAAATCCATCGCGTATCCACCATACTCCCCTTTCAAACCCTTAATACCCCCGCCCCGAGTAAACCAGCCCACTCCGCCCCCATACCCTTCGCGACATCCTCGCCCGTCCTCCCCTCCCCATCGCTCAACCGCCTAATATCCACCCCTCCCTCCGCAGTTCCTCTACTCGCCTCCATGCTCTCGGCCGCCTGCACGACCTCGCTCGGGAACACATGACTAGGGAGCCCAGAAGCGAGCCATAACAGCATCCAAACAGCTTCCTGCTGCGATCGCTCAATGGCAACATGTAGACCGGTCTTCATACCATCGAGCGGGTCCTGGAAGCGCAGGAGCTCCGAGGGGGACATGTCGCCTTCTTCGGGGTCCTGCTGGAGCGCCGTGAGGAGTTCAATGACGCGGGCTACGTCGCCCTCGCCACACATGGCTGGAATTCTCAGGTTAACAGTTATCCCAACTAAAGCAACCAAAAACATACAGGAGAAAATTGACTAAGGGAGGGAGCTAGTAAAATACTCATAAACGCCCGCGCAGGTCTCGCCGCTGGATTAGCATCCAAGTAGGCCTCCTCGGTGATCAAGGGGAGGATATCGAGGTTCTCTTGGACACCGCCCTCGTTGTGGTATCGAGTCAAGATCAGGGGCTGGGGGGACGCAGGTGGGAGATGAGAGTTTGTTGCTGATGGGCCAGGGGCTGTAGTTACGATTGAGCGTTGGCAGCTTGGGCAGGCGAGGTCGAGAGCGATTTGGGGGGATTCATCAAGAAGACATTGCCTAAGTGTTCTTGTTAGTTTGTGTGTGAGTGTGTTTTCTCTTTCTTTCTTTTGAATATTCCATAAGTGAGTACTGCACGAGCCAAAATATCATATACTCAGATTGTAGAAGGAGAGAAAATCCGAAGCTTGAGCATGGTGTCGAAGACGGAGTCCCACGTGATGGCCTGGGAAGAAGGGCTACCAAGGCGCCTTGCACTACCACTCGCAAAGCCTCTTTCTTCACTCCCCAAGTCGGAAGAATATGTGAAGAAAACGATCGAGAAGCAGCGCTTACCAATGAAAGTGACATCCACACATAAGCAGGAGGTCATCGGGCGCCGAAGAAGCTTGGCCGACAGAGGAGGAAGTAGCCTCATCGAAGGACTCTGCATCAAGCTCAATGACCAGCGGTTGCTCGCAAACCTTGCATTTGAACATGTTGGCTGTGGTTTGGGGAGCTCCGAGGAAGATGGTTGAGGCGTTATGGTGTTGGTACGGAACTGTGTCGTTCCTTGAAAAGTTTTGTCGGGCCTAGCCAGGTTTTTTCCCCCTTTAGTATTAGGTTGACCCGAAAGTCAACAATGTCAAGCGACTTTCGAGTTTCACGTTCACTTGCAAGTCACAATCGTCCAGGCATATTACATCCATATACGAAGTAGGTTAATTCAATAGTATATTTAGTTTCCGCTTTTTCCCCCGGAAAACTTCGAGTTTAGAAGTCTTCGATGTACTGTGGTCTACCTGTGTTTGTCTATTGCCGTCTCTCTCTTGAGAATTCCTAACTCCAGGCGCCAGAATAAATAGCAGCGCTTGCAACATCTTTTCCCCGGACCTCTCTATACCCATTACTTCGTCTCGACTGGCTTTGGCTGCGAGATATACTTCGTGTGACTAGCCGTAGCAACCATCGGACCAGGCTTGCCATCCACCAACTTGCATATCCTGACCGTCGTGAACGCAACCGACCTTCCCACCTTGTTAGCCAGCGCTTCAATCTCAATTGTGTCTCCGACACTCGCAGTCCCGATATACGTGACATGGATATCAATGCTGGCGCCAGTCTTCTCCATCCCGTGTGTAGCAATAGCCAGACCCCCGCTCCAATCCACCAACGCTGCGCTCACCGCGCCATGTATCGTCCCTCTGGAATTGACGCAGTTTTTCCCGAGGGTCAGACGAGCCGTGATGCTCCCTTTGGTTGCAGATACGATTTCGACGTCGGCGAGCAGGAAGTCGTAGATGGGACTATTTCCTCGCATGCGCTCCCAGACGCCCTGGACATGGTCGAGTTCTGTAGCCGAGGCCATGACGACGCTGGAACGAAGGATGCCCACAGGGGGACGTGTGGCAGAAGTCGTCGAGTCTCTTGGGGCGTCGTCAGCGGCGGCGAAGGGTTGGCCGGACTGCAGTATCACCAGGGTCCTTCCTGTCGAAGCTGTTTGGGATTCCCAGCGCGTTCGCTAGATGATTGCAGTGTTTGTTGTATCCGTACAGGTAGGAGTTCGAGCGAGATTTGAGACGAGGCAAGGATACACCATAAGTAAGAGCAGCCAGGAACAGCGATTCGGGTTGAGGCGTTTCGCCCCGACGCCTAACTTACGTGGATGCCCGAATCGTGGCGGGGGTCAAGTGGAGTTGGCAATGGATCACACCTATTTCTGTATTCCTGCGACCACACTTCCCTTTTTATTTCTCTTCATTCACAGCCCTCAACTCCCCATTCACCACCCATTCGCAATCGCTTCGGAACATAATAGACAGGAAACACCGTAAGAGGCGACCCGAACCTTTAGCGCGCTCGTTCACCTGCTTTGCGACAAAGCTTCGAAATCGTCAAACTACCCCTCATCGCGCGTTTTGACCGAACACGCCAACACGCCAACAACAACACAACAATTATTGCAAAGCCAGACCTGGGCGAAGAGTCTAAGGGAGTCTCAAGATTCGAACCTGCCAACATGAATGTCATAAAGCTCCAGAGGTATGTCGTCCAGTCTATCCAGGACTATGCACGCTGACTGTTTGCCGACAGGAAATATCCTCAATTTGCCCAAGACGAGATCTTTGGCTTGCAAGATGCCTTCCGGAAGCTGGACGTAGACGACAAGGGATACATAGACGAGGCGACCGCGATCAAGGCGACGCAGGCGAGCGAGAGACAACCGTACGATGTGGTCCGGCAGGCTTTGAAGGAGGTAGAGCTGGATTCGTCGAGGAGAGTTGAGTTGGATGATTACTTCGGGGTACGTCACCGGCATCTCTGGAAAATATACAATCCACACATGCCGCAATTCTACCTACGTTTAGTGCTCCGAGGATTTTTGCAAAGCCTTTCAAGCTTTAGAGCCTATGGTTCTATGGTTGCTGAAATTCTGCACTACGAATGCTAGATCTCATGCCATAGGGAAAGAAGCTGGCTAACGATTCCTACAGCTTGTTGCGAAACTCCGAGAGTCTTCTCCTGCCCAAAAGCGCATGTCGACCGGTCCTTCGACGCCGACACGAGGTGGAATCGTTTCGCAGCATACAGGTGGCGCTGGCCATTCTAAGAAGGCCAGCGTCGGTGGACGGATTCAAGTCCAGGGCTCTTCTTCGAATGTCACTCACACGATCAACGAAGATGAGAGAACTGAGTTTACTCGCCACATCAACGCTGTGTTAGCTGGCGATCCGGATATTGGAAATCGCCTGCCTTTCCCAACCGACACCTTTGAGATGTTCGACGAGTGTAAGGATGGACTTGTGCTGGCGAAATTGATCAATGACAGTGTCCCTGATACCATTGATGAGCGTGTACTCAATCGTGTAGGAAAGAAGATCAAGACCCTTAACGCTTTCCACATGACTGAGAACAACAACATCGTCATCGAGTCTGCGAAGGGTATTGGTTGCTCGGTAGTGAACATTGGAAGCGGAGACATCATTGAGGTGCGAGAACATTTAATACTGGGTCTGATCTGGCAAGTTATCCGCAGAGGTCTGCTTGGCAAGATCGATATCAAGCTCCATCCCGAGCTGTACAGACTTTTGGATGAAGACGAGACTTTGGAGCAGTTTCTGCGACTGCCCCCGGAGCAGATTCTACTGAGATGGGTGAACTATCATCTCAAGGCTGCAAAGTGGCCCCGCAGGTAGGGTAAAAGAGCCGAGTCAGTAAGAGTATTGCTAACTTATATTCTAGTGTAGCGAATTTCTCCTCTGATGTTAAGGATGCAGAGAATTACACGGTTCTTCTTGCCCAGATTGCCCCCGAGCAGTGCGATCGTGGCCCTCTACAAACTCGCGACCTCCTTCAAAGAGCAGAGCAAGTCCTTCAAAACGCGGATACTCTCGGTTGCCGCAAATTTTTGAGTCCAACATCTCTCGTTGCCGGAAACCCCAAACTTAACCTTGCTTTCGTTGCAAACCTATTCAATACCCACCCTGCCTTAGACCCAATCACAGAAGAAGAGAAGCTCGAAGTCGACGACTTTGATGCAGAAGGCGAGCGAGAAGCCCGTGTCTTCACTCTCTGGCTCAACAGTCTGGATGTCCAGCCGGCAGTCAACTCCTTCTACGACGACTTGCGTGATGGCCAGATCCTCTTGCAAGCATACGACAAAGTCATTAAGGGCTCCGTAAACTGGCGTCATGTGAACAAAGCCCCGGCCAACGGAGGCGAGATCTCCCGCTTTAAAGCCGTCGAAAACACAAACTACGCCATCGAACTCGGCAAACAGAACCACTTCTCGCTCGTCGGTGTTCAGGGCGCAGATATCACCGATGGCCAGCGTACACTGACACTTGGTCTCGTCTGGCAACTCATGCGCAAAGACATCTCCGAAACCCTCTCCACCCTTGCACAGCGTCTTGGCAAGCGCGAAATTACCGACGCCGAAATGGTCAAGTGGGCCAACGGCATGTCGCAGAAGGGCGGTAAGAGCTCCTCCGTCCGCTCGTTCAAGGATTCCACAATAGGAACGGGCAACTTCCTTCTGGATGTCTTGAACGGCATGAAGAGCAGCTACGTCGACTACGACCTGGTCACCCCTGGCCGTACGGACGACGATGCGTACCTGAACGCCAAGCTCAGTATCAGTATTGCACGAAAGATGGGCGCGACTATCTGGTTGGTACCGGAGGATATCTGCCAGGTCCGAAGCCGTTTAGTGACTACTTTCATTGGTAAGCTCGGCTTCTCCCAGGCTCCCTCTCCACATATCTCAGCCATGTGCTGCCAGGTCTGTGACTAACAAATTAAAACTACAGGTTCTCTGATGGCGACGCACGAGAAGATGCAGTGAGCGGTGCCGAGTGTGCTATTACAAAGTGTGTTGTGCGAGTATGATTGATTCAGGTACGTGGGAATAGATGCAGGCAGGCTGGGGAAAGAAGAAAAAGAAAAAAGCCTTGATTGAATGAACAGATACCGACCTTACCTGACCACGAGCGAAATGAAAAACCGTGAAATTCAAACCAAAAAAAATATTTCTCTTCCAATCAGTTGCTTACATCTCCCCCCCCCCCCCGTCCCTACCTCTCACCGTCGCAAAAAGTCTTTGCTTTCGAGTAACTACACAGCTAGACAGTAAGAGAGCTCGGCAAATTTTCAATCCTTGAACGGATTTTTGCAACATGAATTTGTGGAAGGAAAATAACATTCGTGAGTAATAATTTCTCAAGGTTCAAGTCCCATCTTTTTCGCCGTGCAAGTTCCTTATTTCGATCCAAAGTGACGAAGCAAAACCATCACGACCACGTGAACATCAACATCAACCACATCCATGTCCATGTCCATGTCGCAAGCCCAGTCATGAAATAAAAGCCCAGAGAAGTTTTCAAAATGCCAGAAGAGGCCCCCTTTTCCTTCTTCTTCTTCTTCTTCCGGATACAAGTCTAGGGATACCTACCTACGATTCTACCCAGCAGCCATCACTAGATAAATGCCCCAGCTCGCTAATGGAGTCCCTCTCGCTTGTCCTCTGCCGTTCTTTGCTCCCTCCCCGTCTTGCTATACAAAAAATCTCAATGTCGCTAGGATATATAGAATGCAAGAATGCGCGCAGCTTAATATGTCGATCACCTTGGTATCTCTCGGAGCCAGCCAGCCACCTTGCGAAATCAGAACTTCAAATCGGGAAGAAAAACAAAACACTTGGTCACAGAACATCGAACGCGCCGTCGTAAAGAGAAAGCCATCATTCATGACTCGTTCGGTCCGTTCTCCTCTGCCCCCTCCTCCGCCGTCTCTTTGGTGTGGATGGATGTATGTAGTAGATAACCAAGACGCAGACAGCACACCGAGGCTGGGACGACCAGTCCGTATAATCATAGGTTCACCCATTCTGACCCGCGCTTAATGAACTTGTCAAGAAGAAGTCCGACATCTGTCAAAACGAAGCGGCAGATGTAGAAGCCGAAGAACTCGGCGGCGTGGCGAGTACACAGCTCCAGACCGACTTGCGTTTTGTCGGCATGCCTGAGTCCAGGGTCCTCGACCTGACGAGCGATTTGATCTGTGGTCCATTGTTAGTATCTAAATCCGAGAATTCATGAAAGAAGTAGCTGACCTATTGCTTGCGCGGCATCAAAGAGTCTTGCCAGCGCACTCATGTAGTTTGCATTGGGGCCCGAGAACTGGATCGAGGTGACGTCTCGTTTCCCGAAACGAACCTTTGCAGTATATGTCGAAGTCATGGGTAGTGTCGCCATGGCTAATCCTTCTCTTGGTCCGTCTGTTATTATTTTACTTGCGTACGTATTCGACAGTGCAATACCCGAGTTCTTGGGCCTGAGTCGTCGCCAGGAAAAGGACGATGGTTTGTTGGATGTACTGCTCGACTTCGAAGAGACGTTGCTTACTTCGGCATCGCCAGCATTGAAAATCCCTCCAAAGGTTTGTACGCCAACTTCGTTACCCAATTTCTTGGTCAACGTTGCCTGCACTTGCTCAAGAACGCCCTCGAGGGATTGCATCTCTTCCAAGACGGCATCGGCATCAGTGGTATCGACTTTCGCTAATTTCATAAGGGCTGCAGTGAGAAAATCAAGGTTGGCGATCTTGTCCTCGAGACTTTTGATCTTGACGCCTTTCACTAACCATACGTCTCGAGGCACAAACAGCTTTGTTGACAAGTACCCACCGCGAGGATGCGCAATCGTTTGATACAAAGCGCGCATAAGCCAGAACGGTCGGAGCAGGTACTCAAGCGGACATGGCTCGAGTGATATTGGCGCGCCGGGATTGACAGAGCGTGGTGAGCCGGGGCTTTCTGGTAAATGGATGTCACTGTCAAACAAATACATCCCTCCGGTCTGTACGCCATTTGTCTTTTCCATAAAAGCTGCAGCTATGGGGGTGGGCAACACAGGCATCGCAGGAATCTTCCCAGTTGGGTCCCTTGCGAAATTGGAGCTCAAAGGTGTATTGGGCGAGCGTTCAGATGCACCGTCGTCAAAGTTTGAGACCGAAAGATTCCTGCTCTTCATATTCTTCAGGCTTGAGGAAGAGTGTTTCTTTCGCAATTCGCTTCTCAACTGACTGCCTCTTGGAGAGCCCGACTGAGGTGGATCGCTCTCGTTCGTGAGAGCTTGATTGAGCGACGGGGTCGGGGGGGGGATAATTCCATCAGGACCTGTCGCTCCTGGGAATGAAGAAGATACTTGGCGTGCAGACGGTGGAGGGCGAATCGACATAGGCACAGGCTGCCGTTGTGAAGGATGGCCGGCAGTCTTGGGATGAGCAACATCAGAGTTATTCCGAAGTCGTGATGATGGAATCGGTGGAGGTGGAGATGAGTTCCTCGGTGTGGTTTCGATTATCAGTTTCTTTGCATTTTGCCCTGATAAGCGTCTACTCCGCACTGAGCTCAAAACCGCTGGTGGAGGCTGAGGAGGTTGGTCCGGAGGAGGTAGCGGTGGCAGAGCTTGAAGAGGAGGAGGGTGCAGAGAAGGCTGTGTTTGCGACTGCATGATCGGCATCTGAAGGGGTCCTGATGTCTCCGTCACAGTTGAGAGAGAAGTCCCAGCTGTAGTTGGATTTGATCCAATTGAACTGTTCCATGTCCGGCCGGAGAAACCACTGGAATCAGACTCACGTTCACGTGGTAGAGCCGATTTTGATTGTAGCCCAAATTCAAAGTCTTCCATCACATACCCCCTGGTCATCTCTTCAAGCATGCGCTCTTCATCTTCCGATTCATTGCCATGATATTCATCGTGAAGGCCGTCCATCTGGTCTTGATTCTTCTGAACCAGGCGTTGCCTCTCTTTCTCACGTGCGGCGTGGATCGCCGCTTCGCGCTCGGTTTGGTGCGCCTTTTCCTTCGCTAGTTGTGCTCTTCGCAGAACATCAGAAGAAATTCCATCGTCGTCACCGAAGTATTGACGTGTCTGTTCAGAAGGACCCATGGGCTCGAAACCTTCATCGTATGCAGCTTCAATTGCTTCGTCCAAAGCCGTGTCAAACTCAGTCTCCGTGGCACCGCTCGGCGCTCGAATACGTTTCCGTCGTACACCCAATGACGAGGTTCTTGAGTGCACAGATGAGCCAGCAGAGTCGCCTGATTCATCTATGGTGTCAAGCCAAGACATGGATTCATTACTGGCTGCTCTGGAATGGCCTTTTGCAGAGGACATTCCAGAGAATTTGGGCGTCAATAGATCAGAAGACGGTTGTCTTTGGTGATTACTTGGAGATCCATGATTCATGGGCGAGGAAGGGCGTCGAGGCGAAAGCGGCGGGGGCATATATATGGAATCCATGGGCGGTGCAAAATGTATGTCTGTTTCTGCTACGCGCTCTCTCATGGGGGATTTGGAGTATGATCGACCATACGGGTCCGAAGGATTTTTGGGCCTGTACTGCAACGTTTCTAGACCTGAGGGTAACAATGAATCTCGTCTTCTAGGGACTTTTGTGGCACTAGTTGACCAAGGTTGCTGCGGATCAGAGATATGGGACATATCGTTTGGGATTGTTGTGGTTGCCCTCTCGATGTTGGCTCGTTCCTCCTCCTCTTCGTGTAGTATGTTTTCTCTATTCCCCCTGCTTTCAGGCCGTGAAGTTAACATATTGTCACCATCCTCGAGATGCGGTGCAATCTTTTTGAGCTCGGTTATCCGGCTAGTATAAGTGTTTCGCTAAAAAGTCAGTAAATGTTTGTACCACCAGTTCTAATAACCCACAATGGCTTCCAGTTTACGCCTGTCGTCGTCTCCAGAACTACGCTGCATCACCTGCTGCAGTAATGTACAAGCCTCCGAGTATGCCTGCATGGCCCCATCAAAGTTTTGCGCATTGTCAAGAAGTACAGCAGTGTTCGCTTTCTGGAGAGCTTTTGAGAGCATGGCTTTTTGTGATGGTTGCTTCGGGCTCCGGGATGAAATGCTTCCTTTGGCTGAGTGGGAACGGTGCCGCGAGTGGCCTCTTGACGGCGGTCTTTCTACTTCTTCGGCGAAGTGACGTCGATTTGCAGATCCGTCCATAGAGAATGCTGAATGGGAGGCGACAGATGGACCAAAATTGGCAGACCTCGACGTCGAAGTTGTTCGTCGGTGAGAGAAGTCTTTTGGGCCCAACGACGAGTCCTCCCAGCTCCTGCCAAAGTAGTCTAGGTTCCGGGTGGCAGGGGACGGTGTGTGAGGGCCGGTCAATGGCGAGGAAGTGTTGTTAAAGGACGTCTGCAGGCCGGGCAGGGTATTCATTGGCGGGATGGGTAACGGAGGAGGGTCATATGGAGGATGGAGAGAGCCACTCTTCGAGGGGAAAGGCATCTGCAGGTCGTGCGTCGGGGATGAAGTATCCAAGAACGAGGACCCGCCAGCAAATGACATCCGTCTCGCAGACGAGTTCGATCGTTTGCGCATGTGGCTCGCCGTGCTCGGATTCGAAGATTTCGACCATCCATTGAACTCTCCTCCCTGGTCAGCAGAAGTCATCGGCTTGGAGTTGAGCGCATTGTGCGAGAAAGGTGCACCAGTGCCTTCACCACTTCTGGAACTGGTCCTGCCAAAGGAAGGAGATCGCCCAAGACTACTCGGAGGAATAAAGCGGTTCGTAGATGGTTCGACGTGGAAAGGGGGAAGCGAGTTGTCTGCGATGTGGTCCATGTCGACATTCGTAGTTCAGGACTTGAGATCCGAGATTCGAGGTCGTCCAACTTTCGCACTAACCGGATCGAGCTTTGACCCCTACGTTACGTCGCGGCCGGATCCTCTCGCAACATGCAACGACTGCCGCCGGCAATCTTCGAGAAATGTGAGATGTGATAGGATATGCGATTGGTATTGTATGTTGTGGTATGGTATGGTAGGATATGGTGTGGTATGTTGTGGTAAGATGAGTGAAGGGTAATTGGAATGCAGTCGGGGCCTCCAAGACGCCGAGTCCAGTCTGCGAATTGAGTCGAGTCGAGTCGAGTAAGGTACTTACTTAAGGTAAGGTGAGGTCTGTGTGTGGAAGACGAAGGGGGTGGATGACGGCTGGCAGGAAGCTCGCGACAATGCAGGTACAGGTACAGATACAGATCGATGCGAATGACCTGGAGGACTATGACTATGGCCGTCAGCAAGCAAACCTCCAGAGCGGCACTCAGTCACCACGTCTCCTTCGATGCTCCTCCTCATCAACATACCGGGCCTGCTTCCCTTCTGCTTGGTTCTGGCTCGACTGTGCCCTGCTCTTTTCTGCTCAGTCCGGGCAATATCTCGGATTCAAATGGTCCATATACTCTACACATCCACACCTGTATACATTTTTCGGGTTCCTCTCGTGGTGGTGGTACACTCTGTCCGACCGATCTCGGGTTATCTTAAGGTCGTTGACCGACCGGGCTTCGTAGCCGGGTATAATATAACGTATGCCGTGCTATCCCAGCATCCCCAGCAGAGCGCTCGCGGCTTGCTTCGTCCGCAGGTGCTGGTCTCGTGCGAATGTGGGAATGTGCGAATGTGCGAATGTGCGAATGGATGAGAAAGATTGCGGAGAGTCCAGCGCGCAATTGGCAGGGGATTCGCAGGCAGGCAGAGACTATCGAAGTGGGCGTCGGCGAGACCCCGTCTTTCCTTCAATACTTTCTCTCGAGCGATGCAGTGGCGGTTAGGACTTGGTGTCGAGTCGAGTACGGTACCTACTGTACCTATTCTCAGGTATTCCTGATTCTATCAAGGTTTGTTTGAAGAGTGACCAACCCCTGCCGAGGTTTTGCCCAGTCAAGTTAACCAGTCAGCCAGACTCCGGTCAGTCAGTCAGTCCGTCAGTCCGTCAGTCAGTCAGTCAGTAAGTCAGTCCGTCAGTCGGTCAGTCAGCCAGGCAGTCGGTCGGTCAGTCAGTCAGTCAGTCACAGTCAGTCGAGCCAGCCCCTGTCTTCTCCCTACACCCCGTGACCTCTCTCAACTGCCCCTTTTTACCAAGTACTACTACCGGTACTATTTCCATGTCTACCGTATATCTTCGCTTTGCCAACCCTCCAACCCTCCAACCCTCCAACCCTCCAACCCTCGACACACAACAAGACAGAAGGCATCGACATCCGATTAATGTCTCACCACCGGTCGGAATTCGGGATTGGTAAACGCATATGCGCATGCTTATGAATGGCACTGTCTCTCCGTACTCTACTTCCCTACCTACCTACCTACCTACCTACCTACCTACCTACCTTACCCCCTTTTCAACGCCCGTACCTCGCGGCGTTTTGACATTGGCTCGGCGCGAATGATTTCATTACCGCGGTACGGGTATTTTAAGTCAATTCAATGCATCGCTTTCTCCCGTTCTCTCATCTCCCTTCTACTACCGGTACTTCGACAACTTGTATCCATGCTGGATCTCGGGGTCCCCAGTCCTTTCATCCTGGGGGAGCCCGGCGAGGACACAGCGTCGGTCGGGATATCTGCCGTGCCATGATGACAGCTGCATTAATGCAAGCCTCTCGGACCTGACCCACTGCAAGCCATCGATCGAATGTACGGTGCTGTACGAAGTACTGACTCTACAGAGTACCGTACTTCTTCACCGCACCACCGGAGATGCAGGTACCGGTACGTACCGTGCGAGCGTCGCCCTTGCTCAGTACTGTCTGTACAGTAAGTAAATACTACCTATACCTGTGTACCGGTACCTACGATCACCTCGCCCACAAACCATCTTCAAGCCTCAAGGCCAAACCCGCATCTACAAAGTGCTCGAGCACGCTCCTCATGAAGCCTTCATACCAAGTTGTCGATTGGTTTTGTTTCCATGCGACGACCCTCTGTTTATTGTTTCTGTACCACGTGACTCAACCTTCGTGGCGCTGGGGTACGGAGAGAGTACTGACCGGCATGAGTTCGCGGGATGGAGCTGAGGTTTCGCGTCTATCGAAGGATTGTCCTCGCGAAGCCCTCTTGCTTCTCGAATTCACTCCTCTATGTCTTTTTTGCATTTACTTTCCATGGCCGACCTTCTTCTTAATGGAATTCCGAGCAATTCATCGTTCACGCCGAGTCAGTGACTTGCAGTATGGGCCGTGGTCCTTTGAAGTTTGTCCTTTCACCACTCTTCCAGGTCGCACCCCCACGGCTCCCATCAAACCTCCCCTGGTTCCCCCTTCCAGCGCGGAGAAACCACCTTCTCTTCCCCAAGGTCAGAGCACCGCACCGCATTTCCCCTGACCCCCAAACTGTCTTGCATACGTTTCACCCGCACTCCCTTTCCCTCCCGCAAAACTCAGACCAACTACACGGGAGATCATCCTCGACCAGGTACCTACCACCACTGCTTCTCCTTTTCCTTATCCAGCGAAAAGATAACAGGCCGGAGATCCGGCACTCGTACAGCCCGGGATTCTCGAGTGTCACACGGCCAGGATATCCATGGATGTCGTGAACCAACCATTCCATGGTCCGTCCTACAACTACTACGTAACTACCACGTTACAAGCCTAAGTATTACCCCGCGAGGGTAGGATAACCAGGGGTTTTAAAGTGGAAACTAGACTTTTGAGGCACCTTCGAGGGGTAATACTTACGCCTGTACCGTGGTATGTACCGTTCGATGATCCCGCCGATCCCTCACGCGTCGCTGCCTGTTTATTATTCAGATCTGGCCGAGGCATGCCAGAACGAGAGCAATTCTGTCAGCCTTGTAAGTCTACTCTGAACTGCGTGCAGTTTCAGGCATCAACGGGTTCGAAATTTCTGATGAGGCTGACTGAGCCCACGGGGAGGCGAAGCTCGGCGTCGTCGGTGGAACTCTCCTTGCATCTTTTCTCTTTTTTCTTTCGAGTAGCTGACGGGATACAAGTATCGTGTGTGTATTAATCTACGGGTATCTGCTTGTTGCCTCTACATTTCGATCCGTTTCTTGATTAGCCGGATGCAGTGGTTGAGACTCGATAGACTTCGTATATCGCATATTTTTCTTTCAAATTTCCAATTCATCATCCGACAAGACAACCGTCTGCTCACGATTGACGACGGGTTTTATAGGCATTTGACAAGCTTGAGCAGATGGAGGCCAATCTCGCCGTCCACAGCGGTGATCACACCGTGGGTATTTTTGACGAGGTGATCAAATAGTTGCGACTTACTGCAGCCACAGATAGTGTGAATACTTTAGTGGTGACAATCGCCATAAAGGGCCTTCAGTATATAGATCTGTATATATATAATAGTCAGTGCACTGACTTTGTGACCTGCGGGCTCTCGGTCACAGTCAGGGCAAGCAAGTGTCCCAGGTCAAGCAAGTGTCCCATTTCAATTATTTCAACTTGTTTTAGAAATAACTTAATAACGAATAAAGCTATAATATTAAAATCTGATACTTTTAAAGAGCTCGATTCCGCCGATTAATGCATTTAAATTTTATCAATATAGCTCTTTTTATTATCAAGTAATTTAAGTTGCAAATCGTAAAAAAAAAAATGTTTTTGATTCTTTATCGAAAAGAATCGAAAATCGCGATTTGTATTAAGAATAAATCAATAACGAAAAAAAGCTATAATAATAAAAATTAGATACTCGAATCGAAGTAAATGAATTATATTTTAATTATAAAAGATATTATATATTTCTATTATTAAAATAAGTAAAATAGTATTTATTGCGCCAAAATTACAATCGTAAAAGCGAAAAAAGCTCGGACAATTTAGCGAAAATTCAAGAACATCAACTTTTCGATTATATTTATAACTTAAATAAAATAATAATTACAAAAGCTATAATAATCAAAACAAATTGTACGAGTCCGCTTGATAAGGAGTCTTTTAAATATTAAGTTTTTATATTAGAAATCAGAATAAGATACGATTAATATTGAAAAATATAAAATTTTCAATATAAAATATTTGATTTTCAATCAAATTCAATCGATAATCAAATATTATTTACGTTATTAATTATTAAATTGTTAATAAAAAGATTTTATACTTGGTTAGACTTTTGAAGATCTCGATTACACCGATCTATACATTTAGTTTTGAATATTATAGCATTATTCGTTGCTAAGTTATTTCTAATACAAGTTGAAATAATTGAAATGGGACACTTGCTTGACCTGGGACACTTGCTTGCCTTGACTGTGACCGAGAGCCCGCAGGTCACAAAGTCAGTGCACTGACTATTATGTACCTATGTATAGGTAGATAAAACATCTTCGCTTATCACGGATGGGTTTACGAATGAATGTTAGAGCACGTGACGCGGGCCATCAGTTTATAGGGAGGTGGGAAGACCGTCTTTTGCAACATTTCAAGTCATCGACCTCACCACAAGGAAATATATCTATCTGTGTACATGCGACCCCGTGAAGCGGTCGACTCATTTGTCCCCTTTGCTACGGTGAATGAATGTCCGTATAGCCAGCCTCCTCTCTTCTCCCTTCTTCTACACACAGCAAAATTGCCACGTCAAAACCACCACCACATGACTCCCCCCCTCCACGGTTGGCAATCAACGAAATACCTCTAGAGCAGCAGCAGATCGTAGGTCCTTGCATTCGAATTCAACGCTCGCCCTCAAACCGGCGGCCGTCCCTGCCTTTGCCAATTTCCTCACTGCACTCTTGTAGGCTTTCCCAGTTCGGGAAACGACGCGGCGGGCGGCGGGGGCGTCGAGACGGACGGACAGAGCCGATCGAGCCGGGCTCGCTTAGGCTGCTGTCGAGGCCAGGCTCTGCTACCTACTTAGCAGCGTAGTAGATTGGTAGGTAGGTATGCGATATCCTGGTTTTTTCTTGTCTGGTTTACCGTGGCGGAATTTTTTTGTGAAAATGGATTGCGTGGAACTCTCGGATAGAGAGAAAGGGGGGAGGGGTATGCTTTCTGATTTCCTATAGTTTTTTTTTTGGAAAAAGGTTCTGGGAGGATGTTTCGCTCGCTGTTACTTCTTGGGCGTTAATGAAGCAAGCAAGAAAGTAAAAACGAGATAGATAGGGTTGCATTTTTCAATTGGGGGAGTCGCTCGAAGAGCGGTACGATACCATATCTCATCTCAGCTAAATCCGTGTACCTCTGCTATATCTACTGCGAGCCTTTCATAATCCAATCGGCGTTAGTTGCTTGATATCTATTGGTATAAATAATTTGGGATATCGTGTTGAGATGTGTCAACTTTCAATATCTAAATAGCAGCTATAGATACATGTCGATTTGTTAAATGCACCACCGCTTTGGATGGCAGATTTCTTTCGGGTCGTGATCACTATTACTCAAATGTCCAGTTCTACACTTCGATACTAGCGAGACGTCTATGTATGAGCCTGGATTCTTACATTGCTACCTGTCGTATTGCTACGCCTTATACAGAGCATTCGAATTAATCCAGTAGACTATGACTACCAGCTATTTATTTGGAATAACCGGGTAAATACAGAGTCCTGACACCTTTCCGAGAAGCCTTTGTGACCGACTTTCGCAGCGAGATTTTTCGAATCAGCGGGATGCAACGTGTACCAAGATACCAAAGTAGAAGATTGGATTAAAAAGTAAAGGTATCAAGATGGAGTTACTTTAATGTATTATGGGTTTGCCACGGAGCAAGTACGAGTCTCTTTTTCTTTTGCGAGCCCGGACAGCATTAGCTTCTTTCTTCCCCACCTACTCCCTTCCTCAATTGAAGATCCAAACTCCTCCGATGTTGATACAAATTTACAAATTTACACATTTACAACAATACCACAATGTGTGATTATGATTACGCCTCTGACACGGGGCCCTTTTCCCACGCGATCTTCTCCCGATGCATCGACCACATGACGAACCAATACGACGTGATCGCCCACAGGATAAGGTACGCAAACAGCACGCCCAGCGTCAGCCCGAAGGCGTAGTGGAACGAGACTTTCCAGATCACGGCCGAGAGGCAGCCGATGTAGACCAGGACGCCGAACATCCACCAGAGGGTCAGGTACACGAACATGCGGCGGAAGGCGGGCGAGGATTCGTAGCGCGCGTTGTAGCGCACGCGGAACTCCCGGTCCTGCAGGCCGTCGACGGCGATGAAGTCCTCGGCCGCGTAGTAGATGAACGGCCGCATGCTGGAGCCGCGGGCGTGCGAGTTGATGCCGATGGGGAGCGGTATGCGCGACATGGAGACCAGCATGACGAAGCCGAGGAAGGCCATGAGGAAGGCCGGGGAGTAGAGGTAGAGCTCGGGGATCACGAGCGAGCTGCCGACCACGAACGGGATCAGCGCCAGCAGCATGGCCACCAGGTAGACCCAGGAGGTGGCGTCCAGCTCCCACTTCGAGCGGGAGAGGAGCGGCGCGCAGATGTCGGGGTGCTTGAGGAGGCGCCAGACGCGCACGACGAGGACATAGACCTCGCCGAAGCCGAAGGAGATGATGGCGTAGCCGAGAATTTCCTCGTTGTATTCAGGTTTTTCAATGGTGCATTTCTCGCCGGGGGGGGTCTGCGCGCGGCAATCGTCTTTCCAGTGTCGGATTTGAGTATTATACTAGGAGGAGGTCAGCGCTGCTATGAGCCTAGGGCTGGTTCCCCAAAAGTGTCCACGGGGCTGGGAAGAGGTGACCTACCCAGGCGTAGTATATAATGATCGGGACGATGACGTCGAAGAGGAGGATAACCGGAGGCCCAATAGTGAGGCCTATATGGTCCCTAGAGTATCTCTGTTAATCCTGCCTGCTCGACCTTCCAGTCAAACCACGAAACGAAAAGTTTCACAGTCAGATATTTAGATTATTCTTACATAGGTTTAGTATCCTTCTGCGCGAGTTTCTCTAATGGCGGCCGTGATGGGGGTAACGGAGCAGGTTTAATGCCCTCGTTCCCGTCAAGTGTCGATTCCATCCCATCCAATGCTGGCGTGTACTCAGAGGGTGCGGCGGTTTCGTTCGGGATTTGATCATCCTGAGAGGCACCGGCGGCTCGCCCAGCCTCCTCTTCCTTTGCAATTTGTGCTGCACTTCTTCCTGCCTTTGCCTCTTCCGCAGCGAGCTGTTCCTTCTCTGGGTCCTTGCCTTTCCCCGAAGCATCGTCGTCGATTTCAGGATCTTCTGGCAGTGCTGGTAGCCTCTCGATCTTCTCAGCGTCTTCGGGCAACGCCCTATCTTCGTCTTCTGCTACAACCGGATCCTGCGCTATCCTATCCTCATTCTCGACAATCGTCCGTTGACTTTCGATTCCCGGCTCGGCAACCACTGGAGCAGACATTGGAGAAACAACCTGCTGGGAGGGAAGATATGACGGCGAAATATGTTCGCGAGAAGGAAAGACGTACTTGTAGAAGGAAATCTCTGGCTCAGCTGATCTTCAGCTTGAAACAAGAATTCTGCTCGGAAGAACCTCCATGTCTGCTTACTCGTGTGCTCGTCTGTCCGCTCGGTCTGAGAGTGACACCACGTTCCAACTCGGAGGGGTCATGGTGCTCTCCAGAGATTCTGGAAGATGTAGAGCACACTGGTGCTCTCTCGAGCTGTGTGAACGGAGCTTTGCTTGGGGCCGAAGCACAGAATGAGGTCTCTGCGCCGCGATTTGAAATTTCCAAGCATAGGCTGAGAGCATTCGAAACATCAGATACGCAGACCAGGAGTAGCTGTGGACCAGATGGGTGGCAAAATCATAGTCCTCCACTAACGCTTGAAATTGCCGAATCTAGACGGGTAGGTAGCTTTGCGGGTGATCGCCGCCGGATCCCGGCCGTGCTTTTCACAGCGAGGATTGCTTCTCACGATGAGATGAATATGAGGAGTGACACCCCCGACGGTTTTCATTCAAAGTAGCTGTGTTTGGTCATTAGATACATAACTATTGCACCTCTCTCAGCTATTCGATTTTACTCAATTTGAAGAGAATGAAAGCCCATTTCGATCTCTCTGAAGACGTCCGGGAGCAGGGACTGGGCACCTCCTGGTCAATACAATATCCTTATAGGTACTGTACTTTACTCTCGCTAGTAGCTGGATCTCCGGCAACAGACATTACGCCACACAGGAAGGCTCTTCTCCGGATCCTTACTCATGACAAATCTATGCTCGTATACCGGTATGCTCACGTCTGTCAGCTGATCTACCTCGCCCTCAGATCGCCTTGGTCTCATTACTCACACAGTTGGCGCTCGGAGCATGCTTTGACAGTCTAGTGTGGCGCACGGAGGAGCGTCGAAAATTGTACTGAAATGGGTGCTGTCCGTGCTAAGCGAGTTTGTTGACGACCGAAGCTCGAGATCCAATATGCAGGTAGGTTGCCTTGGCGACTAAATTTCAGGGGCAGTTTATAATTTCTGCCTGTCACAATATCAGAGAATTCACTTGCCATGCAAAATACAACCTGAAACTGGGTCCCGGCCTTGCTTCAATATCAACGCAAAGTTGCCACTTTTATGGCAGAAAGGATGCCTATTTGTTGTCGAGAACAAGCGAGGCCCGGTTGGGCCATTATCAAAACACTCGGCTCCACATAAGCATCGTGAATTTCGTCAAGACCAGCAGGTCTACATTTATCTTCTTAGTGTCATAAGCTTCATGATGAATTTAGGACTTATAAATTAGTTTGGAGGTTGTATTATTGATAATGGTTGATTACTATAGAGGTTCTAGGAAGTGGTTCTTTTATAGAGAAGCCTCGGGTTACGTGCTCAGTGACCTACGCTAATGTGGCTGCTCAAGGCCAACTCCTTGTACTTGCCCTAACCACTCCATCGTACTCAATCGTAATCCGACATATTCTATCGTCTTATTCCAAGTATTTACCATGAATAGAGAAGAGAGGAACACTTTATTCGCCCTTCTAAGCTTGGAGAGCCGTCTCCTCCCGATTAGTATGCGAGCCACCCCTCCACCCATGCTTCGGATCCCTCTCTCTCTCCCTCTCCTCCTTACGCTCCCCAGTCTTACCCCACCCACCACCTCCTGGAGTGTTGATGATAATTCTCTCACCCGCCCGCATCGCAGCCGTATTCTTCCCTCCCATATTAATCCACCGTTCCTCATAAGTTGCTTCCTCAATCCCGTCTACAGACCCATTCAACATCCTGTCCGACCTCTCTGCGTTACTAGTCTCTACCTTCCTCACCCAAATATTGAGACCACATTCTCCATCTTCGCCGCCTTCAAGACCATATGGATGATATACTCTCCGCTCGCTGAGAATCGATACTTGGACCGGGATGCGGAACTCAATGTCGCGTACAACTCCGTCACCACCACGGTGCTTTCCTGCGCCTCCAGAGCCAGGTCTCAACGAAAACTCTCGAAGCAAAACGGGATAGCGTCGTTCGAACACCTCTGCGTCTGTGATGCGAGTATTTGTCATGTGTGTGTGTACTCCAGAAATTCCTTCCCAGTCCTTCCCTGCACCACTACCTCCAGCGATCGTCTCGTAGTATCCGAAGCCTTTCACGCTTTGCTGGCCTTCCAAGTTGCCTCCGAAACCGAATGTTAGGTTATTACAGTCGCCTTGAGAGGCGGCACATGCTTGAAAAGCCTTCAATATCACGTCGGTGACCCTTTGAGAGGTTAGAACGTTACCACCGACGACTGCGGCTTTATCTGAGGGCGAGAGGAAGGATTTTGGCGGGATCAGAACTCTGATGGGTTTCAAGCAGCCTTGGTTGAGGGGAATGTCTTCTGAGATGAGACAGCGAAGACAGTAGATAATTGCGCTGTAGGTGACTGCCTGCGGAGCATTGGTGTTACCTGCAAATGATTAAAGACTCGCTCAACAAGCAATCTGGGGGAGATATACCATAGACTTCAGGGCCAGTCCCATCGAAGTCAAAAACAGCCTCCCCCTTTTCAGCATCGATTGTAATTTTGAGTTTGATCGGACTACCATCATCCATATAGTCTATAGCTGTCAGGTCCTGGCCCTCGAATCGCTTACTGACATCTTTCAGCAGATTTCGCACGCTCAGCTCTGCATTTGCTTGAATGGCAACCATGTATGAATTGACCACGTCTTCGCTGTATTCCTCAATTAGTGAGGAAATCAAGTTGATTCCCTTCATATTTGACGATATCTGTGCCTTGAGATCCGAGATGTTATCAGAAAGACATCGCGTCCCACTGCAACCTGGATGCTTAGCAGGCTCGCTGAGCAAGAGTTCTGTGATCCGCTCTTCGTTAAACTTGCCAGCACTGACCAACTTTTCGGACTTGATTGCTGCACCTTCTTGGAACAGCTCGCGGGAATGAGGCGGCATAGATCCCGGTAATATGCCACCAATATCTGCGTGGTGGGCGCGCGAAGCACAATAGAAGAGGATATTTTCCCCAGCTTGATCGAAGGCTGGTGTGATAACCGTTATATCGGGAAGATGAGTACCACCAAACTCCGGATGGTTAGAAACGAGGACGTCTCCCTTCACCAGCTTTCCACGCCAGATTTCAGCTTGTCGCTTTACGCAAGTAGACATTGAGCCCAGATGTACAGGAAGGTGGGGAGCATTAGCGACTAAGCCACCTGTGGAATCGAACAGCGCGCACGAATAATCAAGGCGTTCCTTCACGTTAGTACTCACACTGGTCTTCTGGAGAGATCGGCCCATTTGCTCGGCGATCGCCATGAATCTATGGGCAAAAATTGAAAGCATGACTGGATCTGTTTCCTTGGTGCTGTCAGATTTCGAGGCTCTATAAGCATATCAGTGACTGTTCCTCATCCGATTTCAGAACAAGAAAATACCCACTCATTGTTTAGCTCCTTCTCCCTGATGTTGATCACTACGTGGGTTTCTATGATCAGCGCCGAAGTCTCCGGGGGAACAACAATTGTCTGCGTCCCATCACACAGAATGGCAGGTCCATTGACTCTATCACCGACATGCAGATCCTCGAGCTTGTAAATAGGAGTATCGTGTCGAGCTCCATCAAAGTATACCTTTGACCGCTTGTACTCCTTGTCTCCGGTCTTGACATCCGTTGGCTTAATCTCCTTCAATTGCTGATCCACAGTCTTGCCCAGGTCTTCGAAGCTCTTTCCGATGCCCCTTACTCGCACATCATCCACGATGATATCTCGATCGAATGTGAAGCCAAATTCTTGTTGATGCTGCTTGACGAATGCTTTCCCGAAAGAATTATCGTCGCCATCAAATTCCTTTTCGGCATCCTCTTTTGATGGTCTGACAACCATCAGGGCTGACTCAGTTCCTCTGTATCGCATATTTAGGTACTCCTCGAAGACAATCGAATCATCTTTAAACCCTTGCTCTTTGAGGGCCGTGAATGATTTCTGTTTCAAATCCTCGATTTTTTTGAGCAATGCGTCTCTTGAATCCCCTTTATCAGCCCAAATTTTCGAGTCTGGCTCTTGGCGTTCCTCAACTACATCTGCTAGCGACTAATTTGGGTCAGCTACGATCAGAGAACAAGTACCACCGACAACTGGCTCGCTGGCTCGCTTATAGCGCCTTAGAATTTAGACGAGTAAGGATAAGGCCTCGGTTGCTCCAAGAACGTACCATTCCATATGCCGATAAAACCGACGAGTAACGATGTACGAGCGTCTGTCTGATTCCCAAGCTCTCAGCAATAGCAACAGCATGCTGCCCACCCGCACCACCGAAAGTCGCCAGGCGGTGTTTCGATGTATCATGTCCTTTTGCTTCGGTCAGAGATCTAATCGGTCTCGTCATTGCTTCATTGGCAACCGTCAGGAATCCGTAAGCAACCTCATCAGCAGTCATATTCTTGCCAGTTTCCTTATTTATCTGTTCTGTGAGCTCTTTGAGTAGTTTTTCGCTTGCTTCCACGTCGAGACCTTGATCTTCGTTCTTGCCGAATATCTTTGGGAAGAAGTCAGGAAGAAGTCTGCCGAGAAATAGGTTGGCATCTGTCACGGTTGCTGGTCCGCCTTTGCGGTAGCAACCTGGGCCTGGGTGAGCGCCAGCGCTCTGTTACAAGTTAGTTTTCCGAAATGTGAAGGGCAACGGGAGCGTCTACCTCAGGTCCAACCACGAAAAGACCATTGCGAAAAAACAAACGTGATCCACCACCAGCTGCGACAGTATTAATGTCTAGCTGTGGCGATTGTATCGTGACCCCTGCAATCGTTGTCTCAAAGACGTGCTCGTATCTCCCAAGCCCATATCTTGAGACATCGGTACTGGTCCCTCCCATATCAAACCCAATGACCGGAGTCTTGGTCTCGGGATCATACGATGTAAGCGCATAACCGACGACACCTCCAGCCGGGCCGGACAAGATAGCTTTCAGCCCAGAAAACTTGTCGACGTCAACGAGTCCACCATCAGACTGCATGAACTCGCACCTGGCTCCCTTCGAGCCATTCTCGTGCTTTACACTCTCTGTTCCCAGGCCACCCTCAAAGCCGGTCTGAAAGCCAGCAATGTATTTCTTGATGATAGGTGTCAGATATGCATCAGCACATACAGACGTCGCCCTTGGAACAAGCTTAATCATCGGCATAAGCTCGTGACTAAGAGAAACATGGTGAAATCCCATATCTCTTGCAATCTTTCCAACCAAAGCTTCATGCTCACTGAAAGTATAGCCATGCATCAAGCATACAGCTATACTCTTTACGCCCCTGTCCCAAACCTCCTGCAACTGGCTCTGAATCTTCTCTTTTACGGGCCTTTGCAATATCCGTACTGCCTCGGAGGACAACCCCTTCACCAAGTCTTTCTCCGATCCATTTCCTTCAACTTTCGTAGATCCCCGCTCCGGATCCTCAGCATAGTCCTCGAGCGTAACTCTCTCGTCAATTTCCACTACGCACTCATACAGTACATCCGGTTTCCGAATCGCCAGATCAAAGATCTTTGGCCTGCTCTGATTTCCAATCTCCAAGCAGTCTTTGAAGCCCTTCGTGACTACCAACGCAATCCTTTCTCCCTTCCGCTCTAGCAAAGCGTTTGTCGCTACTGTGGTTCCCATGCGAATGCTTTCGATTTTAGAGGTGTCTAAGGGTTCGCCACGTGGGATCTCTTTGTTGAGGAATCGAGACATGATGCGGCGGATACCTTCAAGGGGCGCGTCATCGTAGTTGGAGGGGTCTTCAGAGAGCAGTTTGATGACAATATTATCTGACATTTTGCCTGAGCCAGGGTTCGCCACGCAGTCTGTGAAGGTGCCTCCTCTCTGGTGCCGTTATGGTCAGCAAGCCGAGTTTATGTGAACGAACTAATATACACAAGACGGCGACTTGATAGAAAACGGAATTGAAAATCAAATATCCAATTGACATGGACGCTGCCGTAACAAAGATTCCTAGTGTCTTTATCCTGGTCTCTCTACACATCTAGAGCTCCTGAACTCACATCAATGGCGATGCGGATACCCCGCGCCTCGGCTTGAGAACACATCTTCGATGCAGTATCTGAGAAGACAAGAAATACTGATTTGCTCTTTGAAGAAGCCGTAAGACCCAATCCCTGCTGTGACTGGAATTGGGAATATTGGTAAATGGTAAATTTGTGAAGCATCAGTGGAATGAAAAAGCTCAACCAAACAAATATACAGTTACATCACGTGATAATGATAAAGTAACGATGAAAGGTGGAATGGAGCTTAGTGTCCTCACCGCCCTAGCCAAGACGCCCATCAGGACTAGCAGGTGTTCCACTGATCGACAGCCAGACCTACCGGTGCTCAACTCAGATTAAGACAAGCAGGTCACATTATTCTTTGAGTTCAAACTTCAGGTTGATCGGATTTGCATCCACTGCCACTGCTTGTTGACTTGGACTCGGTGAGTGATCAGACATCAGAGGTTCCAAAGCGGTCGATTATGAGCCATTGCCAACCATGTTTCTTATTTGCTCCATATACCTCCTCCTACCCATTATGCTCGCTGTAAGGAACTCCCTATGATACAAATAGTATACACCGCTCATCATGCATAGTCGTCGTATCAATCTATTTACGCTTGGAAAAACCCGCACCTGGATATCTTGTAATCATTTACACCCATACCTGTTCGTAGATCTAGAGGGATGCATGTAGCAACCTCGTCTACTGCGTGACAGCACGTACGGCCTGCAACAGAAGCCCGTACATCAGCCCCTTTGCGACCTCTTCGACCTGCAGACAATCAAATATCTTGCCTACTGCTTCTCCAGAGGCAGCTTGGCCCATCACGCCGGTCAGAGCAGCGGGCATCCCTCGTTCCACAAGAAGCTTCCTTGCCTTGATCCGCAATTTCTCCTTTTCTTCGGCGCTCATTGCTGCTGGCCATACCTTTAGCTCATCTTCGGTTGGCATTGTGTTCTCGCGTAGCTTGCGAAGGTGGGAAGAAAGGCCTGCATCAGATGTATTAGACGCAATGATAGACTCTTGAATGAGAGACTGGATAGCAGCTAATGATGGATTAGAGGGTCGAAGAAGGAAAGCCTTTGCTCCGTTGAGCAATGTACGGCGGATATTCCACACAGAGGTGAGAGTGTAGACTTCCGAAACTACTGCAAACAATAGTTCAACTGCCACTCTAGTTTCGGCCTCAGTGATAGGTGTCTGCTCTCTGCTCTGCTTTCGGATTGGTGTAGCAGATTGAATTGATGATCTGTTTGCCGCCGACAGAGGTGGGCAGCCAGGAGATTGTGAAGATGGCGCAGTGCTTGTAGATGTTCGAGCCGTAGCGGCGCTACTCTCTGTCCGTAAATTTGAAAAAGAGGAAGCGTCGATGCTAGACCCGTAATCGTCAGGAATATCGTCAGGTAGGGGAGGCAATTTCATTTCGCCTAGAATTCCTTGAGTTGGAGATGATAAAGGTGTTGCTAGCCTTGAAGAAGCTCTGCTCAGGTCACGGTTGTAGGTGACGCTTCGGCGACTACTCATTGACGACCTAGCAGATGCAGACACGTGAGGCTCGCGCTCATTATCACCTTCAGCAAGAAGATTGTTGCTGGGCTGACGCTCCATGGAGGGCATGGGGGACGGCTGCATTTGCACAATCGACGTGGGTCGAAAACTGTCTTCGCTCATTCGGCTCGTTTTAGGCGCTATGACGGAGTTCATGCTGTCCATCTTCGGCAGTGCTGAAGTTGAAGATCGGGCAGCCGTATGCTGAACGAGGTTAATCGAGCTGCCAGTGGCGGGTTTCTTCTGGCCCAAGTTCCCGATATTGGTAAACACTCCTGAAATTCCGCCACCGATCGCTTTGCCACCTTCGGCAACACCTTTCGGGGCGCTTGTGAGAACATCTACAGTCTTATCAGCACAAATACCTGCATTCAAAAATCATAGATGTCGTAATGGAGCGTCCAAGACGAGATCATATCTCTTATGTGCTAGGAGCTCATGGACACCGTGACAAGCAGGAACTTCAAACCTACCCAACATTCCCTTCCCCATGTTCTCAAAGGCTGAAGGGGTCGACCAGCCTAGACCAGGAAATCCATTTTTGGTCGTCGTTGTAGAGGCGGATTGCCCCCGGTCTTTGTCAAGAAAACGCTTCATACCCTCGCTTTCGGCGAGTTCTTTGTACCAAAGAGCATCTCGTAGGTATCTTTCAAGCTCCCCTCTCAGAGACGGTTTGGTATGTTCCTTCCAATTTGGAAGTGTATGATGCTGTTCTACAAAGGCTTTCACTCCAGCTATTTGCGCAATTCGTCGGAGTACCTCGTGTAAAGACTCAAAATCGGGATAGCGCCTCACGATCATCCAGCCAGGGAAATCAGAGGAAGCTGGTTCTATTTGAACCAGATAATCTGTACTGGGTTTTGACCTCAGCCTGCCTTTGTCCGAAACCATTGAATCATCATCAATGATGATATTGGCATTGTGAAGCGTTAATGAGAAGCTTTTGCTACGATGGACAGGAGGCTCTTCCTGGAGAGCAACAGGTGTCGATTGAGGAATTATTTGGTCGAAGCTTGTGAAGGCTGGAGCAGATGCAGAAGTGAGCGAAGCAGATGGGTGTGGGGGGGACACAAGATCTTGAGACTCTCGGTGTGCTGCATCTGGTGGCTCAGGCGTAGTCACATCTGTAGAGAGCTTGTGCTTGTCACCTGCTGATTGCAAAGCCATGGGAGTCGCGGCGCCATTTGATATAAGTTCCGCTGTTTTCGCCAAGGCGGATGCTTCCTTCCTCATCAAGCCAGATGTGTCCAGATGTTGGCAATGGGCATTATGCTGAGCCGCTGCGACAAGAGCTTCCGAATCATCATCTAAGGGCCCTTGCTCAACAAAAAGCCTTTTTGCATCCTCTTCTGCTATGAGTTGAGACAGTCTTTTGGCTTCCTCCATAGCTTCCTCCATAGCCTCCTCTGCCTTGCTCAGACGTTTTTGGTGACCTTTATCCTCCTGTGTCTGTTGTTCCGACTGAAGTCTGGATGGTTTGGCAAGTCCAATATTGCCTAGATTTCCGTCTACATCATATGAGGAAGCACCTAAAGAGTTATTGACGTTTGATCCTCCCATACCCACGTCAATTGCCTGACTTAAATCTGGTTCGCCGTCCTCGAGGAGATACACGATGCACCCGTTGATAAATTCTGGATTCGAAAAGGTTTCCAAAGACATCTGCAATATAAGGCCGGCAAGAATTTCTCTTAAGAATGCCCTCGCAGGATCGCAATCATAGGTTGACTTCTCCAGGAAGTTTTGTAAAATATCTTCAGCCACGATCTTGAATTTCCGCGATTGCTGCTTCTCGTTGAGAACATTGGCGAGGTTGGACTCGGGATTCGTGGACAGATATATTTGAATAGCTTCAGCAGGCGAAACATTGTTGCCCTGAGATACAGACAAGGCTGTTGACAGCTCATTGAGAAAAACAATGACAATTGAGGACGAGTTTGTTAAGAAGTCGAGGAATGTGTCGGCGTGCCTTTTTCGAGACAGGTGTTGGGAGATGGCAACAATGAACTTTGTAAGAGTCTGGCGGGATGCTGCAGGAAAGGAAGCCTCCGCAGGGAGGAGGGGCTGATACCACCGCTTCACATAGTCTCTAATCACAGCGTCGACCAATTCGTTTAAGGCCGCGGCGGTCTCGGGTTGGAAGCCTTCGAAGCTATTCCCAACCATTTCGTTGTTCTCGTTATCCTCGTTTATCCTCTGCTGAACAGCTCGCAGGTCCAGAATCCGGCTGACAACATCCAGGCTCTTTTCTCTCCGTCCATCTTCGACGGCTGCTGATATCTCCCCTTCCCAGGTGGCATGAAGCACCACACCTCCGAGCGCCCCAATTAGAATCAGGCCAACCCGGCCCAGTATCATGTATGTACATGCTGCTAGTCCTACAGCAATGCCGACAATTGTCTCCGAGGAAGCCGTGGATAGGAAATTCAGGGTGCGAGTCATCAGATCTTCTTCGTCTGGCATGATGTGATGTGTTGACTCCGGCGCATTCGCGACAGCCCCGGGGCCCTCCTCTTGCTTTGTCTCTTCGGATATTCCGTCCATTGCAGTCAGTTATATTGCAGGCCCATACTGAAATGGTTGCGGCGTCTCTTCAACTCGGTGCGTGTGGCTTCGATGCGTGTAGCTTTGAAGTGGGATTTCAGAGTCCTGACGGGCGCAAAGTGTCTTTGGGGGATAATGTCTCATGAAACAGGAACGGCGCGCGTCAGTGAGAAACAGATAGGCCCTAGCGTTTCTGTGGAAAAGCCCCTTAAATAGATGTACTAGCCCCGCCGTCACATCCATGTACTGAGTGCTGATTCGTTCGCTTGTCCCACCACTCAGAGGCATCTATCTATTTGTAGTACGGTTTATCGCTATCTCGCTTAATTTTGACGACAACCGTATCTTTCTTTCTCTCTTGATGAGCGCATGAAGCTTCCATTCAACTTCGTTCCTTCTACCCCTCTCCAGACATCAACACTGTATCTTGCTAAATCGTAGAAGAGTCACTCTGTCACTACACCAAGCGAACCTCACTTACAATTGAAAGTTTCACAATGGGCAAAGGCAAACGCGGACATGATGAGGTTGATGAGGAGGAGGACATTGTCGAGAACGACGATGGTGCGGAACGCAAAACCAAGAAGAGCAAGAATGCCGCGTCAAGCAGTAGTAATGAAGATAAGTTCTGGGAGGTCTGTAATCATCAGATGACTGTTTATGACACCACTAACGATCCTCCTAGCTCTCCAATGGCAAAAATCCCCGGAGACTCAACGTCTCAGAGTTTAAAGGCAGCAAGCTTATAAGCATTCGAGAATACTACGAGAAAAATGGTGAATATAAGCCTGGCTCTAAGGTACAAAGCAACGCTTGAATTGTGTGGAAAAGAAGCTAATATAATTATCTAGGGTGTCTCACTCAACATTGAGGTAAGAAAAATTGAGCGGCAGCCCTTTCCCTTTTTCCTATGTCTCATGAGTACTCTACGCAAGCCAAAGACTACTCGCGAGACACTCAAATACAAACTTTGCTAATCTCCCGATCAACCAGCAATACAAGGCTCTCCTCAAATCAATTCCGGAACTGAACGCACATCTGAAGACTATGGGTGTTGATGTATCCGACTCGGAGATCCCCGAGAATGGACCCGAAGAAAATTCCAAATTACAGAAGCGTGTCAGGGCGAAGAAACAGGAGAAGGCCAACATCGAAGCCACCTCGGACGAGGATGAAGAGTAATGTTTGCCAAGTTTACGCAACACCTAGTTCCGGACTGTGGCGTTCTACAGCTTGACACGACTGAATAGCGATCGAGCAGGTCAATGGGTAATTGTAACATGGCGTTCTGTCAATCTGGATCGAGGCAATGAAGGGAGCTCTGGATGCAGGTACTTGGCTTTGAAACTGGCAACGGGATACACATAGGTGCACTTTCTGCTATAATGATGATACCCTATCATGCATAGTGTCCTATGTCTCTGTGCCGTGCCTTTGCCTCCGTCTTGTGTCTATGTCCTGAAGCCAGCCACGCCATGACCAGTCCATATGCCTATATGCCCATGCCCATGCTGGTCCTCGCAGCACCCCATCATCTTGCCAATGTACCCAGCCGTGCCGTCTCTGTGGCTGTAGGGTATTGGCAGTATGGCATGTGTTTGCCTGAGCTACCAATCATCGAGGTATAGCGGGTTTAGGGGACGAAATAGGTAAGTTCACCGTGCCAGAGAAGTGTCAGACGCTTTCTCGGTGATGGGGAGGTACAAGTCACCTTCAAGCAGCTGTAGATGATCGTTCCGAAGGCGTGGGGGGTACCAGGCTGTCGATGGGTTGCTTGTTGCTGCGATGTCCACATTCGCAAGCAGCACGACGCAGGAACGACTGTAAATGTCATTCTAAGGGTCAAGGGAAGTACTTTTCTTGATCTCCTCTTGCTTCTGCTATGATGATGGAGCACTTTTCATCCGCCGCCAGCTTGTTGCCTGCACAGTCGATCAGCACCGCGGCCTGCTTTCCCCCAGTGCTATCCTGTCCGGCCGGTCCAATGTCTGCCATGATTTCTATTATTCTTGTTCCGCGTGCGATTGAATGCTCTTTGCGTCTGTATTCTGTAATTGCCCCTGGGTCCGGACCAGCTTTCGTACAGCTTGCCCTTAAACGTCTTCGAGTTCGCAATGCTTCTGTGCTATCGTAGGCGTCTTGAACTTCGTATTGAATATCTGCCATGCCTGCCATACCTGCCTGCCTGCTCCAGCTCTGCCTCTTGTTGCATGTCATCGTTGTAAATTCTGTGCTGAGTGAGGGACGCGTTCATGGCTGTCCTGCTGTCACATCAGGTTCCCCATCGGACTGCTCCTTCCTTCTATTTGACATTAATACATCTTACCTAACATCTGCTATCAATCTCGAGTTACTTGCGTCTTCAATCGCTGGTTCTCATGGCCTACATCACAGTCAACAGCGCTGGCTGCTTCGAACCACAACATAGGCATCAGAACCTGGGTACCACATCGCCGTCATGATTCTACACATGTAACTACTTCCTCCTATGACTTTTACGAGCTCTAAGCTTGCCAGAACCCCCCAATTACTACCTTCCCTCTCGCCCTCGCCCTCCCCCCCTCCTGTTGCCTGCCACCCTGCTGCCTCAGGATTCAAGCCGCAACCCGAGTTTCTCGGGCCAGAACTGGGTCTCGTTGACCCAAAACGGCCAAGCACCTTTTCTCTACGCGCCAATACGCGCCAACTTTACCACAACGAGATGGCTCAAGGCCTAGCTTCCTGGCTCACTACATAAGCATTTTCTCCCTCGACAAAACACAATTCTTTTCACCATCGGACATCGTACTCAAGCTTTTGACCACGCTCTTCGATTCACGCGCTCTCGACTTTTTGTCTTCTGCTCTCTGCTCTTCTGCTCTTCTTCGCTTCGCCTCGTCGCCTCTTCTTCTTTTCTTCCTCTTCTTCCTCTTCTTCCTTTTCTCCTCGCCTCCCCGCGTCATCAACATGTCGCCGTTGACCCCAACCTCCCGGGCAGCCGCTTCAGTCATGAAGCACATTGAGAGGGTGAGTCCAACTATTCCATCTTGTCATACCTTCTATCCCACACCAACCACTATCCCTTCTGTTCCCTTCACTTGTGTTGCTGTCGTTGTCATGTTTTTCATTGCTGTTTACCACTATCATTCCTATCCCTTTTACACTTGTGTTGTCTCATGGCTTCACTATCCCCTCTACACTTGTGTTGTATCATGACATCACTATCCCCTCTGCCCTCCACACCTGTGTTGTCCATTGACTACCACCACCCCTTCCACCCTCTACACTTGTGTTGCCTCATGACTTCACTACCCCCTCTGCCCTCCACACTTGTGTTGTCTCATGACTTCACTACCCCCTCTACCCTCCACACTTGTGTTGTCCATTGACTACCACTTCCACTCCCACTCTTCACATTTGCGATGCTGTCGTTGTCATGAATGGCATTGCTGTCACTGGTGTTGTTGTTTTGAAGTTTCAAAACAATGACGCATGGGGCAATCATCGCTTATTTTAATGGATCCTGTCACGTGAGGACTATCCTGATATCATCACCACAGGTTCAGAAGGCCCGTCGACAAGTTCGACCTTCTGCGCCTCCTGTCGCCGCCACGCGACAGTCGACAACCTCAATTCCCTCTCTCTCTCCCGTCCCCCGGATCGGGACGGTTTCAGCACCCCTCCCAGCCGCCCTGCCACAGCGGTTGAGAGCCGACGGAACCGGATCTCGGATCCCGGGACCACCCCCTTCGGCGTTCACCCGCCGCAGCCGCCACATCCTCAGCTTTCCGCTGAGGATCAGCCCAACCCCCCGTCCGACCCCTCGGACAATCCAACAGACGACGACCTCGACGGAGACTTCAGTGCCGCCACCATTGAAGTCTGCCATCCGCCGTGGACCGACTTCCCTCGCGGCCAAGTCGGTTCACTTCGAGGATCCTGTCTGGATCAAGGCCGAAGTCCGTGTCTTTCCTCGGGAAGACTCTGACTTTGGCAACGTTCCTTGGGCGAAGACTCCCGCCCACTTCTACCCCGCTGGCCCTCGCCCTCACATCCAAGGAGTCGGCCAAAACATCACCGTCCGGAGCCCGCCATCGACCAGGCAGCCACAGTTCTGGCGCCACTCGGGCACCTTCTTTGCGCCGCACAAAGTCGGTGTTTGTGGTGAGCATGGGCAGATCCGACCAGGAGTGCCGACCTCCTGCGAATTCTGCGCCGAGCGTTACGCCCTCGGTGCTTTCCTCCCAAAAGTCCTCGACGACATCAACGCCTTGGAGGATTACACCGACACTGAGCTGTGCACAGCTCTGTACGATGAATCCAAGGCGTGGCATCTTTGTGAGGGTTGTGAGGAGTGGTAGACTGCGGCTTGGTGGTGGATTCGTGGTGGACTCGTGGTGGGCCTCGGCGGAGGACGGGTCAGCACTCGCACTTAACCAAAAGCTAAGTCTGCCCCATCCCTCACTCAGTCGTTCTTTTGACTTCCTTCCTTCTCGTTGACAATTCTAACATCGTCTTGTCAGGTGTCGCTCTTCTTCTTCTCCTCCTCCTAACACGAGTCGACTTTGGATACTGGGCTGCTCTCGAGACGACTCCCGGTCCATCAACGTCGACACATCTCCAACTCCGTCCCTTCGCCTCTTTTCCTCCTCGCCTCCTCGCCATCGATAAGTAGTGTGGCAGCCCAATACGCGCTAGAAGTTTTTGGTTTCTACTTATCCACGGCATCCTCTCGACTTGGATCTGGGATGCTCTCGAGACGACTCCCTATCCAACAACGTCGATTCTTCTCTACCTTTCCAACCTCGCCTCCTCGCCATCGATGAAGAGTGTGGCAGCCCATTACGCGCTAGAAGTTTTTGGGTTCTCTTTATCGACGGCACTTCCGACCTCCTCACCATTCTTGCCTCCTCGCCTCCTCGCCTCCTCGCCTCCTCGCCTCCTCGCCTCCTCGCCTTTTCGATCTCTCGCTTCTCATGAGTGGGCGGCGTAACTGTGCTCCCGAGAAGGCATCAGTACCACTCATGACCAGCACTTCAACTATCCTCTTCTTGCTGTTGCTATCGAATCCGGATTGATTGACTCCATGCTCCCGAGGCAGCATTGCGATCTCAGTCCTCTTCGAAAACTTCGGCATGTTCTCTCACTCTTCCGTCCCTGTCCGGAATACCGTCAAGACAGGGTCCCTTGCTTCGATGTTCGCTGGCCACGAACGAGCGGGGAGACCACCCATGTGTCACGAGCCTTCGCGAGGCGGTGGTTGTCAGTAGTTGAGCCCTTCTCTCCATCTCACTACTGCGGATTGCGGACACACATATACTTTAGATTCAACTACTTCAATGCAATGACTGATTTTACTCACCATGGTGACCAATTTTTCTTCCTCGTGTGACTCCTTCGCCGTGGCATATTCCCCTTTGGAAATTTGTCTCGAGTACATGCCATGTTGCTTGAAACATTCACGCAAGCTTGTTGACTTCACCCATCGTCTCTACCACGCTCTCCATGCTCATATCTCGGCTCTATTGGGGTGTCCTATAGTCCCCTATCAACAACCTATTTCCTACAGCTTTCCCTCAGCCCATACGTATCAAAGATCCACATGTCGTGTTAGGTTTGTATGCGACGTTTGTTCGGTTCAGTTCAGTACTTCAGATCAGATCAAGTAAATCTGGGAGGGTCTTCCTTTTTTTTTTCTGGGAAGGGGGGGAGGGGGGGTGGGTGATGGGAAATAGAAGGTAAGAGGGTGGAAGAGTTGGGAATCAATGGGAATTGGAATTAATGGGAATGGGAGAAGGAGAGATTATATCTTTACTTTTCGTGGTGGGTCATTGATTTGAGGGGGGGGAGGTAGGTAGGTAAGTAAGCTAGGGGTTGGGTTGTCTGGTTTTGTCTGGTTGGATTGCTGGGCTGTTGGATTGGTAGCCGTTTGGATGTGTGTTTTCGTTGGTGTATACCTATATAGATGGATGGCTGGATGGGTGGATGGATGGATGGACGGATGGATGGATGGAATTGCCAATTGATCAGCGCGCTGGAGACGAAAAAGAGAGATGTATCAAGCTAGTTTCACTGGAATGATTAAGTAGGGAGGTGAGTAAGAATACCTACTACATGCGATGATATCTTTTCCTGCGCTCGCCAGGTCTTTTGCCTGTGCTCTTGCGTGTGTATATTTCATATCGTTATGTGATCAACACTGGTTGTCAATCCGTCTCTCTGCATTAGGTATCTCCCTTCTCGAATCTTTTCCATTTGCGTGTCTCTCTAGTCTCGCTCTATGTACAGATTCTAAGTAAGTAGCGGTGCGTCGCCGCGGGGGTACATACGTAGGAGGTACACCCGGCTGTAGCTTGCCTGCCTGCTCGATTATCTTACTTAGTAGGGCAGCTAGGTTACGGCTACGGCTATGGTCCATTTGTTTGTTTGTTTATTATGTACCTATCTACTATTTACGGATTACTCACCGGCTGACGGAGTATCTTTCTGGTTATACATACCTACCTACCTTACCTACCCGCTTTGATAACGACGACGAAAGACCTCAGCTGCGAATGGAAGGATGAGATCAATCAACGAAAGTACGAACGAAGGTGAGGATGATCGGCAGGGTCAATGGATAGATGCCTGCATGAATCAATTCCCATTCCCAACTTCCGATTCTGCTTCCTCTCGGACTGTTCGCCTCCTCGCCTCCGCGGCCCTACGTTACCAGCCCTGCCTAGGGCATCTAGGTCGGCACAGAAAATGTGAGCGTACGTCGCTCGCGTCTCTGAATCTCGGAAATCTGGGAATCTTGCAAGCGTCGTGACCTGACCTCCTTCCGTGTAGCGCAAAACAACAATCGATATGTCGAGGTCGATGGCGTCTACGGGTAGGCCCGAGATTTCGTACCAGCCAATTTTTTCCTTTTTTCCTTTTTTTTTTGCTTTCGCAATACTGACTGGGTTTTGGGTTGGTTGGAAGACACTTCTGCTCGGATCGAGTCGAGACAGGAGGGAGGTGAGCTTGCGGTGCTGTAGGTGTGTCGGTGTGTGGGTGTTGTCCATGGGCTGTGGAAATGGACCAAGTGGTACTGCTAGGGGACCAAAGATCCGGTATTCTTCTCGAGTCTTGAGTCTCGAGAAACTTTTTGGGACTTGAGTTTGGTCCTTGGAATCGGTGCGGAGGTGTACCGGTATGTTGATCGGGTAGGTAGCTACGGAGTAGACGGGATGTTGGTGTCCGAGTCAACGTTATGCAGTTGGATGACACATTTGTAGCAATGGCATCGATGGAAGAATAGTATCAATTGTATCATTGCACAGAGGGCTGATGGGGTGGGATGGGATGGAATACGATTATATGCTGTAATTCGCTAGACGACGAATACACGTAGGACAGTACAGTACAGGATCGATGCCCAGTGCCCAGTGCCCAGTGCCCAGTTCCCAGTGCTGCCAGTTCCCGACGAGCGTGACACACAGCTGAGCCTTGGGTATTTTTGGTCCTATTCTTCCCTACAGTCACGGGAATTTCAGTTCCATGACCCCTTTGGCGAAACTCGGCTCTACCACTTTGCCATTTTGAGTGATGACTATGTCGCCTCTCGCCGCCAGCCGCCGCGCAGCTTGCCTACACCTCTCTCGAGTCTTGGACGGGGGTTGAGCGTGAGCTTGAGCTTGAACATGGCCTGGAACATGGTCTAGGGAATTCCGACTATCGCCAGCTGGCCCTGTGTGATTGTGATCTTCTGCGACACGCCATTTCCGCTCTTGCAAAGTCTCCTCTTCGGCTTCTTCGCAGGTAACGACAGCAGCTGGTCCTTGAACAGCTCGCCGCTCGGACAGGAGAGAGAGGATCTTGGACTCGAAGGAAAGGTCAAGCGAGTGTGGCTTGGGCCTGACCTTGTGCTTCCTGCACGAATCTGAGCAGTACGTGACCGAGGCCCAGTTTTTCTGGGAGAAGAGAAGAAGTTAGGCCGTTCGTTATATATACATTGACATCAAGATGAATGATGAGGTAGATTGATGAGATGCGAGAAAAAAAGGAAAAGAAGTGGTTTAAAATCAGGAGTTCAAAGTGACGTGATGAGAAGATCTCGACGGGACTGGATTTTTTTCTTATTTTTTTTTTCTCTAAAAAAAGGGCTTACCTCCCACTTCTTCCTCCAGCTTATCTGCCTGCCACAAGTCGCACACATCTTGATGAGGGCGTCCACAGTGAGTGGACTCATGGCTCCTCGGTGCACGTGACGTGAGAGAGGCCGGGGCTGAGACTGATGCGCTGTTCGAATGGAAATCGGAATTCCTGTTCTGAAGATCGAGGTCAGGCCCCACGTGAAGCCACGACGGCGTGGGGGTTGTTGCATGTAGCAAGGGAAGAGACGGTGTGGAGGGAGACAGGAGAGACAAGAGAGACAAGACAGACAAGAGAGAAAGGATCGGAGGGAGAAGGGCGGCTCCTCTTCGACTTTGATGGCTTTTGCAACGTGGACGAACCAGCAATCCGTCCAGGAGCTCAGGTGACGATGACTGGAGCACTGGACTGGAGCGAGCTACGTAGCATACATAGAATATCCGTACAAGTGATGAAGTTGCAGGTAGGTAAGGAGTAGTTAATAAGCAAAGCAAGGCAAAGCAAGGCAAAGCATAACAACATATAACAAAACAAAACAAAACAAAACAAAACAGTGTAAAATGATATAGTAATAACATAAGCGACAATGGTTTCCTCTTTATCTCTAACTCTCTCGATAATCCAGTTCCCGTTTCCGTCCCTGGTGATGTCATGTGACCAGCTGCCTTCTTGGGTGTACGCTGTCGATCAGAAACGTCATAGACGTTCTAGATCGTTGATCTGTCGCCGACATGGGATTGTGGAAACTGGGCCAGTAGCGAGATGGCACGTATGTAGGTATGTATATATATATATATATACACACACAAACACCAATATAAGTATACGAAGTATATATATTCATATATCTGCATGGCGGGCCTGGGCAGGTAAAGGATGGATGGGTCGGCATAGCGCTATCACCGAACAGTAAGTAGGTAGGTAGGTATTCATCAGTTACATAGAAGTGGATACGTAAATAAAGGGGGAATCCAAAGATTCCGCAATTAATCACCTTGCGAATCACTCCGAATACCTGGATAATGAATTACCTACTGACGTACTTTTACCCACTCTGCACTCCGTATTGAGCTTCCCTGGTCCCACTCGACTCCACTCCTCTCCCTGGCCCTGGCCCTAAACTTGGCTGGGCTGGCTGGGCTCTGGGCTCTGGGCTCTGGGCTCTGGGCTGGCTGGACTCGCTGGGCTGACACTGACAAGTGATGAAAAGTACCAACATCAACGCCAATACCAACACCAACACCAACACCAACACCAACACCAACACCAACACCAACCCCAACACCAACGTCAACGTCAACATCTGCTCGACTCGACGCAACTCCAACCCAAACCCAAACAAACATACCATCGCCGTCCCATCCCATCCTATCCCATCCCATCCCATCCCATCCCATCCCATCTTCTACCTACCAGCAATCTCGGCCGAGCGCCCTCCGTTCTTCTCATGTCTCGCCGGACTCAACACTAACCTGTTACTACCTCGTCCTAGCACTGCAACACAGGTCCATCTTCTCCCATCTGGACCTGGACTGGCTCCTACTCGCGTGCCGGTTAGACCTCCTAGTCTCAAGCAAGCTCCTCGTCGGCTCAAACAGACAGACACGACAGTCGCGATGGACGACAAGGCCACATCCATACCGGTATCCGGCTCTGCCATCCAGGAGATCAAGGAGACCACCGAGCCCGTCGCCTTTGACACTTCTCCCCTCGCCGCGGCAAACGGCGATCAAATAACAGTATCCAAACCACCACCACCACCACTACCTCCACCACCCAGACCTCTTCGTGAATCATCAACATCCTCACTCCCACCACCACCACCATCACCACCACCACCATCAGCAAAGAAGCTACCGGTCAAACGGGTCACGTCCGCAGCAAACTCTCCAAACCCATCGAGGGAGTCATCTCCGGTACGACCACTACTTAAGTCAACCAACCGCTCTGCCCCGGGTCCTGGTCGATCAAGGAAGAACAGTATACAAGATCTTAGCCCAGCACGTTCCGCCAGCTCAAGCACGAATCCACCGTCTGCGGCTGCTACACAAAGAGCCTTATGTGTGGCATCTACCCCAGTACTACATCCCGTATCCTCGGACCCGACGATTAGAGCACCAATACCCCAGAGACCCTTATTAAACTCCGACGTAAAAGAAAAACCTCGCTGGCCGACATCGCCTAGACTACGCACTCCTCCGCCTCTCAACAAGCCGAGCATCTCTGCGCCTCGCAAATTCGACCAAGATCCGCCCTTGATCAATGCTCAGCGTTCCACACCCGTCGCGGAACAACAGGACGCAAAGCAGGTCACAACGGATAGCGAGACGGAAGATTCGTTATTGATATCGGGTATGAGAACACCAGCACGAGGAGTCAGTGGGGCTAGTTCTACACTGGAGACCGTGCAAGAGATTAGCCAACCCAATACCCCCGGCCTGGAATTTGGCACCATATTGGAGAAAGTGGATACAGCAAACTCGACAACCACGGACAATGGCACCTCTCCGGACAATTCGTCGACAAAGACCATTAGGCCGAAGCCGAGTATCATTGCCAACGAGAGTGGGAGTGAAAGTGGTGGGAGGGGGGACATTAAGATGAGGTCAACCTCGGCCGCACCACCAGCTGCTGCACGTCCCAATGGACCAGCTACGAAGACGTTCACTGGTGTGGGAAGGGGAAAACCTTCGGGCGAAGGCTCAGCGAGGAACATGACGGTTGAAACGGAGACCGTCAGCTCCATTCCACAAGTCGCAGTTGGAGGACCGGTAGGCGCAGGAAACAATGGAAGTATTCGTACCAAACCGAGTTCCGAGACGATACGACCGAAGAAAGAGAAGAAGAAGACTGCTCGCAAGGCGCCCTCAGTCAACTCAGGCATTGGTGAGCAACAACATTTATCTAGGTCCAGATTCCGTCAACACCATCACCACTCCACTCGGGGCGGTGTTGGGGATTGCTTCCTTGCTCGTTCTCAATCCCCCGTAAAGCTTGACGGTCAAGGCCCGTACTCTCCTACGAACAGTAGCGGCCCGACCAGTCCTACTCGTTCAGTGTCACAGGCATCTCGCAGGCCGAGTCTGAATCTTCAAGGTGTAAGTACTATGCTAACGAGAAGTCGCCCAGCCTCTTCAAAAGCAGATATCTTCGAAGCCAAGGTTGCCAGCGCGGTCGACGAGGCCAACTCGTCAGACTCAGAAGAGACTTTTGTGTATGAGTCGAACCCACCAGATATCAGTGATCGCCCCCGGCGCTTTCACTCGCGCACTCCCAGCGCCACGTCGATGGCAAGTCAAGTTGACCAGAGGCGCACCATCATGGATGGTCACCACAGTGTGGCGATGAAGAAGAGCATGAAGTTTGCCAACAGTTACAACAGTAACGGTAATAGTCAGCAAGAGGTGGCCCCAGGAGAAGATGACGGGAGCGGCACAGCTCGGAGTAACATGGGAACAGGCAGAGGAACGACACATCATCATCATATTGGTGGTCGGTGGGGTCGCGGGGGCGGCAATGGCCACGCGTCTCTGTTTGATAACGAATCTCCTTTTCCCAATGCTGCGAAGTCGAAAGCTGGGAACACTACCGCTCGACTGTCCTCGCGGCCTGAGAGCCCTAGGCTGACCAGTATGAGGACGGCACCTAACGGGAGGAAGTCTCCCCAGCTGTCGTCAGGCTACGATCTTGATGACGGGGCGGACGATGAACGAACGCCACTCGTCTCGACAGTTCGTTCTAGTAGGTCTGCTCGAACTCGACGCCCAGCGCCTTCCATGCGACAAATGGAACATCAATCGTCGCGGGAAGAACGTTCATTTTTTGCTAGATTTGCCGGGTGTCTGGTTCTGACTATTATGATCAGTCTGGTCATGTCGGGCGCTGTAGGCTTCATGTTCGCTACGACTCAACCGCTGACTGATGTCAAGATTCTGGCACTGAAGAACATCATCGCAAGTGAGCAAGACGTCATCCTCGACATGAAAGTGCAAGCGCGGAACCCGAACTTGGTCGTCGTGACCATAGATACGGCAGACCTGGTCGTCTTCGCCAAGTCATCGTATGCCGGCACAGACCAGCAGTGGTGGAAGCGTCCTCTGGAAACGGATTTTCTTCGGCGAGTTCTGCGAAAACGGGACGACGATCCTTTTGATCCGCCCCTTGATGATCCTGGCACCGAACCGAACCTGGAAATTGGCCATGTAGGCGGTCTCTACAGTCCCTTGACTTTTGAGGGATCGCCCTTCCGGGCCCAGGCCTCGACATCACTAGGACAACTTCGCATTATCAACCCCGGCAACGAGACAATACCTGCTGGTAGCAAGCGGTGGGGAAGAATAGTCCAACACGAGTTCGATCTCATTGTACAAGGCACGCTGAAGTACACACTCCCACTCAGCCCTAGGCTTCGAAGTGTCAGTGTCAAGAGTCGGGTCAGAGTCAAGCCAAACGCTGCAGACCAGGACCCGGAAGAAGTCCACACATTGTACTAAAATCACGCAGCCAACCAGCGGCACCCACCGGTGGTCTACAACAGCGCCACACCTAATTTTCTTTCGTCATTGCTTGATGATCCTGTATAATTTTTGAGCGACTGCATTTTCCCTGTTTTTAATTCCATCTTCTTCGGGCAGCATGGCATATCGGAGTGGACTCAGGCGGCGCGACAAAGCTGAAGGCGCAACACGAAAAAAGCAAGTAAGATACGTGGACATCGCAAGCAGCTACAAGATTGGGGCTCTACTGAAATTTGGACAACCAAAACAAAATGGAAACCTCTGAGGGTTCAATATTGCGGTATCCCGCCGTTTTTGCTCCTTCCCCCTTTTTTTTTTTCGTTTTTTTTTCTTATGCTTCTGGGGGATCAATCGGATCGGGGTTCTCTTTGGAATCGTAAGGGTTGGAACACTTTTGGGGTGTCCCTAGGCGAACTGAAAAAAGATTGACATGGCGTGCCTGGGCTATATAGAAGGAGGCAGCGAAAGCAAATTAGAGCGCTGGATGATTGGGATTTGGCGAGCAAGTCGTCTGTGGGGATCCTCTCTTTTTTCTTCTCCTGCGATGGGGTTTTAAACGGCCGATTTTCTGTTTTTGGTGATGCAGAGACAGGCGGGGGACGAGCTTGTTGGGGGTCATTGTAGACTATGATAATGATGGGAGTGGGGAATTTGTATATCTGACAACAAGACAGTGAGAGATGAAGGATTCGATCGATCTTGTTAGTTAGAGCTTTGAGAGCTAGAGCGGGTATTGGGGAGTAGAGGAGAGGAGGGGAAGAGGCTGTTGTGCTGTACGGTGCTGTACTGTGCTGCATATATATATATATCACACACGCCTTGGTGAGGCTGGTACAGAAGAGAAAAGAATGTAGTGGATTCTCAAGCCTTTCCTTCTCTTTCCATCTTTTTTTCTTTTCATTTAACTTCCCTCTTTCGTACATCTTGCTGTATATATATAAATAAAAGTGAGACAGGCTACTGATTTATGCGAGCGGGCGAAGTGTCGTGTTCGTGCAACTGACCCGCGTCAGCCCTTCTGTCTTTTAACAAGAGTTATTGTATAGATAGTTAGGTAGGCAGGTAGCTGTATCTTTTTTTTCCCTCTCTCTCTCCTCTCCTGTATTCTTCTGTCCTCTCCTCTCTTGTCCTGTCCTCTTTTTTTCTTTTCTTCTTTTTCTTTTCTTCTTTTTCTTTGACTTTGGCTTTCTCAGGCCGGGTACGTACGTACGTATACACTGCCAGCTATATCAAGTCAAAGTCAAGGTCAAAGCCATGTTCAGATTATCCAGCTCGCGAGCTATCTAGAGTGAAATGTCCTTTTTGTCTATTTCTTTCCGTTTCTTCTTACCACTGTTGTTATTGTTGTTGTTGTTGTTGCTGTTTTCGTACGACGACGTCGTGATTGACCTCCCACCTTTTTTTCGGTCCCGTCCCGTCCCGTCGTCCCGTCCCGTTCCGTTCCCACTTCCTCCCCGTCGTCACAATCCTCCCCCAACCCCCCCATGCGCTGCCGGCAATCGAAAATAGCTAGTGGATCACCCTCGGCCGAGGCCTGAACTGGGGGCTAGAGCTGAAATGAAATCATTTAGGAAAAATTAAAAGCTGCAGCTAAAGCGGAACCGACTCAAAAAATCGATCTTTGATAAAAGCTCGCCTTTTCGTCAGGAGACCGTCCGAGGAGCGTCCTCGGGACCGTGGTTCCTAGCCGTCCTCGGGACCGTCCCCGAACCTGGAAACCGGCCCCGGAGGATTGCATTAGTAAGGAAATACTACGTAATTTACTACTTCCGCCTCCTTCTCTGCCTCTACCCCATCCACCCCGCCCCCCACCATCTTCCATGCACCCCCACTGCTATCAGACGCGATCACGGGCGGAGAGAGAGAGATGGTCGACTTTTGCTGAATCGATCGTTTCCGATCCTAAATATCTCAAAGCGTTGTTGATGTGTAAGCCGCGGCTGCGATGCCGAGATATATCTTGGCGCGCATCCTCATCTAACCAACAATCAAAGATTTCGAATCCATATTACATTTTAAATCGACTCTAAAGATTAAAGTAAAATGAAAAAAAAACCCAATCTGTAGATTCGTTTTTTTTTTTTTTTTTTGGAGAATTCAAAATGATCTGCTTCATAGACTCGTGTTAAGGAATTAGACGGGGACGGCGGCTATGGGGACGGCCGTGGGACGCGGCTCCTTTAGTTAGTGAGACGGGTCGCGGGGACGGTCTACTAGGTAGCTAAGCTGTTCCTGAATGCTCCGCAGAGCTTCATACTGGATTTAAGCGGTCCAATGACTGTTTGTTATAGGAGAGGGTCAGAGGATCGCTGAGATGACACCCTACCTAGTAGTCCTTCCCTCGAAGCTAGCTAGGCTCGCTGAGTAGCTACAGTACCTAGCTCTACATTAAAATGGTATGATGAATGAGTAGGTACCCCCATAGGCTCGCTAAGGCAGAGATTGGATAGACCGAGCTCAGATCCCACGGACGTTTCCATCATTGTTTGTCATCATTACATGCTATCTAAGAGAGTTGGAGCCGGAAACGCTTGGGGGGTTTGAGAGTGATGATGATGGTGGTGATCGATCCTATTGTTGGGTTCTCGTAAGGGGCTAGAAGGCTTTTAGGTTCGGCGCGGCGGGTTGTGGATCCGCGGTAGCTAAAGTAGGTCGCTAAAGTACTACTAGATAGTAGTAGTACTTCGTAGATAATGTAGATGGATAAGTAGCGAGTCGCGACAAGCTAGCAGTAGATACTACTACCGTAGTAGTAGGTAGATGTACCGGTTGGCACGTGGTGCACGTGTTTTTCTCTCCTACTGCACCTTGCATCATCGCGTAGAGGGAGGTCTAGGTATCTTTCAACGCTTATCTGTCAAAGCCGGAACCGATTTGAGGGGCTTCGATAATGCATGGTTAGGTAGTTAGTTCTCTGCTCTTCCAAGCGAGAACTTCTGCATGACATATTCTGTACATCTTTCTGTCATGGCACCTCGTTCGTCTCTGGTGGGTGGGGGAGGGGGTTGGCTCTACGATCTTTCTCCGTGAAAGTTTATGTGAAACGAACGGGGTGGTGATGGGTGGTCTAGATCGTAAACCGGAAGAAGTATACTACGTACCTGGATCGGATGGCGCCTTACGATAAAGAAAGTCTAAGAAAGACCGAGGTAGGCAGAGATCCCTCTCTCGACCTACTATAACTGTGTTTAAGACTGTCTCTCGGGCCCTCGGCTGGCTTTTCCATACATTCGGACGCGGTAAAGCTTATTCGAGCATACTTACTTATCGTGACCCGGCCCGTGTAAAAGGAAGATCAGATCTCTCTCTCTTTACTGTACTCTATAACCATGTTTCAGACCATCTCTCGGCTGGCTCTTCCGCACATTCGGACGCGGTAAAGCTTATGTCAGCACACTTACGGGATCGTGACCCGGCCTGTGTAAGAGGAAGATCATAGGTAGTAAGTAGTATCTCTCGCTAAGAGTCGCAGCGAGTCGAGTAAAGTACGGAGAGTGAGTCCCTGTGCCGCTTTCCCTTTTCGTGAGTGAGGGATTTTAGCTGTGAGACATCACGAGGTAGTACCGTAGTACCTAGTAGTAGGTAGTCCGTTCCTCTCTGCACGGATCCCACGTTCACGAACTCTCTTCTCCTCCCCCTCCTCATCTATGATTCTCCTCGATCATCATACGGAGGAGTCCAAAATCCAAATCATCACGTTTCATCAACCCGGACTTCTCTGATGCAGGTAGTATTTGCATGCCAGACGAAAACACAGCCATGGGGTATGGATGTATGGACGTATGTATGTACTGTTGCATGTATGTATGTATGTATGTTGTATATATGTAAATATATTTATAGGCCAGCCGCACGTATAAGCTAGCCGGCCAAGCTTTTGTCAAGGTATTCGCCGCTGCGGGTTCATATTCTGTGCATCATCCATTCTGCTCATTCTGCTCAGATAGGTAGGAGTACGGAATAATGTCCACGAGCTGAGAGGCTCCATTATTTGACTTCCGCACGTAGCGGAGAAAGGGGAATTCGAGAAGAGTCAAAGTGGTTCGTTGGTACTCCGTAGTAGTATTTTATTGAGACTAGGGTGCAGGGCAGGCGAGTCGCGTGGCCGTGCCTCGGACTGAATGCTGATGCTGCCTCAACAGAGTGTCGGGGGACGGAGCTAAATATTGATTCTTTTTTCCGCTTTTCATTACATGTTATTACTAGTAGTTATGGTAGGCACCGGTAGTCCTACTATTTTTCATCGAGACTTGTGGATACCGGGGCCGAGACAGGAATGCTGAAGAGCCCTTCCTTGCTAAACCCGTTGGCTGGCTGTTGTTCAGATATCTGCCCGCCCGCCCAACGATAATAATTCATCATCGTTGACAACCCTCCCGTGGTTGTTCCCTCCAGACAATGTTTCGCTTCTTCTTCGGCTCTGCGAGACATCGCTGGCGCCAACCGTGGATCATGGGATCATTTATGTCTGTTCTCCGGGTTCGGACAAGCGTCAGGCGTCGCTAGCTTTTCCGCTTCTTCTATTTGCTCCTCCTAGCTTTGATCTCATGTCGCTCGAGGGGAGAGGTGTGGTTCTCAGTAATTGCTAGAATTGCGTGGATTCCTATAGTGCCATTTCTACAGCCCTGCTCCTCTATTTTATTTTACACGCACAAGGGAAATATTGGCTAGCCTGAGCGGCATTCAATTTTGGGTGTGGAGGCAATGCGAAATCATGCTCCACTAATGTCGAGGCATGGGAAATCTTTGGCCAGTTTCTCAATGAGAAGAAGGAAAAAGAGGAGACGGATCTCCAGGGTCCTAGAAGAAACGGACTCGGCGTTGTCCCGCATGCGGGTTGTGCAATCAAAATGGCAATAGGAGACGGCGAGATCGGTTGGGTAGTATTAGTATTTTCAACGACTTGGAAATATTGGAAGTTGCTGACGAGATGAAGTCATCAGAGTCGCCCTGGTCGACGCCATTCTTGGGTCCCCGGCAGCTATGGCTCTTGGGCCGCGCGACGGAGCTAGGGGGGGGCCTGCGAAAGTATAAATCCAATACGGATATTGATGTTGTTGTTGTTGATGTTATTGTTATTGTTATTGTTGTGGATCGACGCGTCGCGTTAACGCGTCGAGGGCATAGGGTGACTAACGAAGGGAGAAGGGGGAAAGGGGGAAAGGGGCAAATGGGAGGGAAGTAAGTAAACAAACAAAGGCAGAGAAGTAAATAAACAAGAAATCCTACGATCCTCGCCACTCACCCAGAGTCACCCACTCCACTTACTCCTTATCCTCGCCTCCGCCTCCGCCTCCCCCTCACGCTGACGAGGACAAGTCGACGACGGAGAAGTTGAGCGACGTGGATGTATACGACTGGACTGGCTGGCGCAAGAAGAAGAAAGAAAGAGAGCAACAAGCAACACTAAACATTGTGATGCACAGCTAACCATCTGTGGGAACTCAGCGCAGATGGATCAGCCCGTTTATTCTTTGTCCCTCAGGGGGTCCGTCCATCTGTCCAGTGCGGCCAGACAGCCAGGGATTTATGGATGTGCCCCCTCTTCAAAGCGCCCCCATCGGCGACGCAGCGTGACTTCCATCATGCATCCTCCATCCATTTGAAAGTTCCTACGAAAGAAGGAAACTTCAATCTCCTTCCTCTATCTATATCAGAGCGTCGCTCAAATCTCACTTCTCACATCTCCGTTCAGCTTCTTGCTGCCCTCTTGACGGTACGGAATACTCTGTGCTACCGACCGATACGGCCCTGCTCTGTTTGTTGTTGTCCGGGTCCGGCTTATCCTAGCGAGAAAAACACGTTGAGGCGCGTCCTGGGTAAACAAGACCTGACCCACTCTCCACTCCGCTAGACCGCAATTTTCCTCTCTGTCCCAGACTTCCCGACCCAGTGCCAGTCCCCGACCCATCCCCAACCCCAACCCCGTCACCAGCCTACCTACTTCACCTCATCCCGCCCCTCGAACCCTGACCCGGCCCTCCCCCCGACCTCCTCCTCCGACTTCCATCGCATCGCAGCAGTCTTTCTTTCTCTCCTCCGCCATACATCTTCAAGCCGGTACTGGACACCGACGGGCTCGATTCTCTCTGGAGCTGGTTTGGGGTGCAGGAGTCGTTGTCGTCGTCGTTGTCGTCGTACCCAAGCAGTTCAAAGTGTCATGTCTTGATTACGATTGCCTCGACCTGATCAACAAAAACACATACACACAACATTCCTGCCCCGACCAAGACCAAGTCGAGTCGCTACATGCAACAAACACATTCCTCGACTTTCGAATCAAACCTCCCTCCTCCCTCCTGGCCTAATATACCCAGCCTACCAACGAAACAACCAAAAAAACAACAACACCACCACCACCACCACCACCACGGGCATCTCTCTTTTCGTAGAGCTTTCGAATCGGCAGATCGAACAGACATTGCGAGCGTACAGACGGGCATCTCCAGGCCAGCAACCACACACACACTTCCTGCGGCGCCATCTCTATGCCGCACCGCGATTCTTAACCCGCCTGCATCTCACGCTCATTTCCGATATCATACACGGGCGTCAATCGCATTCCTCTCCTTATCATGTCGTACTCAAATGGTGGCGGCGGTACACTTACTCTGCCATCTCCAACCCACGTGCGCCATGTGGATGTGACCTCTGCCGTCAGATCTCTGCGACGATCGCTATCGCGTTCCCCGTCCAAATTCCGCCTCGTCACGAAATCTCCCAGCTCGTCGCCCAAGTCGCCTCTGTCGCCCTCGCCGTTATCCCCTCCCAAGCGAATCTCCTCCCACAATTCAATTTTCAGCAACAGTCCCAGCAACCCGCCGCACACTCCCTCACCTTTGGCTGTACCGTTTCCGCCGAGCGTAAAACTGGCTCTTCGATCGTCAACCCGTAGCAAGGCAGCCGCTCCCCGACCTGCATCCCGAACTCGAACATCTCCTAAAAGCCCAGTGAAACGCGCTTTGAGCCACGCGTCGGACTCGGGCAACGCGACTCCTCGTTCTTCGGCCGGATCTGCAGGTGGACAAGAAAATAACAGTAGCAAGGCGAGCCCCGCGGAGCTCAAGGGCCTGGATAGGGTCGCCCGGATGTCATACAGTCACGACATCTCCGCGCCGATCAACCAGGCGCTGTCCAGGCTGGGCGGCGACGGTGCCAATGATAGCCCGATGGGATCTTCGACCTCGAGCCCCCTCAAGCGCAGTGATGCGATCATGAATCTTGACCAGGCTAGCTTGGGAAGCCCAGTTGCGAAGAGAAGAAGTTTGCACGGCTCCGCCAGCTTCGGCCACGATTTCAACGTCTTCGATCATGGTCCCGCGCCGTCTTCGTCGCAATTCGACATTCATGATGATTCAAATCACGAGTATGAGTTATCTACTGCATCTGTCACACATGAGAATCCCTCCGCAGTCACATCAATGCCGAGGAGATCATCTTCACTGCGAAAATCGACTCTACAGCAACGACACGGCGAGAAGACTTCGTGGGGTAGGAGACAGGCAGCCCTGGCATTAGCCGCTCAGCAGCTGGCAAATTGTGGACCACAAATTTCTACGCCTGTCAAAGCGAAGGACCGCCCTCGTCTATCCCTAGATCAGTTCATGCCTCCGTTGGCTCGGGACAGTCCCTTTTCCTCCCAGGGCAGCTTGCCAAATGCCTCGAACCACTTTATCCATCAAGGAATCCACCAACCTCACCCTCTCTCCCGGACCATGACAACCTCCTCATCGAGCTCAAGCGTTCCCGACGATTCTCCAACCCATGTTCCAGTCCAATTTGGCGAGCGACTACGACCGAAACTAGACTTTTCCAAGTCGCTCCCCGCGGGATCATTAAGACCCTTCTCATTTGACAAGCAGTCCGGTGATGACACTTCGTTTGCTACTCCGCAAAACTACAAGTCTGTTAAGCCTCATGCAGCTGCTTTTGCTTCTACGGGTCTTATATCAAAAGTCAACAGAAATCCGGAACAGCTGCCAGTAGTCCGTGGGAGCAGCAAGGGAAATGTGCCTGATACCCCCTGCAAGAAGCATGTCAGTGGCTTCTCTACCTACCCTGCCCCTGTCCCGGGAAGCGCGATTGCAAAGGCAAGACACATCCGACACTCCTTCGGAACTCCATCAACTCCTTTCAATCCACACGGGAATCAGGCCGTTCAGGGTGTCTTTGGAAAGCCGAGTGGTGTGTTTGGCAGCACCTTCGGCAACAGACGGGGCAGCTTTCTCAGCCTTGACGGAGATGAAAATGGGGGTTCACCTGATGCAAAGGGAGGTCGAGTGAATGATTTTGACCTACCACCAACCCCTACCAAGCAGGCACTCGCCCAGCAGCACTACAGTGGGAGCCCTAGCGCCAACCGGAACTATGCAGCTTCTACATCCGCCGTGGGATACGGACTGGGCAAAAAATTGACCAGAACAAGTAGTAAGTTGAACCTTTTTACAAGTCCAGACAGTCAGGGATCGTATGAGAGTGACGGGTCAATCGATGTCGGTGGCTCTCCAACACCTGCTGCGTCACACCGAGATCCTCTCAAATCTTCGGACTCGGTGCCGTCCTTCAGCAGGTCCCGGACTCAGCGTGCCCTGAACCAACGTTCTCCGGCGCCTATGATACCCAAAGCTCTGACTACTACTTCCCTTATCAGTCCTGCGAGTAGATTGGGCTTTGCTAAATTTGGTCACGTTGCTCCAGCCAGTCCGTTGGAGCGAATAGATTTCATGGAGAGAATATCACCCCGTACCCCTCAGGACAGCATTCTTCCACCCGACCCGAGTGGTCTCTCAATCTCGAATCCCAGAGATAGTCAAGCCTCCCAGCAAGCTGCACAGAGCATGCTTCCACCCGCAACACCAACAACAGGCCGCGACTACTTCCCGAGGTTCAGCGACCGACGTCTCAGCACTACCCCGGTAAGTACTTTCGCGCCATCAGACATCGACAACGCTCTGCTGGCACGATTTGAGAAGGTTGAGATGATTGGTTCTGGCGAGTTTTCCCGCGTGTACCGGGTCGTGCAATCAGCCACTCGTCCAGCCTCCGCTCCGTCATTCTCCTACAGCCAACCCGGCTCGCCCCTATCGAGGAAATCTCCCTCAACGCCAATGCCGGAACGTGTCTTCGCAGTCAAGAAGACAAAACAACCTTACTTGGGTACCCGGGACCGTCAACGGAAGCTGCAGGAGGTTACTGTGCTCAAGGCACTCGGACATTCTGATCACGTCTTGAACTTTGTAGACAGTTGGGAAGAGACGAGCCACTTGTACATTCAGACCGAATACTGTGAGGAGGGCAGTCTTGACCTCTTCTTGTCGGAAGTTGGTCGTAGGGGACGATTGGACGATTTCCGGATTTGGAAAATCTTGTTGGAATTAGGAAAGGTATGACGCCCGGCTCTCTTCACCCCCACGTCAAAACTATTGCTCATCAACGTTCTAGGGAATCAAACATGTTCATGATTCTGGTTTCATTCACCTGGACCTTAAACCTGCCAACATCTTCATCACTTTTGCAGGTGATCTCAAGATTGGAGATTTCGGGATGGCTGCCAGCTGGCCCGCTCAAGCCGGAATCGAGGGTGAAGGTGACCGCGAGTACATTGGTCCTGAGATTCTCATGGGTCAATACGACAAGCCCTCAGATATATTTGCACTTGGTCTCATCATCCTGGAGATCGCAGGCAACGTCCAGCTTCCCGACAACGGCCCAACATGGGCTCGCCTCCGCTCTGGTGACATGAGCGATGCTCCCAGTCTGACGTGGAGTACCGACAGCAACCTTCCAAGAGACGCGACTGGAACCCCCATGGAAGACAGTGACATGATCTCGGAACCCTACATGAGCGACGATGAGATCGAGACTGGCTTTGGATCGCCTATCATGGTTAGCCGTAGCAAGCGAGGCTTCGGCAAACATTCCGGCAGATCCATGTCTCATGACCCAGGAAACCTCTTCGGCTCAATCAGAGGCGGTGAACTCCACTCAGCGCCCTTGTTCATGAGAGACCAGCATCATGAACATGCGCTCGACAAGCTCGTCCGGTGGATGATCTCGCCGACGCCTGCAGACCGTCCGGTGATCAACGAGCTCCTCAGCCACGGTGGTCTCACATGGGTTGCGCAGCGCCGACGTGCTGGCGCGACCGTCTTTGAAGGCAACTGGGGCCCGGCTGATGCCGTGCTGGCGGACGATGCGGAGATGATAGACGTTTGACTTCCGTGGCTGAGATTGTGCTCAGCGAACTCGCTCACTCCTGGATAGGATGGCGGGTGTTGGATGGAACTCCTCTTTGAATCGGGTGGAATGATATGGCGTTGGAGGATACCCGGGCGTTTCGGACACAGTGCAGGCCGCACCACGACCTTTCACGGACGAACGACCACGAATTACATTACCAGTCTCTTGCTCCCTCCTCTTGCTCCGCCCTAATCTTTTTCGAGGCCAACGTTACAATTTTTACGCATCACGAAGACCATGAACGAAACGATAGATTCGAATCGGTTACAGTCAGTTTGTTGAGCGGGTATCATGTTGCGATTACGACGAAGAACTCTGCTCTTGTGGTTCTTGCTTGCTTTTTCTTTTTTGGGAGAAGATATGACTGAACAACATGCTTTGCTCTGGTAGTATAGTAGCTTAACCATAATTTCCTTTTGGTCAGTAGCTTTGTATGTGATATGTCGAAGATCGGGCACAGACGATGTCGAAGTTTCAGGGAACGGCGGGCGAGATCTGTAGATACTGGCATTGGCTCATGCATGTATAGGCTATGACGGAATGAATGAATACGCAAGAAAACTTTCAAGAAAACTCTCAAGAAAACCGTTTGCCTGGGTTCTCGCTTCGTCCCCTATTTGGGGGTTAAGATATATAAATAAACACCAGAATATCTACCCATCTCGTGTCAGACGGGGAGGCCGTGACAGCCTTGATGCTCCAACCCTTCGACCGTGGCATGGACATGGATAAGCATGGACAAATATGGCTCGTTTGATATAATTATCTACAATTTATATACTATTTATACTATTCATACTATTTATACTATTCACACTATATATATTATGTATATTATTGGGGGGCATCATCGACGGCCAATCAAGCGGCTCAATTGATATGCTGGCCGAGTCCATGCCCATGTCCGTGCTGTGCCTTTTGGCGCCCAGGAAATTCATCCCCCGAGCAACGTCTTCCCCACTACTCTTACTTAGTCTTAGCTCAGGAACGTGGATTTCCATCCTGGTCCGACTCTTTTCCTCTTCTGCTCTTCTGCTCTTTGACTCTTTTGCTCTTCGAATTTCTTTCCTTCCCACCATCTCCACACTCCCTCACTTCTGTCACTCCTTTACTGCACTCTCGCTGAATTCTACTCTCGCTCCTTCTACCAAAGTTATACATACCTTATACATACCTATACTATCTACTACCTACATAACTTATATCCATCTATTATCTCTCTATCTTCATGATGCGCGTCTCGCTCTTCCCTGTCGGCCTCCTGGTGTCCGCTGCGGCAGCCGTGACCACGACCTATTCCGCCTCGTCAGCTACATCGACAACAACCTGCGGCGCCCTCCCAGTCCTGAACCAATGTCTCTCTTCCACGCAAATCATCGCCAACGCCTGCAAACCCACGGATTACAGCTGTCTCTGCGAAAAGTGGAATGTGGTGGTCGTGTACGTCGTCTCTCTTTCTCTCTCTCTCTCTCTCTCTCTCCTACACGTGCGATTCAGCTAACCCACGCGTCCAGCTGTTTCGACGTCTGCCCCAGCGACAGCCGTCTCTCGGGCATGCAAAACACCGCGGCTAGCTATTGCGCCTACGCGCCTACAACCACCTCCGCTGTTGTCACGCCTACCAAGACACCCACCGTTTCCTCGACGAACTTGGGAAATCCGAGCCCGGTTCCAGGCGGGTCTACATCCGCGGTCTCGGGTGACAATGCGGCCTCGGCGGGAGGGTCTTCGGGGACGAGCGCGACGGGCGGCGCGAATAATGTGGTGCTAGGAGCGGGCAGCGTGATGATGTGCCTTGCGGGGCTTGTGGGTGCCTTCTTGTAAAAAGTTTTGGGGGGGATTTCACGGTTGATAATGGTGTTATGGTATTTAATGGAGGCTTGGTGTAATGGGGTCGGTCTTTGGGGGCGGTTGGACTGCAGATATCTTAGCGTTTTAAGCGGGGGGATCTCTATACTTTTTGGTATCTGGATCTAGGATTTGTTCATATAAGGACGGCTGATTGGCTTGTATTTGTAGTCATAACTGACCGTATACGAACACCATTCGATGACGAGGCTTGACTCAAGTGTCGCGCGGGGGGACAGAAGGCGCGTCGCTTCGGGTGTGTTTACCCTAGCAGAATTAAGAATCTTCTTGCATTTCTTTGTGTGCCATGACCGAGTGGGTCGTTGAGAAGCTTTTTTTTTTTTTTTTTCTTCCTTTTTTCCCCCTTTTTCGTGGGTTTTTCCTTCCATCTTACCAATCCGTCGGAACATGTAGCTGACCCCCTCTTTTTTCTTTTTCTTTTTTTTTTTTTCGTCTCAGACCGTGTGAGACTCGGGAGGAGGGCGCAAGCACTTTCCCTTCTCTTCCTTTCCTTTCCTTTCCGTACTGCTTCCATGCATGCATTCATCTATCATGTCAGCCAGGAAAAAAAAATTATATAAAAATATACATATATATATATATATATATATATAAAATTCTCGCGAATTTATATATACGTGATCTATGGATTGATCTTCTGCTTGTCGAGCGTGGGAGCTTTTGAATGAATGAATGAATGAATGAGGGAGGGGGGGAAGGAAGGAAGGGGAGGGAGGGGGAGAAGGGAAGCAAGGAAGGAAGGGGAGGCATTGATTGTCTTCCTGCGAGATTGAAGCTGAAATCGAAGTTGTGGAGCGTGGAGCGTGGAAGGGGGAGAGGGGGGAGGGGGGAGAGGGAAAGAGGGAGTTGTGGTTAAGGGAAGGAAAGATGAATTCAAGTACCGGTAAGTATGTTGAGATAGGGAGGGAGGGAGGGAGGGAGGGAGGCAGGCAGGCCTGGCTTTGCGTGTCTCTTTACTTACTCTCGTTTATTTATGTATGGTGATGTTGGGGATGTGGATGTTGATGTTGATGTTGATGTTGATATGCATCCCCGTTTTTCTCGCTTGTAGAAAACACCTAGAGTGACGCGTCCGCCGCCTTCAGGAAGAGCAGAGCAGAGCAGGGCAGAGCAGACTAACGGAGCATTCATCCGTCTCTGCATCTGAGCTCGTAATATATATATATATGTATATATTTTTTCGTCTCATCTCGGACCGAGTTCGTCAGTCGAATCAAGCCTCCTAAGCAGGCCGGTAATCACCGACCTTCATTGCGGTGCTGGATGCATTGATGCAGACTATAGACTCCAGACTGAAGCGAAGCAGAGTAAACGCCAGTAAACCAGACGCTGATAGAACAGAGTCAAGCCCCATCTGAGAGTCCCCCACCTGTCCGGGCCCTCCGCGACAAACCGCGACCAAAGACCGACGCCGAGGAGAGCCCGATGTCGACCCGTGGGTAGCTGCGGTTCTTGAGAGTACCGGTATCAGAAGCAGAGTCGGTGCTTGCTTGCTTTGCTTTGCTTGCTTGCTTGCTTGCTTGTTTGCTTGCTTACTTGCTTGTTTGATAGCCCTTAGCGAGACGGGGACGCGGGAGAAAAAATTTGAATTGCCATCGCGCGCGCGCGCGCGCACTACTAGGCTGGGTGGGTGCTTGGTTGCTCTTTCTGCTTTTCCTCGCTAGGTTAAAACCTGGGATGGGTGGTGGAGACGTATCATATGTATGTGGTTGATAAGTTGGTGGATAGGCAGGTACAGTAGGTAGGTAGGTACAAGTAAGTCAAGGGGGTCTCGATAGCTTGATAGCGGATTGCAGACTTTGTTGTTGTTGTTGTCGTTGTCGTTGTCGTTGTCTTTTTCCTCGCTTAGCTGACGGATACGCATATTTTGGATGGTATAACCCCGGCCGGATCTCTGCGTCGCTGTGATTTGTATGTTACACTTTTAATTAAAAAAAAAGGGAAAAAAAGAAAAAAAAAAGAAAAGAAAAAAGAAGAAAAA